TTTTCCTCTCTCTGCTGCAGTTAATTTATATTTGCTCTGCTCTATCTGGTTATGGACCAAAATAAATAGCATCTCTGCTAGATCACTGCCACAGCATTCTTCTGAAAGGCTCTCTTCCAGACTCTCCCGTCGGGCTCTGTGGCCCTCGGTCCCCTCAGCCTTCCTGGCAAGGCGACTCTTCTTTCTTTCACCTACATGTTGTCCCTGTTTTGCATTCAGTGGTTTTCCTTACAGAGCTCTTACGCTTGTTCTCAAACCCGATTGTAAATAGGTTTGAGATACTTAACAGGAAACGGTATGGAAAGGTTTTAAAACATAGTACAAAAAACGCCAAATGCCTTTCTTTGGCAAATACAATTAATTTCCCTGGAGCGTTTTATGGAATCCGTGAAAATTGATCTCTCATGCACAGTGTCCCCTGTAGTCTTCCCCAGGTCATTTTCCAGAAGAACTGGACTACAACTCCCATCATTCTGACCAGCATGGCCAGAGGACTTGCTAGCTGATGTTATCAGTGTTCACAATTTGCCATTTGGAGTGAGCCAAGAGGGGAAACAATGCAGGGAGAAAATTCAGTATAATTCAGTCACCGATGTCCAGGCTGCATTTTCAGAATTTAAGTGGAAGAGGGTTCCTTTTTTCCTTTATTGTATTTATATGCCCACAATATGACTCTAGATTTATTGGCACCAAGAAGAAGGAAAAACAGAAGAATGAAATAAACCATATTAGCTGAAACAAGAAACAGCCATTAATCAGAGACACAAATGTGCTTCTCCGGACAGGAGTGTCTATCGGGCTGGCCCGGTGCCAGTGCCTGAGCTGGCTTTCCTGCTTCCTCATGGCCCCAAGTCAGGGTGAAACGTGTGAGTTTTCTTCTGGCCCCGAGGCTTCAGCGTAATTGCTGGGGAGTGGATCAGGGTAACACAAATGTCCCAGCCTCAGCACCCTCAGAGAGGCATGCGCATGTATCTGCAAGTTTTTGCCACACCTCCATTAATCTCACACATGCGCACACTCTTTGTGAAGGTGACTTTGAGAAGAGCTGCTGGGCAGCCAGAAAGAGTTTTGGAAAATTTCTTGTCCTCCCCAAGGTCAGCCTCAGAGGGTCGCTTGGACGATGGCCTGACCTGTACGTAAAGGCTGCACCAGGCGCTGGCCCCACGTGGACCTGATCCAGCGAGATTTATGGGGGTTCAGCATAAGCCTTCCCATGCGATGGCATTCCCTGGTTGACCCCGGGCAGGTCCCTCGCGAGGGGTGAGGGCTGCCCTGAGCTCCTTAGACAAAAACTGAGAGGGAGAACCACAATAATACAACTTTCAAATGCAGCCGGTGGTCTCCTGAGGGGAGGGCCTCGGGTGCTTTCATTGGTAGGGTTTTGTGGGCAGACCCCACATGTGTCAAGGTTGCCCATTGTGTTCTATTTTCTGTGGAAAAACCCTGCAGAAATGTTGGACATCAGAAAGCATACATGGGGAAGACACGTGAAATTCAGGCTGGAGTCCAGAGCCAGCACACCAGAGGGGTCATTCAAATGAGATCACGGTGCTTGGACGTGACTTGGAGGCCTGCCAGGAGAGAAAATCCATGAGCTGAACAAACGAGAAATGCTCCTTCTGCGTGAGCCAGAGAAAGTTGCACAACAGGGCTGCAAATCCACCTGTGAAGGAACCCGGCACGTTAATCACAAGGCTGAATCAGTAGATGATTCAGCCCCGGATCTCTCTTGGCTCTTTCCTCCCGGAAGGCACCACAAGGAAAGGCCTCCCCTCTGAGAACCACAGGAGCAGCGAGGAGCCTCTTCGCAGACTTTGCAAGCATCTCCGCATCTTTAGAGGCGGGCTTCTCAACCTCACGATGGCTGGGGAACTCTGGGAGGTGAAGCCCATGTATCTTCAGGTGGCTGAGGTGGAGACATGCTGCTTTGGAAGGACTGGCATTAAATATTGATCTTGATTTTCAGCCTCCTTATGTGGAGCGCCTGCTCAGCTGCTCAGCAGTGCCCTTGCTCTGTCTCTTCGACAGCAACGGAGCCTGTGACATGCAGGAAGCCTTCCTAAAGTGCAAATGAGTCGGTAATTAAGTCCAGCTGCTCTTGACCCTTAAACTGATTCATTTTGGCTTTGGTCAAGCTCCCTCTGTCCATCTTGATGCCGTGACCGTTTATGAGGAAGCCACCGGGCCCCTCCCTGCCTTGGCTGCCAGGCATCTGCCAGCTCCGTGATCTGGCCGGAGCGTTCCAGGCCCCACCAAGTGCAAGAAGGCCGGCCATGGGAAAGCCCGGCTCCCACTTAGCTTGATCCCAAAGCAGAGGCCGAGCATGACCCCTATCCAGGAGGGCCATCAGGTTCCTACAGCAATTAGCTGCCTCTGGTATATCTTTAGGGCTTCTTTACAGGAGGGGTTTTTCAGAGGCCTTCCTGGACAAAGGCCAGGGGTGGGCTTCAAAAATTTTAGCAAGGGGTTCTCTGTCCGGTTGCTGGGTGGGCGTGGCCATGGTGGGCGTGGCCTAGTCGGCTTCCTGCACCATGGCTGGGGTGTGCGTTGTTGCCCTCCCCAGGCTCTGGAGACTTTCCTCGAGCCTCTGGGAGGGTGAAAATGCCTCCCCAGGCTCCGGAGGCCCTTCCCGAACTTCTGGTAGGCCCGTTTTTTTGCCCCCCCAAGCCTCTGCATGCACCCTGCACTTACCTGCATCCAAAATAGGCCACGTGGGGACTCCTGGGAGGGCCAGGGTCAGCCAGGAATGGGATTTGGAGGTTTTCTGAACTGCACAGAATCTTAGCTTCAATGTCAAATCTATTCCTAGGGTCGTCATAGACATTACAAGAAATGCCATAAAAAGACGGCAACATTTTTAGCACTAAAAGCAATAAATCATTCTTCTTTAATCATTAAAAGCAGGCACTGTGTGTGAGCCCCAGATCTCAACTGGGAAAGGATCAGGAGTGTTTCAGTTGAGTTGATTTCTTGGTTCCTGGATTCCTTTGGATCTGGCTGGAGAACCCTGTCCCGAGCATGGGTAGGTGAGGCCCTCCTGGGAGAAATTCTGTTTTTTGGTAGTTTCTTTGTCTGGGGTGATGGATCGTTTGCCCACTGCACCTATAACCATCTGTTTCAAAATAAGAGCCTGACGGAAGGTCTGTGGACTCCACCCAATTCCCATTTTATCTCTGGCCCTGGCTGATGCTAAGGGGGATGGCTGAGAGCCGACTGACATCAGGCCATGGCTGAGGGGCGAGCCTGACGCTTCCCTGGGCCTTCTTTGCATTGTTTGGTTAAGCTTGGGGAAGATGGAGGATAGCTTTAGGCATTTGGATGTTAATTCTTTTATATCAATGCAGTAATTTTTTTTTTTTATTGTGGATTGGAGATTCACCTCCAATACTTCCTTCCCATTCTGCCCCACGGCACAAGCAATGTGACTTGGCACCTGTTCAAACAGCGCAGTCTTCCCTTACCCGATGCCCTCAGATCTGGGGCTGCCCATTTCCCAGGTGATGCTATCTCCGATAGGCTTTTAAAAGGGTCCAGCAAGCGGATCCCTTGCAAGGATTCCTGGTGTTCTGGGATTGCTCTAAACAAGTGACCACAATCAGGATCCCCTGCAAGCTTTAGGACTGACCTGGGCCCAGGAAAAGGGCCTCTGATGGGCGAGCAAAGCTGACCCTTCTGAATGGGGACCCAGCGCTTGATGTGGTTTTCAGCGGGCATTTCCACAGCCTGAGACCAACTTTGGCGGCTCCTCCAAAATAAACAAGGGAAACTAATTCCGAAGTTTGAAGCGTCTTTTTATAGCCCGGAGTGAAAATAAGGGAGGATCGGAAAGGTGGAGGGAGTTCTTCATTTTCAGGTTTGGGTTTCGGCCACTGTCATTAGTGGCCAGTTCTTTGGCCCAGGAGGTGTTTCAATGAGAGGCTGGCTGCGGGGGTCGCCCGAGGGGAGGCTCTGGCCCTGGACCCTGCCAGGAAGATCCCGGCACGGCTGCCCAGCCGCCTCCAACGGCACCGCCTTGGCCTTTTCGAAGCAGCACGTGGCCCGTCATTACGAGCGCTAAACGCTGGACGGTTCCAAGGAGAGCGAAGGCGGCTTCAGACCGCTGAGCTGCTCTCTCGCTCTTCCTCTGCCGCCGGCCGAGCAGGAAGAGCCGCTCCCGCTTCCTCCGCTTCCCTCCGCGGGGCCCCGTGCAGGGCTTGAGGCGGGGGGGGGGGGGGGCGCTGCTTAGACAAAGGACAAGCCAGCATCGGCTCTTTTGGCCACAGGGGGCGCTGCTGGGGCAGAGACCGTTGGGCACCGTCGCCACTGGGGGCGCCCCGTGCCCGGCCAGCCCTGAAGCGGCGGAGGGGGGGCCCTCGGGAACCCTGGCCCGCCTGTCGGGTGGGGGGGGGCAACGGACACCCCGCCGGGCTCCGGGACCCCAGCCGCCGCCCCCTCCCCCCCCGCCCAGGCGCCGTCGGCAGCGGCCTCTCCTGGGGCGCCGCGGGGGCTGGAGTGGGGCGGCGGACAGGCTGACTCCCGGCGCGCCCCACGCGAGGCAGGAGCTCCCCCTGGCGGCCACCCGGGAGCTGCAGCAGCCGCCGCCTCTAGAGCGCGGCACAAACCCAGCCGAGGGCGCGCCCGCAATTCCGGCGCCCGAGCGAACGCTGAGCGATGCGGGGCAGGGAGGGAGGCGGGGGGGGAAGGGCCCTGTGGCGTGCCGGGCGCGGGAGGAACAGGGAGGGGACCCGCGGCTGCGGCTGAAGCGGGGGGGGTTCGTTGAGGCGTCGGCAGCCGGAATCGACCCCGCCCCCTTCGGCCTGTCCCCGCGAGGCTCCGGGCCCTGATGGACGGGAGGGAGGGCGAGCGGAAAACCCGGCGGGAGGATCGGCCGCGGCCGGAAGGGAGGCGCCGCGCGGGGGGGGCGTGTCCTTTGGCCGTGGCGATCGGAAAACCCGGCGGGCGAGACGGCGCGCGGGTGGGCGTGTCCGCGGGCGGCGCAGGCGCGGTGCGTGCGTGCGTGCGTGCGTGGGGCGACGCAGGGCGAGGAGCGGAGGAGGCCGGCGGGCATCGGCGGCGCCGCCATGGAGTGCCCGCACCTGGGCGGCAGCGTCTGCCTCGCGCCCGACTCGGCCAAGTTCCCGCAGGGCTCGCCCTCCTCCTGGTGCTGCAGCGGTGAGTGCGGCTCCCGCGGCCGTCGCCCCCCCCGCCCTCCCGCCCTCCCTCCCTGCGGGGCGCCTCGTGCTCCCTCAGCCCGGCGGCGGCGGCGGCGGCGCTGTCACAAAGGGCCTCGCGGGGCGCCCGGGCTCCCCCCTTCGCCCCGCCTCCGCCGCCTCCCCCCACCACCACAGCCCTGCCAGGTGGGCCGGTCTGAGACGGTGGGGGGGGCTGGGCCAACGTATCCCGGGCGGCGACCGCCGGTGACAGCCCTGGGGGGGGGCGGGGGGGGGCTTCAGCCTCTGCCTGGACCGGCCGGGGGGGCGACTGGTCACGTGGGTGGGAAAGGGGGGGGCAAGGGGCGACGAGGGTTCGTGGCCTCTGGTGCGGCGTCGGTCCTTAAACGGGGCTCCCCCTGGTCGGCAGCTGCTTTTCCTTCCGCCCCTCCGGGCTCTGCGGTCCGAGGGTCCTTCTTGGCCCAGGATCTCCTCCTCCACTGCCGCCCTCAGGCTCCCTCCTGCCCTTTTCTGCCGGGCGCTTCACTTCCTCGGTTCCTCAGTGTCCCCCCCAGACTGGAAAGCAGGCAGAGGCTACAACCGAAGCAGGCCTTGGCTTCTCCCTTGCAAACCCCCAGGGCGGCCTTAACGCCGAGGAAGGAATCAAAGCAAAGATCTCTGGGCTGGTGGATTTTGCAAAGCACAGCTTGACCAACCAATAGTTCAACGTTTGCAAAGTTCAGGCTTTGTGTTAAGCAGATGTGTTGGAGCAAACGTTTGTGCCAAGAATAGTTGTCTGTTAGAAATCGGCCTTAGGGTGAAAATAATCAGCTCGTTTCAGTGGTGGTGCTGCTGTTTACTCTTGTTCTTTGTATTGTGATGTAGTTTGTTTCTGTGTTTTATATCCGGTATACTGCCTAAAATCCCTTGCGATTAAGGCAAGTAATGAATAAGTAATATCTTAGCCCATCAATTTTGAGAATGCTTATTAAGATATACATCATAAAAATTGCATATTCAACATTTAGATAAAATCCAAGATTTCATTTAAATATGTTTTGGACTGTCTAAACAGTTGTTGAATAGTTTGTGTACTTTCAGTGGTGTTTTGTAGCATAAGGCCATGACGTTCTGTTTAGGGAGTTTTAAAGTGAAATTTCACAACTCTTCTTTGAAAACCTTCTCATTTGTTCCGCAAGGAAGGAATTCAATGAGTGAAATTCCTGGATGTTTTCCTTGCTCTGATGACAAGGATGTTTTCCTAATGTGGAGAAGCTGAATTGCATTATAGTTTATGGAATTTTTTTTTTAAAAAAAAACTTGTCTTGCTGCTGTATAAATGTTGGAGTGGTTTTGCTTCACTGGAAAAAATGTCAACAGATGGATTTAAATGATCCCATTGCTGGCTAAGATGATGTCCCTTGAAGTAGCTTAAGACTTGTCTGTCTTGTAACCTAGTCTGCTATCTTCCAAGTTGATTAACATTTGCCAAGTGAAAACCTGGCCCAGGCGTGGTGAGGGGTCCACTGCAGGATATTGTGGAAATGAGCTTTTGATGAAGGTTTTTTTTTTTTTTTTTTAAGTAAGCCTCTGTGGGTGACTTTATGGACATCCATGTGGTTTTCTTGGCAGCTGTACTGCCGCTGCCACCTTCCGGGCCTTTCTGTAATCCGCCCCTCCAGCAGGGTGCTTCCCTCGCTGCCTTCCAAGCCAGTGCCAACTAGTCAGGCCAGACCTGCAGGGCTTCCCAGCCTGGCAAAGGCCACCCAGGTGCTTCTACCCGCTGAGATGAAAGTGTAAATCCCCCTTCCATCCTGCTGGCTGAGAGAGATTTCATATTTAGGTCAGAGTTGCAGCCTTCATTTACAAAACTAGAAAAGTAGTAATGGCTATAGTATTCCTGCCTAGTGTTTGTATTCCTATAGCAGAGAAAGAAAATCTACAACTACTGTGTTAGCTGATGGTGGTCTCCAATTCTGGAGATTGCTGGTCTATCTTAAACGTCATCTCCTCAATAGCTGCAGGTATTTTTCACTGATGAAAGTAAAAGGACCTAAGCACCACACACAGAGAGGGTCCAGTTCCTTCTCTGTCAAAGATTTTGGGAAGGACTGGCATTTCTTACTGCTGTTTCATAGGTAAAAAATTTTGGCCACAAAGGTTAAGCTGTTTTCAGGATGACTTCTTAATGCCAGCTGACCTTCACCTTTGTCCTGGCTCCTTTACAAGGTGGATGAATGCAGCCTTCATTTGGTTACACATTGACCTTAATTGCTCTCTTGGCAGCCATTAATGTTGCCTAGTTCAGTTTCCACTCAGCAGCATCACAATACTTGTCTTGTGAGGCCCAAAAAAAAAAAAAAGAACTTGCTAACCCTAACTTGCTCATAATTTGGCTAACCCTGCAGTGTCTTCCTCCTTTTCAGGGCAGAAGAGGCAGGTGAGGAGCAAATGAAAGAGAAGCTTAGGAGGAGATGGAGTGTTTTTCCCAGGCCTTGGACCCTGGATTCATTCCTAGCTGAGATTGCATCTCTTGATGGGTGAATAGGCCACGCCGTTCTCCTAGGGATGTGCAGTTTTACCCTGGCTTGACCACTCCATGCCGCCTTCCGAGGCAGAAGTGGCATTGGTGGTGGTGACAAGGCAGAAGGCAGGGCATAAGGGATCTTGTAGGGATTCCTCTTTTGTGGCTGCCGGGGGCTGTGCTTGTCCGCGTCAGCCTTTTGTTCTTGGGGAAATACTTGAGAGGCCTGGCACAAGGAAGTGGGACATACTTTCCTTCTCGGTGTGTGCCAGCACAACCCAGAGTGAGGGTTATAGTTGCCGCCGCCGCCGCCCAGATTTTGTGCCCTCTTGTTTGCCCAGCACAAAAGCCAAACAAAGCTTTGGTGATGGCTAAGGGAAGGGCAGGGATTGAGATATCAGGATGAATCCAAAGGTTGAGTACCCAAACTCCGAAGAGAGGGAATGGGTCACTACAGCCTGTGGGAATCCTGCATCGGGTATCGGAGTTTGAAGCCAGCAGTTTTGCTCTGGCTGGTTCAGAATTGCCACTTCTGCGCTTCCTCCCCTGGAGAGGGAGCAGCTCATTACGACAGCATATTTTCACCTTTTACAAGGGATATTGCACATAATAGGGGCACTTCATCAAGCACATTTGGGCACTTCGGAGTCTTGTAGAAACCGTGGCATTGTTTCTGTTCTATTATGCAATAGAAAATATACTTTCTGAATTACTCAGTTAACAGGAAGTTGCCGAAAAGGAGGATGTGACTCCAGGCTTCCTTACACCATCATGGATTTTATTTTTCACCACATCCCTCCTAGACAAGTATTTGATACTGTTCTTACACTTCAAAAGAACTTACTGCCATAGAGAATTCATACAGCCTTGGAGAATATCTGCGCTAAGTTCTCTGACAGAGAATCGAATAATTAAGACCAGTTAGGCATCTGTGAAAAGTGCTATCTGTTATATCTTTTACCAGCACACCAAGTTAATGGAGCTTAACTACAGTTTGGTGATATATAAGAACTGACAAATTGCCATTAACATCGGGGCTGGAGGCCGCCTGCACACTTTTAGAAGACAAGGGGGTTTCAACCGTTCAAAGTCAAGCCTGGTTTTTGTTTTTTTTTTAGATTTTAAGCGACAGTGGCTACAATTCAAGCCCGGGGGCGGCGGGGGCAGGTTTGTTTGGGGATTTAGTGAGATTTAGCCAATGGCTCATGAACTGTCCCCAGGTGAACAGTAGCCAAAGGGCCGTGGCTGCTTTTTCCCTCTGTCCTTTCAATATGTTGGTTGCCCAATTAGCTGTGCATTAATCCGCCTCATGCTCTGCAGTTGTTGATATCATAATGAGGTATAAGGTCATTCTACTTTGTATATGCTCTGGTGACCAGCGTTCCACTTGTAAATCTGGTATGGTGATCGCTTTGATTCCTCAGTTTAGCTTCCTAAATAACTCATAATCCACCCACTATAACTCTATTGCACTGCTGATTATGTGGTTGGTTTTATTTTGACCATAGTACCGAGCATTAAATGCATCAAACCCAAGTGGTTAAAATATGATGAGGGAGGGGAATATGCAACTGAAAATATTTCATGTGGAAAAACTTACATCTATATCCCACCTTCCTGCTTATATAATTATTGAATATTTAATTTTAAAGTCCACGTAGCATGGTTCTTACTATGATCGTTTTTTCCCCATTAGAGCAGAAATGTCGTCTTGTGTGACTGATTTTTGTCTGATTTCTTCTTACCCCAATAGTGTGCCGCTCTAACAAAAGTCCCTGGATTTGCCTGACTTGCTCAAGTGTCCACTGTGGAAGGTGAGTGCGGGACACAAGCTCCTTTCCTGGAGGTGCTATTTTCACAGTCTCCCCACTTCTTTATGGCCTGGGACGACAACATCTTGAGAAGAACATTGGTGTAGACCAGCTGTCCTTCCTTCGTTGCCTCCACATCTGTTTGGACTCAACTCCTGCAGGCTGCTCCATAAGCACCTCTGGGGAAGGCTGGTCAAGAATCCAACCGTAGTCACGGCCCTTGCTTCAGAGTTGTCTGGTCTACAAGGATTAGGTGCAGTCCTATTTAAGAACATATATCGCTGCCCACATTTGGTAGAAGGGTTTAAGGGTTTGGCCAAGGAAGAGCCCTCTGTCCCCAGTTCCCATGAGGCTGTCCCGCTTTTGCTGTAGCTGCTTTGTGTGGCTGCTGAAAAACAGCAGTCCATTTTGCCTGCTCCTGGGGGCATCCTGAGGCAAAAAATACTTCGCGTTGCCATGTAAAATGGCAGGGGAGGTAAAACCATTTATTGACTTTTCTCAAAATATTTGAAATTCCCTTTGTTTGGACCAGCAGCAGGAATATAAACCCAACAAAACTGACAGGAGAACCCTTCCAGTCTCGGCACCATTTATGCACACCTGCGGTGTTTTGAATCTATTTTTCAAAACCTGCTGAAAGAAATTGGGCAATATTAAACGGGAGCCAATGCAGTTGCCCCTCAAGCTTGTTTACAAGATAGAGAAAGCAGGCACTTTTGTGGGGAAGGCTTCCAAAATCTCACTTTTGTTTCTTTCTCGATCCTTTAAGGTATGTAAATGGCCACGCCAAGAAGCATTATGAAGATGCTCAAGTTTCTTTAATGAACCACAAGAAAGCAGAAAAGCAAGAAAAGGTTCAGCACTTGGTGTGCATGGATTGTAGTAGCTACAGCACCTACTGGTAAGTCAGCAGCCACCCCACTGATATCGAGGGGTGTGTGTGGAGATTGAGAGGGGGGCCCCATCGTGGGAGGCTGAAGAGGCTCCCGGCTCCCTCCTCCCCTTCCGGCTTTTCCCTGCTGCTTCTTTGTATGTTTATTTGAACCTCTTGGCAAGTAATTTTAAATGTCGTTTGGATTAAGGAACAGTCTGGGCCAATTCTGTACTTCTTCATATGGGATTCTATTTTGTTTAAACCTGGGCCCCAAATGCCCATCCAAGCAAGCTTTCTGAAAGTCAGTTTGACAGGTGAAGCCTTTGAGGGAAAGGCTCAATCAGTGTCTGACCTGCTTTGCAGAAGGAAGTTCATTTATAGTTTATAGTTTGGCTAAAACAGAAAACGGTGGTTTACCAAACATAAACATAAAGAGAAGAGGCCAGAAGTTCCACTTTCTGGAAACCACGCAAAGAGAGGAATTCCCCGTATGTTGAAGAACTGTGAAGAGGGTTCTCTCTCCCCCCCCCACCCTTTGCTTGTTACTTAAGTGTTCCAGTCTTCTAAAATGAGCAACTGAGCCTCGGTTTTTGCAGTTGACGGTACCTTTGATGGTTCCTTTGTTGCTGAAGCAGTTTCTTGCTCTTGGCACGGATGAGGTCTTCACCATAGTTGCTGAAGTAGAGCCTTTATTTGCCTCTGTGAACTACAGACTACAAAGGTCAACTGCATTAACGAGGTTCTTGCCTACATTTCATTTTTCTCTACAAAGTATTGGTCTCCAGGGTGGGACAGACTTTATTTTAGGCTGTAATTAGGAATCAAAAGATGCAAGTCTAAAAAGCGTTGCTAAAAAAAGTGAGAAGGAAAACACTTGGCAGTAACCAGAAAAAGGGGAACACTTGTTATTGTTGGGAGAACATTCTGCCTCTTGTCCACATCCCATAATCTTTGTTGGTTACAAATATTTCGTAAATCCTCCACTGGCCTTTCCTTGCTCACCTTGAGCAGCTTCCGCAGTGCCTTGATTACTGTATCCAGCCGGTCAGTTTATGGGGTCCAGTTACCATTTTGGCCGTAATGTGGAAGTAAAATCCAAGTCCAGATGAATCACTGAGTGACCTGCCAGTTGGGGCTGTTTGTGAGGAAGGAGCAATTTGGTTTCTGAAAATATTAGATTGGCAGAAAGACCAAGCAGGATCTTTTGCGGACTGAGCTTGGCCAGGAATCACAGGGTAGGGTAGGGTAGGGTAGGATTCTTTATTGGCCAAGTGTGATTGGACACCCGAGGAATTTGTCTTGGTGCACACACTCTCGGTGTACATAAAAGAAAAGATACATTCATCAAGAATCATAAGGTACAACACTTAATGATAGTCATAGGGAAACAGTCAATATAAATCTTAAGGATACCAGCAACAAGGTTAGAGTCATACAGTCATAAGTGGGAGGAGATGGGTGATAGGAACGATGAGAAGATTAATAGTAATGCAGACTTAGTAACTAGCTTGACAGTGTTGGTTGGAATTGGTTGGAAAAGAATTTGGGATTTGGGGAAGCCCTGCTCAGTGTCTGGAGGAAGAGGGTGGGTAGCGACACCTACACGATGGTGGCTTCCTTCTACGGTTTCAGCATTTTGTGCCTCGTCCCCATTGAAGGAGGCTGGAGGTGACATTTGCCTTCTGGTCCTCTTCACTGTCACCTCTTAATTTGCAGGTCAGAAACCTCAGGCTAGCCAGGGAACCAGCCGTGGCCGTTCTTTGATAGTTCTACGTTTTCTCCACAGTTATCGCTGTGATGACTTCGTGGTAAACGATACCAAGCTAGGCCTGGTGCAGAAAGTCCGGGAGCATCTACAGAACTTGGAAAAGTAAGCCGCCTCTCTTTGCCTGAAGGTGGACAGGTGCTTCCTTTTGAGCAGCTTCTCCTTGGAAATTGTCTTCATGCATTGCAAATGGATCCAATTTTCATGGGACGCCGTCTGGGAGAAGAGTTCTAGGAAGTGTCCCTGAAATGAATGGAGGCAGCGATTGCTTTCTAGCAGATGTTCCCGTCTGTGACCTGGGCCTCTGCCTGGGATATCCCCACAGGGAATGCCGAGCTGAGCTTCTCTTCCGTGGAATATCTTTGGCTGGAAAAGCGGCCCCAGATAGAGGAGCTTTGTAAGGTTCTGGGTGGATGAGATGAGACCTGGTGTTTGAAATGGTCCTTCTAGGCCCAGAGGTGTGGCCTTGTGAGAGACGGGTTAATCCAATGTAAAAAAAAAGTTATGTTAGGTCAAAGGCTTTGGGTTATACTTTAGTGTGACCATCAGATTAATGAAGATATAATCTGATAATTGAAAATAAAATCAGGCTTGAGGTTGTTCTATGGGGAATTCAGAAATTTGTTCTGAAACTACAAGGATGAATCTCTCTGTGGGTAAAGGAACATTCTAGGTGTAATAGGCCGTTTAAAAACATGTCTTTATTATAAAATGCATTTAACCCATCCTGCCTTAAGTGTTATATATTGTAACTAGCTTTGTTTGCTCTCTTTGTATTGTTAAATGTGTCTTAAATCGTCCGTTTATTCTCTTCCACAGCTCAGGTTTTACAGTAGACCGACATAGGAAAAGAAAGCTGCTTGAAAGTGCCTCGGTAAACAGCAAGTTATTAAAAGTAAATGTAAGTGTGGTTTCATTGTTCTGTCTGCCCCGGACTTTGAAGGAGTAGCTTTGGAGTAAATCTCATTGATCAGTGAAGATACTTTCCAAAAAGCCATTTCAGGGTTTAACATTTAATCGGCCCCGCAAGTGATGTTTTCAGCATTGGCAGCACTCGGTGCCCAATTTTGAATGCCAAAGGTTCTGAATAATTCACTTTCGGCTGAGAAAAATATTAGTCTGGAACAGGCCAGATAATGAGTTGCCCTTTAATTCAGCCTTGAAGTTCATGTGTGGCCTCGTCCTAAGCGAAAGCAGAGAGACCCCGGCTGTAGGGGGTCCAGGCCTCCATCATACATGCAGCCGGCTGGAGCCCATCGCTGGGGGTCCTTCCTACAGTCCCCAGCAGAGCGGCTGGCGGTGTATCGGGGGGGGGAGGAATCTAAATTTCCTCCTGGCATCAGAGAATTCAGCAAAGCTAGAATATGGGAATGTACTGATTGATTTTGTGTGATGTCAGGGGTAGTTAATGAACAATCTAAAGTTTGAATTTAAATTATCATTTTCTGTGCTCTGTAATTGACTAACAGTCATGAAAGACTTACTAATTATTTTAGAAGATGGCTAAGGAGTCTGTTTTGTGTCATGGTGTAACATCCCTTTAGAAGGAGGTTGAAGAAAATTGGGGATTTATTGTATGTCAACTCACAGTGATCTTCCTGGTTCGCAGGGGAGCCCCACAAGCTTGTGCGCCACAGGCCTTCGGAACTTGGGGAACACGTGTTTCATGAACGCCATCCTTCAGTCCCTCAGGTATCTCATTTGGGAATGGGGCTCTTCCCCTGTGGGGCACTTGGTGATGTGCACCAAGACTCCTGGGCCCCCCGAGAGGGCTCCTTGCTGTGGACCCGTCCATGCCAGAGTCTTTGCCTTTGCCTTTGCCTGTGTGTGGCATGGCTATTCCTGCCATGTAGGCTTTTCTTTCCAGGACTGCCACCTGCAGGTTTAGAGTACAGAAAGCGAAGGGAGCTCTTGATGGCCGAGTGGCCCTTCCGGCACATCTGGCTGATCTCTCCTTCTCCCCACAGTAACATTCCACAGTTCTGCTGTTACTTCAAAGAGCTGCCAGCGGTGGAACTTCGGAACGGGAAGACTGCAGGCCGGCGGACGTACCACACGCGGAGCCAAGGAGATAACAGCGTGTGAGTGCTTGAGCCGCCCGGGAGCGGAGGGTCCTGGCTGCGTATGGAGACGGAAGGAGCGAGCAGTGCTTAAGTGACTAGCGGAGAAAGACCCCTCCATTATGGAACCAATGGCATCCTGGTTGTATGCTGAGAGATAGTTAGATGTAGTGGTTAAAGCATCAGGCTACAAACCAGGAGCTTGAGTTCTAATCCTGCTTTGGGCATGAAGCTATGAGTTTGGGCCGGTCACTGTCTCTCAGCCCTAGGAAGGAGGCGATGGCAAACCCCTTCAGAGAAACCTTGCCAAGAACACTGCAGGGATTGGTCAAAGCAGTCTCTGAGAATCTGACATGACTGAATGCAAGAAAAAAAACGTAGGGTTAAAAAAAAAAACCCTCAGTGGTTAGTTATCCAGTAATGTAGGGAGAGGGTTCATTTAGAGCTTGTTTTCTTTCTAAGAATAAACGTTGCTTTCCTTCGGCAGTTCCCTGGTGGAAGAATTCCGGAAGACCCTCTGTGCTTTGTGGCAGGGAAGTCAAACCGCCTTCAGCCCTGAATCCCTGTTTTACGTTGTTTGGAAAATCATGCCCAACTTCAGGTAAGTCTGCCTGTTTCAAGGAGCAGCTTTGCCCCGGCCTTCTTTGGAGGGTGGCTTGGCCTTCAGGTGGATCCCCTCTGTGTGCCGGGAGGCTTTGCTCTGCCCCAAAGGGAAGGAGCAGGGCTGAGAGTAGCTCTCCTGGCTTCTGAGGCCGAGGGATGCCGAGGCAGACCATGGGGCAGCTGAGCATCCCGGCCGATCCCGGAGCTCTGCGTAGTCTGGAGAAGCTCTTTTGCTGCTTTGGTTTCTTCACACACCCACACAAACATAGAGTGTGTCCCTGTCCTGCACACGTGCATTCAGGCACAGGTGTATATCTATCTCATAGTGCCCTGAAGTTTGCACATTGGAAAGAGTCTTCCATTGAATAACCGAGAACTTCCCCAGAAGGGCTTTAGAAGCTCTTCATGTGGTCGGATGATTTAAGAAATGGCCTCCTTTCTCATTCAGGAGCTGGGCCTTCCCACCTTCCCTGTGCGCAGCGCGCATAAGAGATGGTGGTCAGTCTATCGATTCCTGGATTTGTTTATGTTAAGGGGGTACCAGCAGCAAGATGCCCACGAGTTCATGCGCTACCTCTTGGACCACCTGCACCTGGAACTGCAGGAGGGCTTCAACGGGGCTCCTCACCCAGCCCTTGTGCAAGAGAACGCTGGTCTCACTGCCAGCGGCCGATGCTGTGTGTAAGTCTCAGTGCTTTGGTGGCTTTGCTGGGCTTTGTGGCTGGGCTCATTTTCAGTGGGTGGCTGTGGTTGCCTCCCACAACAAAGGGCAACTTGTGTGGGCAGCCTTGCTGAGTAGAAAGGAGGGGGAGGGGGACTTGGCACACCTCTCCCACATCTCTCCCTGAGGGTTGCCTTTGTACAAAGGTGAAATGCCCGAATAACAATAGAATGATTAGACATTGTGGGCACAGGCCGTTCTGAGGAGCCTGCTGTCCTAACGCCCCCCCCCCGCCTTTCCTTCAGGAATGGCACTTCTACCGTTGTCACAACTATCTTCGGAGGCGTCCTTCAGAATGAAGTCAACTGCTTGATATGTGGAACTGAATCCAGAAAGTTTGATCCATTCCTAGGTAAAGGGTTTAAAAATATGCCAGCTTGAAAGTATTCATGCAATGCTTTCCTTTGTAACTCTGATCACACCAGAATCTTTTCTAGACTTTTCACGAGACCTTCGCTTTTTTAGACCTCTCACTAGATATTCCAAGTCAGTTCCGGAATAAACGTAACAAGAACCAAGAGAATGGACCAATCTGCACGTTGCGGGGTAGGTTCTTGGGAAGTGGCTCTCTGGTCTCTGGGACTCTTCTTCCTTTCTTTTAATCGAAGAGCCTCGGGGCAGGGACTCAGTCACCTTCTTCGTTGCTCTAGATTGTCTCCGTAGCTTCACTGACCTGGAAGAACTTGACGACTCGGAGCTCTACATGTGTCACAAATGTAAGAAGAAACAGAAGTCCACCAAGAAGTTCTGGATGCAGAAGCTACCCAAAGTGAGCGCCACTTGATAAAGATTGTGGGATGTTCTTTGTAGAGAAAGAAAAGCTGCCGTTTCTTCTAGTGAAGGTGGTGGAGGGACTGTGGCATGAAAGCCATTTTTTGAGCTTTCATGCGGTGTCCTATAAAACCTGCGAATGAACATCTTGGCATCTAAAGGACATTTACTCCACTACTTTTATTGGTGTGTCTGTGAGTTTTTGTGTGCTGCTTTGAGATTTAATAGGAATGGGTGTAGAAATATATTAAATAATTGCTGTTATTGTGAAATTGTTTTTCTTTCTCACAGAAATAATGGGTTTCTGTGCTCTTGTGCCCAAAGCTGCTGCAAAACCATGCTTTAATTTTAGGGTTTTGACAACACAGTCCTTAAAGCCTTTTTGTGCTGTGTGTCCCTTTAATGCCCAGGTGCTCTGCCTGCACCTGAAACGCTTTCACTGGACAGCCTACCTGAGGAACAAGGTGGACACCTTTGTCGAGTTCCCTCTGCGCGGCCTGGACATGAAGTGCTACTTGCTGGAGGTAGGGCACTCATGGCTGGGTAGAGGAGGGAGTGGACAGGCCAAGGCTTCAGGGCACTCAGTTTCTTTGGCTTCCTCCCCCCCCCGCCCCTCCCTGTGCAGCCGGAAAACAGTGGCCCAGACAGTTGCCTCTATGACCTCGCGGCTGTGGTTGTGCACCATGGGTCAGGGTGAGTACTTGGAAGGATCTGGGTTGGGGACTGGACTTCTTAAAACCTGGCATGCATTGACACATGACTGGGAGGTGGGCAGACAGAAGCATCAGCTTCTCGAGTGGCAGGGAGGGCAGGGGTTCCCAAGGCCTTGCAGGGCAGGCGAGAACTGGTGTGGCTTCCCTTGTGGACTTCCTTCCCTTCCCAGAGTGGCCACCTTGGTTGGCTTTCTCTGTGAACAGGTGGCAATAAACTGGCGGGATTCAACCAGTGGGAGCCTTGATTACTGGGGAGGGGAGGAAGGGCTTGGCGCAAGCGGCCCGCATTGTGTAGAGGCCAAAGTGAGCGGCCTTTGCCTGGCCGCTGCCCTCTCGAGCTGCCCGCTTGATCCGGATGCAGCCCAAGGGGCCTCCCTTTCACGTTTCGGGTGCTGGCATTTTCAGGGTCGGTTCTGGGCATTACACGGCGTATGCGACTCACGAAGGGCGCTGGTTCCATTTCAACGACAGCACGGTGACGCTGACAGACGAGGAGACGGTCTCGAAAGCCAAGGCCTACATCCTCTTCTACGTTGACCGGCAGGCTAAGTCTGGATCCGAGAAACTTTAATGCCTCTCTCTGCCTGCCCTGTGCATATCAAGTCCAATGGACAAAACATTTCCAGTTCTCCACAGATACTTGATCCGAGACTCTTGATTTCATTGTGCACTTTTCAAAATTTTTTTGTGGGTTCTAGTTTTATTACATTGTCGGTAGTAGCATTTGACTTATTAAAAAATGGACATAAGCTAACTTTGTGGTTAGTTATACCGGAAAAAAAGGCAAAACCTCTGCAGATACTGATGTGCTGCTTAAACTCAAATTTTATACATAGTTTCAAGAGCGACTTTTATGTTTGACTTTCCTGTCTCCGTGTTCTGGTTTGCTTTCTAAAGGCACATTATTTCCACGAGGGAAACTTGAATCCTTTTGATGAACACAAGTCTGGGTGCTCTGTTAGGAAAGGCCGCAAGGGCCTCGGTGGGTCTCCCAGGATCAAGGACTTGACCCCCGGCCCAAACGGGATACAGGCACGGACTTTGGGGTCTCCCCTTCTTTCTTTAAGGGGCTGAACGGGGCTGCATTAAACAGGCCATGTAACTGCTGCTATTTTTGTTTCTCCGAAAGCTGTTTTTTTAGTCTGTAGATTGTACTTCAGTAGATGGCTGCATTGTTTGTAATAGAAACTCTTTTTTAAAAAATACTTTATATGGATACGGAAAATTACTATTCTGCTGCAATTAAGGTACCAAAAATCAGAATTCAGGATCAGCTACTCATTTTGCTGGCGCAGTGTCTAGACTCACTCCGCAAACGTCACTCTTTGACCTCCTGGCTTGAGATTATTTGGAAGAAGACGAGAAGATGAGCATTCTACGCTTTTCTCGCAGAAACTGCCATCTTGGGCCACTGAAACTCTGAAGAGCTTTGGAAGAGAAGACACGGGTGATGACTTTCCAGGCTGTGCTTTTCTTGAGACTCCTGCATGGAAGAGGCTTTTTTAAAGCTGGTTTTCCCCGAGGGAAAGAACGAAAGTCCCTGGTTGCATTTGTTCCAATCAGCCAAACGTGTAAAGTTTTGAATTCTGCAGAATTCTTCAATTCAAGGAGGGCAGGGCAGGGCAGGGGAGCCCGAAAGGGACGTGGGGGGTGGGGCATGAGGTGGAATACGCCAGTAGCTGAACAGGAACATGCCCCCTCCCCAGCAAGGAGGAAGGCGTGGCTGGCCCTCCCCTCCCCTGGCATAAAAATCCGGGCTCTGAGAGGCAGGCGGTGTTTCCACAGTGCCCAGGCTGAGGGAGCCGGAGCTGCAGACTCACGGAAGAGCTGTAGGAACCCCCTGGAAGTCTTGCTCCCCCTTCCCACACAGGTATAAACAAAATTGGGTGGTCCAGGAGAAAAGGAAGCCCAGATTCACAATGTCCAAGCTGGATTCCGTTTTGTGAGTCGGTTGTGACATCACCTTCCCATGTTGTGTATCATTGCAATCAATTGGACCCTTTTCCTGAGTTTTTCTTTGTTTGGCCGGAATGCAGCCATCTTCCCACCAGGGGGCGCTCTCTTACTGCCAGTTGGGGAAGAAGCTCAGCTTCTCTGCTTGCACCTGGGGCCTCCTCTGCCCCCCTCCGTGTGCCCACAGATGCCAGAGAGAATGGGTAGCCCTGCACAAGGCGGCTGCTCGAGGAGATGGCTGTAGGGATGCCAGGTTTTCTCCTTCAGGTTAGCCCAGCGCTTAACTCGCACTCGACTCTCCCGGGCCTCCCTGTTACGAGCTGCACTGCTCCAAGGCAGAAGGTCTGGCCAAGGTGCCTGTCTTGGCAGTGTCGATGGCCCTTGCCCCCTCCCGTTCCCTGGCTGCAATGCCACTCTTCCCCCAGCAAGGACAAGGGAAGCCCTTCTTCCTTTCGTCCCTGCCTGGCTTTGCCAATGGACAGATGGATCTGCAAGTTGTGGCGACACAAGGGATTTCTCTTCCTGGTGGAGAGTTGTTGATCGGCTGGATTTTGCTCTGAGTTGAAGCAGCCCAACCCGAAACAGTATTGGATTTTTGCCCCTCTTTAAAGCCTCTCTTCTCATGGGGTGGGGGCTTGTTCTTGGCCAGGCCAGCTATGCTGTCCCTGCAGGGGGCCTTGGCAGGAATAGGCAGGCGGCCATGGAGATGCTGGCCTCCCCCTCCCTGCCCACCATGGCTGTTGTCACCTGAAGGGCTCCTGCAGCCTGCTTCCTCCGGGGCCCTCCTGTCGCCTGCTTCTGCTGGACGTTGGCATTGCCAAAGTGCTCCACTCAAGGCTGGGGGCCCCAGAAGGCCCCGTAGAGGAGCAGGACAAGGCTGGCTTCGTGCTCAGTCTGCACAGTGTGCGTTCTTTCTGGTTCCAGTGTGTGTTGTGTTCTCGGGCTCATGTGCAGCCCAGGGGCTTCTTTGTTGGCCATTTAACTTTCATGTATACATTTGGTGAGTGGTTGTCTTCAGCGCATTTGTTGGTGATCTTGACCATGGTTGAAACTCCTAAAATATATTCCTCTCCACGTTATCTCTGAAGTCTTGTCTTCTCTGGGGTGGGGGTGGGGGTGGGGGGGTGAGCCTTGCCTTGACAGGGACAGGGAGGCTGGCACTCGCTCTCAAGAGCAGCACCTGGGAAATGGGGGCATGGCTGCTTTGTTGGAGGTCGGAACTGAGCCAGTTGTGATTTGAGCTACCTTTGCACAGCTGGCGGGCTTGACCCTTCGCTCTTTCAGAGCTTCCTTGCTGGGTGTTTGGGCTGCTTAAGGGTTAGAGGATAAGGAGAATGAAAGCAGACTGCCCCCCACCGACACAGGAAAGAAAGAGCCAAGACCCCTCAGCCAGGAATGGGTCAGGTGTGCACTTTTCCCTGCAGCATTGGCAGCCGAGGGGCACCCGGCTGCTCCAAGTGGGCGCCAAAGAGGACTTGCCGGGAGGCCTTTTCTGCAGTCTTACGACAGGGTTGGAGACGGAGGGCCCAAAGGGGCTTCCTGCTCTGTCCCAGGCCTTGCACTGCAGCTGCTGCTGACGGCTGCTCAGAGTTGGGGCACGCTGAAGCCCAGCGTCCTCTTGGGTTGCAGCATCTAGCTCAAGTACGCCGAATTTGGGCCCTTTTCCTGTTCCTGTAGATCAGGTTCTCTGCCCTTGAATTGGGTCCTGGGCGAGGCCCATTGACCTGAGCTGAAGCTGACAGGTTCTCCATAGAAGTTGCCAATCTGGGTCTAAATGATCAAGTGGCCCTTTTAAGCCCAGACTGGCTGAAACGAGGCCCTGCGGCTGCCGCTGGAGTCCCTCCACAGGGAAACGAAAGGGAGGCTGGTGCCTTGTCCTTTTTTGAAACTTCTCTCCCAGCTGGCAGCCAAAAATAACTTCCATTCCACACCATATTTGTGCAAGGGATCTGGAGCCTTTGGAAGCTGATTAAGCCCAGCGCCCTTTGTGCCGTGCCTGCTGCCTTTGCTCCGCAGGCACCCGAGGGCAATGCGTTTGACGGAGCTGAACTGGGAATGCCTCCTGCACCTCTTCTCCTTCCTGGACAAAAACAGCAGGAAGAGTTTGGCCCAGACATGTTGCAGGCTACTGTGGGTCTTCCAGGACCCCTCGCTGTGGCCTCTGCTCCACTTCCACTCGCCGGCCGAACTGACCAAGGACAACTTTGTCCTGGGACCGGCCTTGCGCCACCTCTCCATCTGTTGGCATTCCAGCCAAGTCAAGGTGTGCAATGTGGAGGATTGGATGAAGAACGAGCTTCAGAGGAACATCTGCAGCCTACATAAACACCTCGTGAATGAGTTTTTACTCCAGGTTTCTAACAGGTAAGAAAAAATATTGCTTGCTAGGCGGGTGTAGCCTAAGTTATGCCCTGCTTGAGGGAATGGCTTTGGGTGCCCCCCCACAAAGAAATGAGGAGAAAGCAGTTTTGTTTACATGCACACCTTAACTACTTCTGTGCCCCAGGAAGGTCCCCAATGCTCCCCTCCCCAGGGATTGTTAAAAGAGTAAAATCGAGCATTTCAGTTTTCAAACAAGCTTGTTCTGTGTGTCCTAATTTGTGCCACCAACTGCTGCTCCGTGCTCAGGCATTCCAAGCGTATTTTCAGCAGAGATTTAGTCCCCTGACTGGAGACATGTGACTTTTATCCCCTTCTCCTCCTGCTCCCTCACTTTTGGGAAGCAACATTTAACTTTTTCACTGGTCTGAACAAAAGGACAGCAAGCAAACACACACACACACACACACACACACACACACACACACACACGATTAATGCTGAAGCTCTCAATCTTCTTTTTGACACTTGTATTCATCCTGGGCGGGAATGAAAACTTTTTTGTCAAAAGGAGTTTACAAGCATCATAGTAGTTGTAATTTTTCAACATTTCATTAATTTTATTTTTAAAAGCTGCCATTAAACTAAGCACAATACAAGTATCGGGGACAATAGAAAGACACCATGAATCAAAAAATGAAATTGTAAAGTGTAATCCTGTTCACTGAAAACTACCTTAGTGAGTCAACATCGACACAACCGCTTAGCTTGTTTTATGGTTTAGATGTAACTAAAAATCCTCGATAGCCTGAGGTAGGAGAAATTACTCCAGGAGGAGTGAAGCAGGAAGCAGATCTGCCAATCTCTCTCTTTCGGCTTAATTTAAAATGTGCTCCGAAGACAATGCAGCCATTATAGTTCTTGCTAAGCATGAACAGCTTCCGAGGTGCTGAACATAGAATGAATTCTTATCCTGTGTTCAGGCTTTACCATCCCTCTTAAGTCAGTGCAATATTCAAAACAATTCTTACAAGCCATCATGTCGGTGCCTGTGAATTTATCTGAAGTCCGGGTGAAGGAAGGGGCTGCAGGGCTGGCTTTCGATTCAAGTGGCCAATTCCTCCCCCCTCCCTTTTAAACCTCCATGCTTCCACTTTCAGGTGCCCCAGCTTGCTGTCTCTGAAGCTTTCTGGATGCGGCCATGTCACAGACCATTCCATTATGCTGCTTCTCAAAAGCTGCCCCGGTCTCCGGACTCTCCAGTTGGAAAACTGCGTCCTGATCACTGACCAGACCCTGGAAGCGGTTGCTCTCCATGCCGACTCCCTAAAAACTATGCATGTGGACTTTTGCAGAAACATAACAGCTGCTGGGGTGCAGCGAGTCCAGAAGATGCGCCCGTCCCTGACTCTCAGTGCAGAAAGAAGCGCAAACATGATTCCGGACAAGCGCCCAGGCAGCTGGGCCTTGGAAAGAGGCTTAAAGAGAATGCTGTGGCATTAGCCAAGCAAGCAGCCACGTTCGGGGTGAGGGTCTGCTCTGCTCTTTCTCTTTGCTGATTGAGATGCTGTGCATGTTGCAAGTGAGATGTAAAATTCTACTCAAACCTGCCATGGAAGTGGCAAAGTAACTGCTAACAAAAATTTAGGCAAATTTAGGCTATCCTTTTAGTGAACCACTTGATGAACCCCTGTGGTCTGTTCTATTTCTCAAACTAGCAGGGATTATTTTGTGACATGGAGCTTCTAAATTAAAGGACAATATTTGTACAAACCTTTCTCAGGTACTTCTTTAGTTAAACATGCTAGATTTTTAGCACAACTTAAATCCAAGAATTGTATATCTCAACTCATACCGACTTAGCTTTTCCATGTGTGTATAGTTCTCTAAATTATTTATTGTACATAAAACCTTCCTTCCCTCCCTCCCTAACTGCTTGGGAATGTCAATTTAATTTTGGCAATTGTGAGCACAACCAAAAGAGAGAAAAATCAGAAATGTAGAAATTAAAAACAAACAAGAAAAATCAAAGTGTTAGGGCACACAAAAAGGAGAACTATTTGCTTCTTGAATCTGCTTTATTTGAATAGGGAACCCTGCACAGGCATTTCAAATTAAAACAAAAATAAATATATGAATATTCATGTAAAACTGTCCTTTCTAATGAACAATTATACACAATGTACAGCTCTTCAGATTCACTGGGAAAGGGAAACAAGGCTCCATTCCCAACAAAAGTGCACCAGAAAGGCTCCATGCAAACTTATCAAAAGTGAACAAAAAGAGGGGGAAAGGGGGAAAACTTTACTGATCTCACTTTTTTGCATTTTTCTGCTTACAGTCACAAAAAATAAACACATCTAAATTTTGTTACATTTAGAGTAACTAAAAAGGTGGCCACTGTTTATATTCCTAAAACATCTACCTTTACTGTAAAACCATGTCAGCGCTGAAATCCGGTGTGGGCATTCTGAGAGAGAGAGAGAGAGAGAGAGAGAGAGAGAGAGAGAGAGAGAGAGGATTTTTGTCCACAGTTAATAGTCCGTGTCGGAGCCCTCGGCATTGTCCACGTTTCGGGACAGCATATAATTGTCCATATCGATCGACCTGCAATTGTTGATTGCATAGCGCAGCCGCTCCGCCATGACAAGCTGACTGGAGTACGGTGGGAGACGCAGTTGAAAGAAGCAGGTCTGTGAGGTAGGCAAGCTGTCGTAAGGCTGGCAGGGAGAAGAGCGGGAGGGAGGGGGGCAGGTTAGGCCAGGCAGGGGGGACCCCACTTGTCAACGCCTCCCCAAACCTGCTGAGCCTCACGAAGCGGGTAGAGGAATGTTGGTGGGCTTTTGGCGAAGCTCAGGGTTCCCAGCTTAATAAACTGGCTTAGGGTTTCTCTCTGAGATTCCACCCCCGCTTTTTGGCCCCTTTGCTGAGCTTCATTCCAAGTCCTGCCTGCTCAGCTGGCGGGGCTCCCCCTCCTTTCCTCTCCTCAGGTGAGGCCTTAGTTGCAGAGCCCGGCTTAAAAGCCCCCCCTAAAAGCCAGAGAGTCTTGGGGTCTGCTCAGCCGCCCAGGAAGAGGACTAAAGGTGGTTTCAAGGGCAAGGGGTCCCCTGGCATCGTCTCTCTGATCAGGCAGCAGAACAATCGGGAGGGGAGAAGCGCCATCTTACCCTATCGACCTTCATGATTTGGAACCGCTGAGAAATATCCGCCGTGTTTGCTGGCAGGCGAGATCTTCCGGACACAAACCTCATGAAAAGGACCCGCTCCTCATTGGAGAACTCTTCCAGCGTGTGCCAGAACCACTGGACCAGCTGGTGCTGTTCATCCACCTCGCGGTAGCGCACCACCTTCTTCAGCACATCCACCGAGATCTCAGGCATGCCGCAGACCATCTGCTCCAGCTGCTTGGCCGTCAGCAGGGACAGCAGAGGCACAGGCACGATCCAGGACATTCCTTCCCGCACGGCGGCCACCTGCAAGGCGAGCGGAAGAAATTCTTAGACACAAACAGGCAGGAGGAACAAACCGTCTTTGGGGACAAACTGGGAATTGGGATAAATATTTCCATCTCGGGGGTGGAGCTTATAAACTGTGTTCCTTCCATTATGCTAAAAGGATGATGCAGATTGTGCTGCACGAGGGCAAAACTGACCCTTCAGGCGGCACCAAGGACTGCCCCAAAGCAAAGCAGAGACACCTCTGAGCTTTACCTGGCGATCCATTTCGTGCAGCCGGTACTCGATGGCTCTTTCCACGTACTCCTTCCGGTTTGAGAAGGTGAGGGGGATGCTGTTCCCACCGGGGATGATGGGCACCATTTTCCCATCTGCACTCTGGCCGATAAAGGAATCTAGAGGAATCATCTAACAGGAAAGAAATCAAGCGGTTTCCTTGCAAAGCGGTTGTTTTGCTTCTTTGTCACTGCATTGCTTGGTGCTGCCTTTCACACTCACTGAGCCCTTCAACCTCCTGGCCCACCCCCCCATCCCTCAGAAAAGCCCCTTCTGGAGACACCCCTCCCTCCCCCCTCCCCCCTTCCAGAGTTCAACTGGCAAGAGCTGCAGACCCTTTTTGCTCTGTCACGAAAGCGATGGCCGTAGCTGGGCCCGGCAGTGGGACTTCCCTCACCTCGTGGAAGTTCTCCTCGGTGATGCCGCTGTCTTCAATGTGAAGAATGCTATTCAGGGTCTGGACGTAGAGCAAGTCCACCTCCTCCAGGTCCTCCAGGGCAAGCGGGATGCAGCAGAGCTGCTTCCAGACCAGGGGGGCCAGGTGGAGGTCCAGGGGCTTCTTGGTGCGGATGGCCACGCCCATCAGGATGCCCAGGAACTTGAACTGCGTCAGGTGCTCGTCCAGGCAGGCCGAGGGGTTCAAGAGAAGCCTGGCAAGACGCAAGGCCGCCATTGGCCCAGATCACTACCCGAGACGAGGTCCCCAACCCCCCAGGGAAAGTGGGAGGATCACCACGTTCTGTGGCCAGGCAGAGCTTCCAGTGCACAGAGCCAAGGAAGAGTCAGGAGAGGGACTGGCTGCCTGAGTCTGGTCCCAGATGGAAAGGAAGGGCAGTGCTTGGGTCACTAGGGGCTTCTGGCAAATGGCTCAGGACCAGCCTGTCCTGGCCCAACTTCCAAAGAAATACAAACTCCAAAACAAGCTCACTAAATCTCCCTCCTGCCTGGAACTGGTCAGAAGCCCTCCCTGTCTTTCAGAAGGGGGCCGGCTAACTTACCGATCCCTGTTGTAGCCAACTTCGGCTGTTGCGTTTGGGGAAGGAATCAGCAGGTCTACAATTCCAGTTTCAAGTTCCTTATGAATTAAAGGGAGAAAAGGTTTTCTGAATTATTAAATGGCTCCGAAAAGCAAGTCCAGCAACAGCAAGAGGACAGCTGCGGCTGCTCCTCTCTCAGAGCAGCAGGCGTGGGAGTCTCACTCTTTCCAGTCTCCCAACCATCAACCGGCCTTTAAGAACCTGGCATATGACTGTAGAAAGCTACTAAAACCTTAGCAAGTGTTTTATATCCTTTTTCCCAAGTTGGCATTACTGACTGCTGGCTGCCCAGATGCTGGACTGCTCTGGGTGAACGTCCCAGGAGTGTGGGGGAAGCACACCAGCTGCCCTGGGAGCAGCTTCAGAGTTGGCTCAAGGACCGGCCACTGGCATCGCTTGACAGACTCTGCTCTAGGCCCAGAACGAAAGGGCTATTTACTATTTACGTGCTATATCCTACTCCAGAATTTTAATTGGGGAGAGCAAAGATGTGGCCTGTCCCCTCTATTTTTTTGGGGGGGGGGAGGAGGAGGAGGAGGAGGAAAGTGCCTGATATCTGGCCAGGTCCTCATTCCCTTTTCAGGGGCCAGGCGTAAGAGGAGCCGCCTGAAAGGGAAGTGATGCCAGCTGGCATCCTGCCGCACCTGGCACATTTCTGTGATGGTGTCGTCGAAGACGCCCCCGGCATCGTCAGCGCCTTCGCCCACCAGCTTCACCTTCCAGGCCCGAGAGGGCAGCCGAAGATCGGAGGCATTCAGCTTGACCACCTGCCTGGCGATCTGAACCAGGATGGGCTTGCACTTCCGGCCCCTTGGGAAGAGAAGGAGGAGAGGTCGGCCGCCCAGAGCCTGCACTGCCCCACCCACCCTTCCCTGGGCCTAAAGGCTGACCTGGTGGAGATCCTCTTGACCGTGATCTGGGGGCCGTAGTTCTTCCCCTGGACCATCGTCTTCCCAATGGAGCGCACCATGGGCAGTGTGTAGACTCGGGGTGCCAGCAGCGGCCTCAGCTGCCCTTGGACGATCCCCCAAGTGCCGGCGTTGTAGTGGGATGTGCTGCTCTGTAACAAGAGGGAGGCCAATAGCTTCACCCGAGATGGAGGGCAAAAGGAGAGGGGGCTCTGAAAGGGGGCCACCACCGCTAGGCTGGGCTCAAAGGTCAGCCTCCCCCCCCCCCTTGCAGGGGCAGAAAAGGAGTGGGGCACTCTGCCACTTCGGAAAGCAACCCTTTTTCTTCCTTCAAGGGCCAAGCAGCCCGTGGCCTGGCCAGACTGACCTTCCTCACTCCCCTCCCAGGCCCTCCCAAAGCCCTTTCCCCATCTGGGTCTGGCCTTCCAGATGGCTGAGGTCCGGTGCCCACCCTCCCGTTCTCAGCCACATTGGCTGGGCCAGCACATCTGGAGGGCAATGCCGACGCTCGAGGTCCCCCTGGGAAGGCAGCCGCACAGCTCAGAGGGCGACTCCTTACCCAGGGGAGCTGCCAAGGCTGGCACATGATGCTGGCTCCACCATCTGGCCTTGCAGAGAGGCCATCAGTGGGTTTCCTTGGACGGGTGTGTGCATGGGGGGTAGGGGGAGAGAGGCAGAGGCCGGGACCTCACCTGGTTGTTGGGACTGAGGTTCAGCAACCTCCACGAGGAGTACATGAGGTCGGAGAAGTGGTAGAGCAGCCGGAGCCTCGCCCGGACGGTATGGATGCTCACTTCCTTCAGGGCCCCGTACTGAGGCGGAATGGCGTCCGGCAAGCCCAGCTGCAATGGCACCGACACCCCTGCAGAGAGAAAAAGGCCGTCAGCCCCCAACCCCACCCATGGGCGGCCCCTGCTCCTCTCGCAACGGCCGCCCTAAGGCCCATCGCAGAAGGAGAGAGGCATGATCCTCCGGCCACAGCCCCCCTCCCCACCAAAAAAAGGGGGGGAAGAGGAAAGCTGCTGAAAAGCCGATGTGAATTTATGTATGAGTCATTGGTTGCTCTTGCGGGCCCCCTTCCCTCTCGAGGGGCAACAGTAGTGAAGCTGGCCCAAAGTGTGCCCTGGCAGAGACGGCTGCCTCCCGGTGGATTGATTGGCTAAAGAGCGCAGCCCCCTCTCCTTGTACCTGGTGCTCGAGGGGGGGTGGGTGGGGCAGTCCAGGCAGCGCTGTGACATCGCCCAGCTGAGATCTGCCGGATGTTTTTCCCTTGCAGACAGGTGATCAGAGTGGGCTCCCGGATGTGGTTGGTGTGGCCCAACCCGAGCTAGATTCAGAAAAGGAAGCGCTCAGCCAGGGCGGCCTCAACTGGGCACCTGTCCGTGTCCCCCTTCGCGTGTCCCATATCCTGTGCACACCTGGCCTTCAGAATTGCTGCCCCAGGCGTAGACATCCCCGGCCGAAGTGAGCGCCAGCGTGTGCTCTGCTCCTACAGCAACGTCCTCCACGAAAACCCCCGAGAGGGCCGGGACTTGCTGGGGCCGATTGTGGTTTCGGGCTCGTCCTTCCGGCAGGCCGATCAGCCGGTCTGGAATAAAGGAGAGTCTTGATGGTGTTGCAGGAAGCCCTTGTGGGCACCGAGGGCCAGCTCTAGCCTGCTTCTCGCAAGGTCTCCTCCGGTACCCGAAGGCTGAGCGCTGGGGGCACTTCGGCTGGACTCACCTTGCCCAAAAGTGTAGATGTGCCCGTCCTTCGTCAAAGCCACTGAAAACTGGGTGCCACAGGCAACTTTTTTGATTCCTATTCCACAAAGAATGTCTACTTTCTGTGTGTGAGAGAGAGAGAGAAAAAGGGAAACATTTAAAAAAAAAAAACAAGAACGGGTAGCATCAGAGATATTGCATTCAATGCCCTTCAAATAGCATTCATTTGTTTTTCATTTTTATTTTTATTCAGGAGGCCACACTATGCTGGGGACGCAGAGCAATTTGTACATGGATAATAGAAAACATTAGCAGAGACTCTGTGTTATTTCCCTGAGGAACAATTCAGGGATGCTGCAATATAACATCCCCCCCCCCCCCCCCCCCCCCCGGCTTAACCCCCCCTTCACCTCCCATGACAGCTACCAGGGAGGGAGACTTGGGAGAGCTGGGATTTCATCCTGGGAACAGACTCTCTCGGGGGAAGCCCATTTCTGAGCAAACCTGCGAGGTGGCTGAGAGGGCCGGGAGGTGCTATTGCTGCTGCTGCGGGACTCACCTGTGGTGAGGACTTTGCAGTTGAATTTCCCAGGCCCAGCTTCCCGTAGTCTCCGTCCCCAAAAGCCCAAACCATGGAACCGTCGGTAGATACGACGATGGTGTGATTGAGTCCACAGGCCACCTAACGTTAAGAGAGAGATAAGCTTCTGCTTAAAGAGTCTCAAATCCCAGAGCCACAAGTCCGCAGGAGGACTCGCTCGCCAGCTGGGGGGCTAAAACTCTTGAGGCAGACATGAAAGGAAGGCAACTCCCGCTTTTCCTATTACGCATCTAAAGAAGAGATTTTAGTCTGAAAGTCAAACCTCTCCAATCTGGTACCCCTCGAGTGCCGTCACCCTCTCGGGAAGCTTCTTGTTGGAGGTGTTGCCTAATCCCAGCCGTCCGTAGTCGCCGTTCCCAAATGTAAAGAGTTTGCCATCTGCAGTCACTACAGCCGAATGCTTAAAGCCACAGGACATCTGGAAGAAACAGCATTCACTGATCATGAGGGGCTTCCTGGAGACTTTTGGAGTTCTTTCAAGCCAGCTACAATTTTGGACTTTTAACCCCCTGCCCCGAATTCAGAGCCTGATCCCCCAATTCTTGCAAAAACCATCAAGTCGATGAGGGATCCAGTCTCGGACCCCTTTGCTGTACCTGGACCACTTCTTCTCCTTGCAAAGCTTCTATCTGCCTTGGCCGGCGTTGCCGGTCGCTGTTTCCGTGTCCCAATTTGCCATAATCTCCGTCTCCCCAGCTGAAAACCTCTCCACTCTCCGTCAAAGCCATGGAATGTCCATCAGAACCGCAAGATGTCACCAGCTGGGTGACAACAAAACCTTCACGCAAGTGGAAGAACCAAGACAACATTAATAGTTCCTTCCGTCCACTGCTCCTCCCCTCCCTCCCAAGGCCCAAACACACTCCCGGATTCTTCCCCTGGAAATCCCGTGTGGTGCCCCTTCTGGGTTCCTCTCCAGCTGGACCAGGCCACCCTCTGCCCTCTGGCCAGGGCTGTGGCAAATGCAAACCTTAGCCAGGCCCTGGTCTCCCGTAGATAGTCTGCCACAGGCTCTGCCGGGGAGCCTAGGAGGGACTCTGAGACCTTATTTCCCGATTGTTCCTGATTGTGGCATGTTGGACTCTATCTTGGGGCTGGCCCTCTCGGGGCTCTGGAAATAATCCTGAGCCCAGTTTTGGGGATGGAGTCCTTCATGAATAAATATGACGAGGTCACTTGGTCGAATATGCGACGCTGGCCAAATCTTCTGTGCCAAAATACACAACGTACCCTGCAAAGCTGAAATGACGGTGAGCACGTGAAGATCATCGGAATTTCCTTGTCCCAGCCGACCGTAGCTCCCTTCTCCGCAAGCCAAAACTGTTCCATTCGCTTGGATCACAAATGTGCAGTTTTGGCCACAAATGACCTGGGTAATTAAAAGGAAAAAAAATTGTTTCTTAAGGCAGCAAAAATCTGCATCTGAATCAACGCAAAGCCAGGTGAGCTGAGAGAGAGCTCCCTCCCCTCAAGAGCCTCAGATCTGTGGGAATCTGTCTGCCTCGTTTGGGCCTGCTCTGCTCTCTCCAGGAAAACCTCAGGGGGAGACCATCCTTGTGTGTGTGTGTGTGTGTCTGAAGACTTCTGACAGTTACCTGTTGTGCTTGTGAGAAGGAGGGGGCCAAGACGGGCAACAGGACGTTCCTTCCAGCCTCTGCCAGCTGCCCATGCCTTCCTGCTCCCCAGAGGCACACGTCACATTTCCCCCCAAGGTGCCAGTCCTAAGGGACAACAGAGGTTTTTAGAAGCGGGGTGGGGGGCTCTTTTGGGCTCTTTCCAACCCACCACCTATGGCACTAACCTCCGGGCGTGATGTTGCCCAGGACATGATCTGCTCATCCATGCCATTGATCCATTTTCCGTTGTCCTGCAAAATACAGTTCTTGCCTTACAGTCAAGCCGGGAGCGGTGCCATTTCCACGTCTCTCATGTATCTTGATCCATTCTACGCCTGCTTACTTGAAAGGATGCCCTGACTTTGTCTGGAGCAACTTATGCAATTATGACACCCCAACCTGTAGTTTCACACAAGGCAAGAAGCTGCCCCTGCAAAATCTGGAGCATCCCCACCCCCTCCCCTTTTCCTAGAGCTGCAGGAGGCAGCACTCAAACGTTCTGTCTCCTTTGCTATATCCCCGCAACCCTAATCGAAAACAAACTGCAGGACCAACATCTCCAGGCGGCTCCATTGAGCAAGGCGCACACAAGAGCCCTTTCAAAAGCAGCCAAACAGGCCAGGCTGCGTTGCCAGGCGCAATGCACGGTTACCATAAGGAGGGCCAGTTCTTCTTCCGGCACCGGTTCCAGGTCTGGGACAGTGAAGGACTCTGGGAAGGTGTCTCCCTTGGCCAGCGCTTCTGCAGCCTTGACTGTCATGGAGAAGCACTCCAGCCAGGCCCACTCGGTGGGGTTCCAGGCCGAGGGGTCTGGGAGGCAGGCCTGGTGATGCGGAGGGATGGGTGGGCTGCACAAGAGCTGATCTAGATGCAGCCCCACGGCCAGGGAAGCCAAGCACTGCATGTAGGGGCTGTGAACAAGCTGGTCTCCACAAACCACGTAGGGCTAAGGGTGAGAGGAAGAGGAAGGGTTACCCCAATGTTATCCCTTTTGACCCTTCACTTTATTAACTATAAGAGGTCATGATGTCCAAGAGAAATAGCTTCATCATCAGCAAAACAGAGCTAGGATTACTCTGGGACAGAGTAACGAATTTAGTCCCAAATGTTTTTTCATAAGGAAATTGTGACAGCAAAGAGCTGTGGAAAATGCTGCCAAAAATGAATATCTAAGCAACATAATCTAGCACAACCCTCTGACCTACTCGGGGAACTCTGGAGGCATCAGCAGAACTCCAGAAATTAGGCTGAGACCAAGTTCAATCTTTCTCAGATGGTCTCCGCACAGTTCACGCACAAGCTCCCCCCGTTCCAGGTCTCCCTACCTTTTCGTAGGTGTACTGTTCCTGCAGCATGATGGGCAACCGTTCCAAGAAAGCCCTCATACATGGGGCCATGTTTAAGCCAAAAATGCCCTGTTGTTTCAAAGCGCTCCTACATGTTGCTAAGACGTGGTTGGAAGAGACCCATTCCGAAGTGCAATTCACCACCAGGACATCCTATCCGGAGAGGAGACTGTCACGCCTTTTGAAATAGCACCGCCACCATAATCAACCGTCCATCGTGGGGCACAAAGGCAGGTGAACCCAGAGCCAGAGAGAGGTCCCGCCGGCTAGGCTGGGGCCCCACTGAGAGGGAGGGCAGTGAGGACTTTGCTCAGAGACAATACCTTTGATCTACTAGAACAAGCAGCAACTCCAACCTCAGGGATCCAAACCACCGTCTGAATAGCTCCGGAACCGATCACCACGCTCTGCAGGACAGACCCGTCCTAAGCAGGAAGAAGCAGGAAAGCAATTACATAAGCACAGGTCATCTGTGTTTGTATGGCAGAAAAGGTATCACAACAGTAACAATGTATTTGATTTGGGGTCTGCCAAACTCCAGAACCAGGTTTCTACGCACCAATCAGTCCATGAATTATCTAAAATTATTTGCTAAACTTGAGCCTTCAAAGTTGTGTTATTTTGTGTTATTCTGAAGGGGAACTGAAAACTGGCTTTGACTTTTGGGAACCCTGCTTACCCGGAGAGACCAGATGTTGATAAGTCCCCCGAGTCCCCCAGAGACCAAGGTGAGTCCGTCAGAACTGAAAGTCAACGTCCGCACAGGTGTGATGTGTCCTTTTAGCTGATAAACACACTTGGTTTCTGCTACTTTTCGGTCGGCATCCTGGAAAGGAAGGGCGAGAAGAATCCCAGAACTGAAATGCAAATGCCTATTTACAGAGCCCAAATACTTTAAAACGTGGCCATTTGTCCAGTTAGTGTGCTTCTGCCAGCTTTCTTCACACGGGTGACCTCTGCAAGGGATCAGATTCCCTCACCCCTCCCAAGCACGGAGGAAAGCTGCGCGAGGCCTGAGTGCAGAGACAGAACCTTTATTTCAAAAGCTGCCTTGAATGCCTGGCCTTATCTCTGCCTCCCCAGACCGGAGGCTGCCTTCTGCCCTGCACCGGCTCCCCCTAAGAGAGAGCACCGACTTGTGGTCCTCACCTTCCCGCCGATGTCTTCGTCCCACCACTCTTCAGAGCAGCTCAGGCTCGACTGCAGGAAGACCAGCTCGTCTTGGGGAACTGTCCAAACACAAACCAAGCCATTCTGGCACCCGCTAAACAAAAGCGAAGAGGAGAAGCTGCATTGAAGAACCACCATTCCGCACCGGGCCGAGCGGTGCTTGTAGGTGCTTGCGGGTCACACGGAATCCCCTGAGGGCTGCAAACACGGAGCGAGTGAGTGGAGCCTTTTGGGCTTGGGAACTCTAAGACCCTCTCAGCATTTCTCCCCCCCTCCCCCCTCCACAGATGGCAGCGATGGAAATACAGGAGATTGGGAGGGAGGGAGTGGAAAGGCAAAAAACTGTAGGCCCAGGAACCTTGGAGTACAGAAAGGTGAGACTGATTTGTTTTTTTATAGATAGCAAAAATATCTGAAAACACAAAATCTGACAATTGCCATCACATGACCATTATCAATGCAAACTGATTGCCAAGCGCCCAAATTGTGATCATGTGATGGCAGGGGTAGTGCGATGGTGGTAACTTCGAGGATGGGCCATAAGTCACTTTTTCCAAGGCCGTCCTACCTTTGAGCTGTCTTTAAATGAACGGCCATATGTTGAGGACTACCCGTATGATTCCTCTTTTGAGTACAGCCAAATGCCATTTGAAAATTTTAGAAGCCCGTCAACCCCCCCGATTCTCTGTTCGTACCACGCAGCTGCCAAGAGAGGCATGAAAACTTCCAACTCACGTGGCCAGCAGCAGCTGCAGCTTGGGGCCTTTCCCCAGGAGGCTGCACCAGACCAGGGCATTCACCACGGCCTGGTGGGAAAGGCTGCACAAGTGCCTCCAGCAGCTCCCCGAGGAGCCCCAGAGCTTGACCGACTCTTCCTTCGCACAGGTCATGAGAATCTTCCCGGTGGGGTCCCACTTCATGCTGACAAGGGTGTCCTGGAGAAGGAAAGGAGCACAAAGGACCCACATTGGGCCATCTTGAGAGCACAGAGAATCTCCTTAAGTTCCCTTCAAGCACAAGACACAAATCTCCCTCCTGAGCTGGAACACTGATACACACACACACACACGCATACAAGAACCTGCCCTCTTCACTGCTTCTGCCCTTTCTGGCGCTCAGGCCCTTCAGGAGGCCAAAGCAAGCGGGCTCTGCTGTACCTTGTGTGCATCCACCAAAACAATCCCTCCGCTCTCCCGGGCTTCCCTCGTGCCTATCAAGAGCTTCCCATCCACGTAGCCGACAGCAAAAGGGCTCTCCTCACTGAACCAGGCAAGACAGGTCACCGACACTGGAGACCAGCAGAAAAAGATGGCTGAGTCACCCAAATCTTTTACAGCGCAGAAAGGAAATACACGAAAACACTGGGAAAACGACATCAGCTCTCTCGCTCTCTCTCCCCCCCTCTCTCGGGTCAAAATGCCCCTCCCCACTTCACAGCCCAAAGACTTGCAGCCCCCAGGACCTGGCAGGAGCCTACCGTCCTTCCTGTAGCAATGTTCCAGTTCAATCCTGCGCATGGTGGAAACGTCCAGGACCTCAATCAGTCCCAGAGAGCCGTCCATCCGCCCCACCAGCAGGAACTCTGGCGCATCTCCAGTCCAGGCTGCGGAGGAACTTTCTTCAGGCCAGGCGAGGGCAGAGACCCAGTGAGGCTGGATGTCCAGGAGCCCCTTTCCCCCTAGGAACAAGACAGATGGGCGCTTCAAGGACCATTGCTCTCCTCATTTGCCCCGAAGGGCAATGGCTCCGAGAGTCCTTTCTACGGTGCGTTTGCCAGCCAGAGTTTGCTGGCACCCTGGGCAGCTTGAATTTAGGGTGCTGTCAGAGAAACCCATTGCACCCAGACAGGTCAGCCCATTGATAACAACCAGCAGAAGAAAAGGAGCCAAAGAACGAGACTGGACTGCCAGTGCTTGACAAAATGGATCCCTCCACGAAAACGGAAGGGCTGCATGGCAGGTGATGGGAGGGAAGAGGGGCTGGAGTTTCTATCTTCTATCTCCCTTCGTCCCCATTTCCCTGCCAGCAGCTCCTGAAGTATCAACTGTTGTCTAGAAGCTTTGAAGAGGCCAAGTGGGCCTCCAGCAGAACTTCCCCCATATTGGCTCTCCAACAAACAAGGGTTTCAATCAGGTTTCCCTCATTCTGGCTAAAAAATAAACTGAAAGCGCATTGGGGGAACTGAATACCTGATTATTATTGGCCAGGACAAAGGCTACCGATAGGTTATTTCACTTTAAAAAATAAAATGCCTGTCACAACGTAATTCTGCTTAGTTTTGTCTTGCTAAAATGGCTGATGTTCAGTCCGATGTGGTTCGTACCGTTGACCTGCCATATGTTCACCATCTTCTCCAGGGCTCCCGCCAGGTACTTGCCACTTAGACTCCAGCAGGCGAGAGAGAAACCGGGGTCACCGGGAGACCCCAAATTTTCTTCTGCATCTCCTTCGCTGCAAGACAATACAGAAACAGTTCTCCACTAATCTCTATGGCCCAAGCAATAGCAAACATCCCACCATCCCTCAAGCAGTTCTAATCCCGCGGAGGCCAAACCTTTCATGCGGCATCTTCTCTTTGCCTCACTGACAAACTGAGAGGAACCCAAAACTCATCCCCAGAACAGTTTCAGCCATGCCTGCAGCAAAAGGGCCTCCGTTCGTAAAAGCCGACTTGCCCGCTGGCTCTGTGGCTCTGAGAGAGCCGTTGCTCTGATCCAGCAGAGTCCTTTTGGCCCTTAGCTCTCCCATAAAGTCCTCCCTTTTGGTCAACCTAACAGAAACGGCCGCCAAGCCACCTACAGTTTGCTGAAGACACAGGTCTGTTGCAGCGAGTACTGCTTCTTGGTGACGTTCCACACTCGGATGGTTCCGTCGCTGCCACTGGTGGCCAGAAGACCTTTCTTGTTGCACCAAATGCAAGTCATGACCTGTTTCAAGAAAAGACGGGGAGGCGTTTCAGCCGGGGTCCAAAGTTGAAGGATTGTCTTCTTCATTATCAAATGTTCCTATTCAGCCACTGCTGGAGCTCAGATTAAAATCTGGCCAGGACACCCGATTTAAAAATCAGCTGAAGGAAACCTGAGCAGGAGATTGTTGAGATATTTCAGTCCTCCCCCAATTCCTGTTGGGGTCCTCCATATCCAGGTTTGTGCACTAGAACCAAATCCAGGACTGGGAATTATGGGGGTAGATAAACCCCCCTCTCCCCAGCGGCAGAAGGCTGCCTGGGTGTTAGCTGAGATGGGCCTCTGGAGATACTGTGTGTGTGTGGGGGGGGGGGGGGGGGGGTTACCCTGTTCTGATGAGCCTCCAGCTTGATGGAGGAGCACTTGCGCAGGTCCCCTCCCACGTCTGCCAGGGTCTGCGGGCTGCCTTGGTTGTCGCGGTCGTGAGCGGCGAGGGTCCGCACCAGCTGCTGAGCGGCCCACTGCCTGTGCTGCGAGGACAGCCGGGAGGAGAGGCAGCAGGCGGCCAGGGCGTTGGCCAGCTCCAGGGGCCCTAGGGCAGAAGGATCGGAGCAAGGCTGGTCACTCAAAGGGCCACACCCCTCCTTGGACAAAAGAGGGGCACCAGGCCAACAGCATCCCCCACTCAAGACAACTACCTTTCTTTTCCATTTCCGCTTTATCGTAGCTGGGCCTCAGTTTGGCCCCCTTGTCGGCCAGCAAGGCCACCAGGGCCTGGGTCACAACAAAGTTGGGGGAGGTGATGAGTTTGTTCTCTTCGGCTATTCCTCGCAGAAAACTCGGCAAGAACTTTCGTTGCACGGGATCATCCACTGTCGTTAAATTGACCCCGGTAGCTGCTGAAATCAAGTTCTAAAAAAAGGAATTAAAGCAACAATCAAGATGGATTTTTTCAAACACGGAGGCTAATTCTCACTACATTGAGTTTTTCAACAAGACATAGGAACCTTCAAAACATTTCCCATTAAAGCAGATGCAGCATTTAAAGCAAAGTATGGTTTACAGGTCTATTCTGATTATGAATAATAGGAATTTATAAAACAGGAAAAAGTAATACACAAGGAAATAGAGTTGCTTTCAAAGACACTGAATTTTTTTCAGGTAGCTCATAGCTGTCATAATTCCCATCATCAGATATAATAGATTTCAGAGATTAAAGACGTAATGGACTCCGATGATTCAAATAGATTTACCCAGATTAAAATAATTCTAAACAAAACAAACTATATTCCGGTAGTAATTGTTTGAAACTATTTGTTTTTCAGGTTCTGTTTAGGTAGATTGTCTGAATATATTGGGCTGAGAAAGGCTGTTGAAGCCTCTAGCTGCTTCCTCCGTTTTCCTTTCAGAAACAACTTTGTCTTGCCTCAACTACCAACTGTCTCCTAAGTGCTGCCTGTGCCGAAGGGCTCTTGCTACCCACTTCCCCTCCAGTCTGGCCCAGCCAAAAGACTCCGGGATCTTTAGCCCCGAAAGCCGAGTTCCTCCTGAGCGAAAAAAAGCGGCTGCGCAACTGGAACAAACACAGCCCTCACCTGAGTGCACAGCTGGACCAGAAGTTTTGCAGCCCCGGGGGTGTTGGAGGCCAGGCAGCCGACTGCTGTGCTCAGGTAGGCCAGGCAGGAGATGGGCTTGGTCATCTGGCTCTGGATGCCTCTCGGCCTCTCGGAAGGGCTCAGCCCGGAGCAGGAGCCTGTGGAGAGGCCAGCTCTCCCCGCTGCAGCCAGGCACATCAGGCGGACCAAGGTACGGATGTCCGTCAAACCCAGGGACTCCAGCCCTGCTGCCAGGCTGCAGCTGGACCCACTGCGAAGGGAAGAAAAGGTCAGAGCCATGGCCAGGCAAAGCCTCTCTCGCCCAGCCGTTCCTCCCTGGGCCCTTTGGCCCTCCTGTGCTTCCCCCAGCCCAGTGGAGTCTCCTCACCTGACCGACAGCAGGGAGAGGGCTCTCATGACCATAGTCCTGGCCAGGAGGACCTGGGCTGCTGCCGTCACCCGTCTCAAGGCCATGATGCGGTCGTGGGGATTTAGCAAAGCAGCCGCCTGCTCCCCCAGAGTAATCCTGCCCGAAGAGCTTTTCTCCACAGAGCCTTGGCAACCTGTAAGGAGGAAAAGGAAGGCCAGGTCACCCATCAGAGAAAGAAACCCGACTGCTGCCCTGTAAGCCCCGAGGACTGCTTAGAGACAAAGGAACGGTAAGCGCCCAACGTGGTACGAGGTGTCCTCAGTGCTTCGTAGCCAACGCTGGGCCTCTCTTGCCACTCCGCCTCATCTCCCTGCCCCTGTTCTGTGGCACGGAGGCTGAGTGGCTGCCGTGGATTCATTCCCTGAATCCTTTCCCTGGGTTTCACTCCTAGCAGCTGGGTGTGAGATGAAACAGGGTCTGGATCCAATCCAGAGGGCTTGCCCTGCCAGCCCGTGACTTTTCTGCTACTCTTTCCAGGGAACTGTGCGCTAAAAGCCTCTATTTCACTGCCAGTCCCCAATCCTCGGGCTTCCCTGATCTTCCAATCCCTCTCAGGCTTTTATCATCTTCAAGAAAAAGGGCTTGGCTGGTGGCCCTTTCCAGCTTTCCACGAGGTCTCCATTCCCACAAGAACCACCTCTGCTTCCTGCCCCCAGAGATGGGATCTCAGCATTGGGCGCACAAAAGGACGGCCTATCAGGGGCCAGCAATCTCCCCCACCACCCCCGGTTTACCTATTTGCATCAGCGTTTCCTCCATGCTGTTGATGGCCGTGACCATGGCCACAGAGGCTCCAAGGGGGTCACTGTCCGGGAACTGGACAGGTTCGGGCACGATGCGCCGGTCATTCAAGCCCAGGGGTCCAGCCAGCAGCTCAAACTCCTCTTCGCCGGTCAGCTTTTCATCCTCATCAACGTCCAGCATATCCCAGTCTTCTAGCGTGAAGCAAGCAAACTGCGGTTAGGCCTTACCTTTCCATGGAGGCCCAAAGTCGATGCTCGTGTCGTGAGAAAGACGGCGACGAGAAGTACCTTCGTAGACGGTCTCCTGCTTGCCTATTAGATCAGGGGCCTGGCCTTTGTACCTGCACCCAAGAAAGAAAGAACCACAGTCACCTTCACATGCCACGCATCTCCTTAAGCCGGACGTAAATAATTAGCTGTTTCCCAGTTGTTAACAGGAAGGAACAATGAAACCGAGGCCTCCTCCTTTTTTTGCAGCTGAATCAACTTGTTCCGCAGGGTGGGCAGAAGGAAGATGGTGGACGAAGAAGCTGCACCACACGACTCGACATCAGAAGCTCCACAAGGGTTCTAGCAGGACTCATCTAAATGCTCCTTTTTTTTCACTGACGTAAAACTACTCCTAAAGTTCCAGTTAATGATTAGGCTAACTTAAGCTTCTCATGGAAAAACATATCAAACCTACTAAAACTGAGCCTATTTTAAACACCTGATTCTGTACCTCCACTCTGCGTGTCCCTACCAGGAGGGCACAGGGCATTGAACAGCGCCTGTCAGGGGACGGTCTGAAGTTTTGAACCTGTCTTTCCTCTCCAAAGGGCTACATTGACTGAAGTCCGAAACGTTCTTCTCTCACAAAAGGAAGGGAGGCTGACAAAGATTTGTGGTGCAAAGGCGGGTCTTCTCTTTACCCAAAGCTGCCCCCTACACAACCTTTGCCCATCCGGCCCCCTCTCTGCTGCCCCAAAGAGCTTCCAGGTTTGGCTGTTGAACTTCAAAACCAAGCGCAACTTCCAAGTGGCTTTTGACCACAAAGGAAAGCAAAGAGGCAAGAGAAGCCTTGGGCAGCCTGAACACGCCACGAATGTTAGCATTCCTCGTGGTGAAGGGGGCAAAACCCTTGGCCCCACTCCCACCCAGCAGCCCAAGCGGGGGCTGGCGGGAACCGGGGGGGGGGGAACGACAGGGGAGTGTGAGCAGGCCGCCCCACAGCCCTCCCGCCTCCTGTCCGATACCTTTCCGAGGCCGAGGACTTGTTCTTGCTCTTCAGGGCCAGGTATTTCTCCCGGCAGCTGCCGCACAGCAGGTAGTAAGGGTTCCCGCTTCCACACTCGCCACCAAACCAGCCGTCCACGTAGGAGCCGTTGCTGCGGTAGCCCTGGCGGTTTGCACTGCGCCCACAGCCAGGGTGGTTCCTCTTCATATGCTGATTGAAGCTGGCCACGCTGGCTTCGCACAACTCACACACTACCACTTCTTCCCTGTCTTCAGATTCACAAACGTGCTGCACAACATAATTACACGGTTATTGTTTCATGTACAAGGAACAATCTCGTATTCCTACTTTTTCCACACCCACATTAAAGCAAACTGATGTCTTCTGCTCCAGCTCGGTGCCAGAGGCACAGGTGGCATTGCCCCTCTCCCTCCCAAGAGATTACCCCTTATAGTCGCCAGCCAGACCCGCTGACAAGGAGGGGCTGCCAGAGGCAGACAAGAGAAAGACGGTGTGCAAGAAAACAAGGCCAATCAACAGCATTGACATTGGTGCTCTCATTAGGTGTTGCTACTCGGTGGAAGAGTCCCCCAAATGCAGAGGGAGACCCCTCCTCCACGTGCAGCTTAATACATTATACAATCTCATGTGAGCAATTTCTACAAGTTCAGTTTCAAGAATTTTCTTTCCTGGAAGCCTTGAGGAAGAGGTCCCAAGAAAGCCACACTAATTATGCACAAGTTAATCGCCTTCCTATCAGGCAGAACTGAGACCTGTGTCTAGGCTGCCCTCTCTGTGAGGAATTCTGCTCAGGAGCATTAACAAGCAACCGCTGGTTCTCCTTCTGGGCCAGGAGGGAATCAGCTCTGACGAGGCCAGGATTCTGCAGCTTTGGCTGGATCCTTGACCTGAAGGAGGTGACAGCATTGAGCAACAGGCTGAACTGCCCGAGTTTAACTCCAGTTTTAAAGCAAGCAGCATTTCCGTGGTAGTTCCGGCTGTTTCAGCTATTTTTTAAATTTAAATCAAAGGAAAAACATTAGGCATTTATTTCTGATTACTAAAGCCTGAAGTTACACCTATTTCTAAAAAGGCTTTTAAAGAAAAGAACGCCTAAATTGTTACTGCCCGCAGAAAAGAGAGTTGGCAAATAGAAAGCAGCCGCAGTCACAGAGAGGAGAATCCCACATTTTAGCAACAACCATGTTAACTGAGGCGGCTGAGCGAGGCACAGAGTTAAGTCCCGTTCTACAGAGCAAGAAGGAAGCAAAGCAGCAGCCCCAGCTGCCGTCACACACACCCAGGTCGGCCAGTCCAATACCTCTGGGATCCACATTCCCAGAATGTCATTGTCCCCGGCAAGGTCCGGCCCAAACATGGCTTCCATGGCCTCCTCGTCCAGCTCCAGCTCCAGCTCCTCGTCCAGGTTGAAGTCGTAGAGCGTGCCGGGATCTTGCGGCAAGGAGATCCCTTCCCTCCGGCTCTGATTCCGGTGGGCCTGTACAGAGCGGTACAATCCCGCTTAAACCAGAGAAGAAAACCACAGGGTTTACTGGGCAAGTCAAAAGCTCTGTGTGTGTGTGTGTGTGTGTGTGTGTGTGTGTGTGTGTGTGTGTGTGTGAGACAAGGGCGCTTGGACTGCAGGAATGGAGGCCTGTCTGCCCAGGGTCAAGGGGGAGCCCATCATCCCCTCCTCTCCTGATATTATGATTGCTCATAAATCCTTTATCCCACGCCTGAGCCTGAGAAAGGCCTTTGGGTAGTGAATGAAGAGGATGCCCTTGAATGGCTGCTACCAAGGCAATGATCAGAGAAAGGGGGGCCCAACCTCCCCCCATTCTCAGGAAGAGGCAGCACATTCACCCTAGTAACCCTAGATTCTGTTACTAGAGCTGTTCTAATGAGAGTAGCTTTCGGTCTGCAGGGCGTCTGTTTCTTAGCCTGACGTATCTGCTATGGGTACCACAGGGAAACCCCAGGAAAGGCTACCCTGGGCTGACAGGGGGAAGAAGATAACTGTCAGGAAGGAAGCTGGTACCACATCAGCCTTATTTTCTTAGACAGAGCAGGTCTCCACCCTCAACTCTGGGACAGGCTTTACACGGGGCCCCACAAAACTGAAATATTCTCAAGAAATCTTAATAATTTTCCTTCAGCTTTGGATGCGCAGACTTTGGGCACATTTTTTTTTACAAATAGCTAGTTAGCAAGTGCTCTAAAATACGGCAAGCATCTTCAAGAAATTAAAGGAGGAGAGGGACACGTGTAATGTAGTATTTGAAAGACTTACCAGCACGGGCCAGCAGCGTTCGAGCAGCTAGATCAAATTTGTGTCTCCTGGTTACTGCTGACCGACCCCTTGCCACGGGCCCACTGCCAGAGGCGGCATTTTCTGTGTGATCCATGTTATCATGGCTGGAAGGACAAAAACAGCTCAGGAACACTGGCATGGCTTGAGGGGGAAACCCAGCACTCGGTTGTGCTGCACCTCTGGACCAGAAGGCTTTTAATTTCCTTTAACAGAGCCCGAAATAATTTGAATCATACCACCTACTGACAGATAAGGTGGCAAACAAATACTTATATTGCGCAGTAGAGAGCTCACCTTTCACCAAAGCCTTCCTCCAATTCAGGGGCATCAGCTGAAGGCAAGTCTCCTGGAGACTGCAGGTAGCTCTGGTCGCTGGACTTGCCACCACCTCCTGGGCCTAAGCCTCCGTGTCGGGCATCCACCATTTCTTCTGACTGAGGCTCTTCGTCTTCCTCATTCCCAGGATGCTCAATCATCCACATTGCCAGGACAGTGATGTTCTGGGCATCCGCTTCTCCTCTTGCACCTGTGGGAACCGGAAACCTTCATCTGGACAGCCCAGCAGAGCCGCCTGCTACAGCGTTGAAAGGACTAAAGAGAAGCATCTGTTTTGCCCAGCCCAGAATTCCCTGCTCTTATAATAAATTGCTATTGATGTTTCACCATCTGTAATTGCCCCAGCCAGTTAAGATTCTGGGCAGCAAACGGAAAAACAGGATAAAATCAAACGCTAGACACAGAGACACAAGTTGCACACGCATAATGAATTCGGGCCGAAGGAATGGCAGAATCCAGATTTTCATGCCTTGTGAAATGCAAGGAGGGGGGAGGACAAGGCATCCCTCGGGGAGCGCGACCCACACCCCTTGTGCCACTCGTGGACTCTCCCGCAGGCCCTCTCCAGAAGCTCAGGTGGATGGGCAGAAGAATCATGCCTGGCCCAGGTGTTTCTGGTTACCTGTGGTTTCCATTGCTTTAGCAATCTGCCGGAGGGAAAACCCCATTTCTAACAAGGGCACGGCCACAGCAGGAGGAGGGGGGGAGGTTGACAGGCGGCTGCTTGGGTCGGACAAAGCTGTAAGGCGGGAGGAGGGACAAGAATTAATGCCTGGGTTTGCCAAACACCAAAGTTGATACAGGTTTAAGGAGAGCCAGACAGTTGTGGACAAGGCCCACCTGTGCGATTGGCAGGTCTGGCGGGCTGAGAATCAGGAGAGGTGAGTGACTGACGCCTGCCCACGTCATCCGAGGGAGAAGTCGGCAGGGAGGAGATGGGGGGTGTCTGTGCCCTTCTGGTGGGAAGGACAGCCGTGGTGGGGTAGCTGGAGAACATTTGCCTTTGGGGAGAGAGGAAAGGAGGGAGTAAGTAACACAAGGCCGGCTGGCCAGCCAGCAGCAGACAGTCCAAACTCCGCAAAACAACGAGGCGTGGAAATCAAGAGGTACCTCAGGAGACTGAGTGGCAAAACCCCTGGGGACTCTGAGGCAGGCACAGTTTCTGTATCGGTCACAGGGGTGGTGGCCGTCGTCGTATCTTCCAGAGAGCTGCTCATGAAAGACGTGGTGCTGGAGGCAGACGGGCTGGTGGTCACGGGGGTCTGGGCCTGCTGACTCTGGTCATTCTCTTCGGTCTGCTGGTCTATTTCTGCAAAGCAAAGGGAGCCCTTTCTGCCTTGCCCAGGAAGGCAGGCGTGAGTCCTGGCGAGGGGTGGAGTGCTGGGGCTGACGGGCCTGACCCATCGCAGGATGCCTGCCGCTTCCACTTGGGGCTTTAAACCAGCAGCACTCAGAGATGATACCCAGCAGTCCTGCTCCTCCTGGAAGCAACTCTTCGGAGGAGCAAAGGACCAGCATCCCTGCTGACCAAAACGGCCCTGCCATGGACTGTTTTCCATGCCGTGTGTTATGTCAGGGCCCTTGAGGGCTTTCTGATGAAGGAAGCGCAAAGGAATTTTACCTCAAATCCAGCCATCGCCCATAGTAACAGTGGCTGCTGCTGCTCCTGTTCTCTGTGCCTTCCTTTTGCACTTCAGGCCCACTAATATTTTTCCTCCAAAACTTTTGGAGCCACCGGCTGCCATCATCTGATTTACAGTGACAGCCAGAGGCTCTCCTGGGTTTGGGATTAAAAAGCCCAATTTCTTTTTCAGTAGCTGAGCCGGAGGAGAAAAGGAGGGGTGCGGAGTCCTCAGCGCAACTACAACCAGCTGAGCTCAGGCAAAAGGCAGCCACAGACCGTTGGGCCAAGGCAGACACAGAGATGAGGTGTGCAATTCCTTCGCTGCCACAGGCGCAGGCCTTGCACTAACCTTCCACCACCTGCAGCCTGCTTGGGACGTACCTTGCTTGGCTTTGGAGCCGCCCTGGTCTTCCAGCAGTCCGTGCACAACTAATTTGTAGATCATGGCTTGTGCCCGCTCCAGGTCCGCCAATCCCAGCGCCCTCTTGATGGGTGAGCGCATGACTGCCCGTTTCACCATATGGCGCATCAAGAACTGCAAGGCCGTGCGCATCTCCACCTCTTCGTGGACAACGGGGGAGCTGGCGCAATCGGAGTTGTGGCCGTTCTCGGCCAGGACTTTGGGGATCAGAAGCAGCTCCGCGTACTTGCTGCAGCTGAGCAGCGTGCTGAGGGACTTCATAGCTCCCAGGTAAAGGTAGGACAGTTGAATGGCCCTGATTTCTGACTGCACGGCCTCGTAGTTCTTGGCGGCGTGTTCGTGGTTCTTTTTTTTGCCCTCGGCGTTCAGATGCTGGCACTCCATGCCCAAGGAAATGGCGTCCAAAGAGAAGGAAGAGCTTTCGCTTTCCAGCTTGGCCCCGGGTCCTTTCGGCTCCTCGGTGCTTGACACACATCGTACCTCGGACGCAGCGTCGCCTTCCGTCTTCTGATCGGGGTCTCCTTTATCTTCCAGGTCATGTTTGTGTCTCTTCTCGTGCCGCTTAATGCTCTGCTTGCCCAGGTCTTCATGGATGCCGGTCAGATAGGTGAGGTCCAGCAAGACGGTGGCCGTCAGTCCCCGGAATCTTGCAACATCAAAAGGCAGCGGTTCGCAAGGTTCCAGGTTATAGAGCGGCGTATCACTAGGCGACCAAAAAGTTGGGAAGCTTTAATAAAGATCAGAACGACACAGGAAGAAGCAAGTGAGGGATAGACGAGAGGAAAGCACAGGAAATCACACAGGCAAAATAAGATGTAAAATATACCACAATCTAAAGGAGCTGACAATTTAAAAGTCAAAGTAAACCAGGGAAATGAGATTATGGGGAGGGATGACATTCAACACAAAAGTAACAAGCCATGTGTGTATCTCTCTAAAACAATGTATTTAATTCAAAACATCTGACATGGTTTACGCTTCACTAACTTTTCTAAACTGCTTTTGAAAAGTGCCTCTCAACAGGCACAGCTGCCTCCATGAATGGACTGCCGGCTGCCTGGCACCTCCCTGGGGTATCGCCTGCCCCCAGACAGCCCTGGCGGGGCACAGCCCAGCCCTATATTGGAAGAAGGCTTGGCCTCTGTGCGGTGCTGCAGTGCTCTGATGCAGCTTTTCCTTTGAGCAAATTGTGTCATAAATGATCGCCTCTCCCAGCACTTAAAATGCCACAAGCTGCTGTTCTGCCAGGCAACAAGCGCCTAGATCAGCAATGGAAACTCAAAACCCAAACTCCGTTTCCTGGATCTCAACCGCTGGCCGCTTGCTGAAGACCAGCACTGTACCTGATGGTGATCTCGGCTTCATCCCACTGGACCTTGGCGGACGCGCTGCCTTCCTTGACCACGCCCAGCAAGGTGGCGTGCCGCCCGGTTTGCTTGTGAACGCAGCGTCCTCCGACTCGAAGTCCGGCGTCCACCCCGCCAATCACCGCCAGCACTGGCCAGACCTCCACGCAGAGCGTCTTCAGCTGCAGCTCTGAGAGGTCGGCCAGTCCGTGTGGCCGGCCGCAGTGCTTCATCTTCTCCTCTTCCTCGCGCACTTCGTTCTCCTCTCGACTCTGCAGGGAGCGGCTTTTCTTCAGCTTCTGACCACTTTCTTTCAGGCACCCTTTGATTTTGTACAGCCTCTCCACCATCTTTTTGTTGATGCAGTGCGTCCACCGGTCGGTCCGGTGCAAGATGCGGATCAGCTGAATCGTGGCCTCCGCCAGCACCGCGGCCACCGGGCTGCAGATGGGATCCCCTGGCAGCAGGTCCCTTGGGGTGCCACGCATCTGCATGTCACAGATCTTCACCTAGGCAGACACAGAGACATCCAGAAGCTGCTTTGCTGCCTCTCAGGCTTTAAAAACCCCTCCGCCCAGCTCAGAAGGCCAGGAAAGCCCCTTTCCCAATTAGAGCCCTTCTTCTCCTTCCAAACTGCCTCAGGAGTCGTGTTCTTAGCAAGGCCAGGAGACACAGAAGTACCAGCGTTCTCAGTGCTCCGGGATGGCAGAAGGGAGCCAAGACTGGGCAGGATTTCAAGCTGGCAGAGTGGGAAAATTGGTGGAGGCAGGCGAGCTTAAGCAGGGAGAGACCCGGGCTCCTGACCCTTTCTTGGCATGCCTGAGAGCCACAGAATTTCAGGCAGCAAAGCTCGAAAGGTTCCTGGACGAGGCTCAAGGTAGAATTGGCCAGACCAGGCTGCTTCCATGAGCCCAAAGGACTTGAACCCCATTCTGGATATCCCTTTCTCTTCCCCCGGTCTCCCTGCTCCCTCCCGGGCTGCTCCTTCTAAACCCGATTCCCTCTCAAACTGGCAGGGAGCGCTCATTGGCTCCAGAACCTTTGAAGTATCCACATTACCTTTTCTCCAGGGTTGCTACTGTAAAACATCACACACGGATACAACTCTCCGGCATCCACATCTTCAAAAGCCAGTTTGGGTTCCTAATGAAAAAAAAAATGAGGGGACATGCATTTACAAGGGAGCCCTTCTCCTTCTGCTCCAGGTTGGCTATGAAATTCCTGCCAGCTTAAGATGAGACTGGGAATTCACTTCCCTTTAATTTTTGCTAGGTCACTGCATCCGTTCATGAGATTAACTATCCCACGGGAATGCACCTGCTATACAAAAGAAATACACCCCGTGCCACTCTTCTTCCCTTTTGTTTGAAACGGGGGACATACTGTCGCCACCGAGGGGATTTTTTAGCCTCTACCGTGAACCGCTTAGGAAGCAATATGCAAATCTAGCAAGGCAGTAATGGATCAAAGCCTCTCACCTCCCCATTCTTGCCAAAGGAAACGGTTCTGGCTTCCATATCCAGGACGCAGGTGATGAAGTCCCCCTGGGTGAAGCTGGTCAGGGTCAGAGCCTGCTCCCCGTTATGGTAGAGGTTGCCACTGTAGGCTCTGTACAGCCACATGTCGGAGGTGGTGCGATGGTTGAAATCGTGAACGGGCCAACGAGACACTCCCACGCACGTGCCTTCATTGCCTCGGTTTTCCTTCACAATGTAAAACTAGGAAGTGCAGATACGAACACATATAAAAATGGGACAAAAAAGAAACATTTGGGTTTGGCAACCCGCTCAAAATAAGAGACTCCCTCCCTTTTTAGCAAAGAAGCAACTCTCGATTACTTCTTCCCAAAATTAAAATGGGCAATTGCAATATATTTATTCTTGGTTGAAAACCTCCCCATTTTGGGCTCAAATACTACTGAATCCATTATTTCTAATACACTTTCCTACATTTTGAGCACGATATCATCCTGAGGGGCCAGAAATGCCGAGAAGCAAACCAGAGTGCCCGACTTCCAGCTGTGAAAGTTTATCGTCCACCACAGGCCTGAGTCTGGAATGTTCTTTTCAGTCTACACACCTTCCACTGGTAACACCCAGACGAGACGCCCGTGGATGCCAGCCCGTAGCCCTTTCCTCCGCTTCCATGAGTGAGGATCTGCCCGCTTTCCACTAGGCAGCACTGGGCCTTCTCAGGGTCAAAGGAGACCTCCTGGATAGGCAGGTTCTCGTCCTCTTCTTCAGACTCCCCCTGCTTCTTCAGGAACAGAGGGCAAAGCTCTGTCAGTGGAACGCAGCCAACAAGCACAAAGGTATCAGAAGTAGGTAAAATGGTACCTGCAGCTTTATTTCTTGTTCTTTCTCTTTGATCTGAAGCACATGTTTGGCTTGTGCAACTGGGCTCTCCCACATACAATCGGCCAGGAGGGAAAACAGCCGTTCGATCACCTGTTGGGAGCATCAGCACAGCGCATTCAGTTCAACGAACGGCAAGGGAAAGGCTGCAACTATGCTTCTCCATACTTCTTTCAGGTCAAAGGCCACCTCTGAAGGCCACCGAGGTGGCTGTGGGGGTCCCTCCTAGGCCACGTAAGGACTTCAATGCACACACACACATACACACACCCGTGGAAGGAACATCCTCCAACTGCAGCAAAATGCAAGGCAGCCAGAGAATCTCAAAGGTCCCTCAGGCATGACCCTGAGAGACGGGATGAGGGAAGGAGGTCTCTCTTGCTACCAATTGGTGGAAACCGTCCTGAGGTGGGAGACCCCTGATCCTGTTTGGGAGAAGGCAGCGTCTGATGCACAGGTGAAAGGTGAACCTGGGGTGGCTGCTGGAGGCAGAGATGCAAATGCCACTCTGCAACCATGCTAAATTCTCTCCAAAGTATCAACACCTGAGCCATCTGGTCATCCTCCACACCGGATTCGCAGGCTGGCAGCACGGCTTCCAGGACATGGAGGGCGAGCAGCCTGGTCCTCAGTTTGCCAACCAAGGGGACACCTAAAAAGGAAATGGCACAGGAAATGGATCTGAGCAACGGTCAGCCTTTGTCGCACAGGCGGTTTTTACAACGTTGCAATAAAGCCCAAGCACACACCCACATATCGAAGGAAGAATCATTTGATGCTATCTTTCCTTCATTGGTTCATTCGCTGCCTCGGTGGACCGTACCTGAGCAGCACTTCTGGGAAGCTATGTTCAGAAGCACCTCTGTCCACTTTGGAGAAGCCATTTTGGACTGGATGGCTTTGGAAGAAACAACTCTTCTGAGGAAAACTAAGAAATCCCCTAGATGTAACTCTGCAGCATGCTGTTTTCGGAGGGCAACTGTAAAGTCAAACAACAAGAATGAATCTCAGCCAGCCAAAGGGCATCCATGTAATAAATTCCGTAATCTGCAAAGCAGGGCAAGCAAGGGGCAGCAGAGATTGTTTTATTGGGAATGATCATAACCCAGGAGACGGGAGAGCACTGTCCTGCAACAGCCGTCTCTGCTGAGCTGCTGAGGCTTCCTGACGGTTATTATGCCTTCCTTTAAAAAAAAGTCAGTGTCTCGTACCTTTGAAGTCTTTCCTCTCAGTGTCACCTTTGGATTCTGTTTTTTTTTCATCCTGATCGTCAACTTCTTTTTCTCCAAAGGAAGAAGTCATAAGCATCACACCCGCTTGTGACAGCAGGTTCTTCAGCTGACTACATAGCAGGTCCAGCAAGGACTGTACCACTTTGGGGCTCAATTTATCTGCGTAAGTCCTATGTGGGGGGGAAAAAAGGGGGGGCGCCCGGGTCAAGCGTGGTCACACAGAGGTGGCCGAGCCCTGGGAAGAGATCTAAGCCAGGCACTGGAGGAGGTTCCCAGGATGGGAATTTCCTGCTCTTCTGCCTGAACTAACCTTCCAATGAGCTGAACTGCTAATGAAGGGAAACGCAGCTTACTGATGCTGCCCTCGTTCACCCAAGAGCAGCTAGTCAATGGCCTGAGGCTGACCCTGGAGCACCGTCCATGCCGACCTCAGGCCCGGTTTATTCAACCACCAAGATTTGTCTTTCAACCAGGCTGGGCCTTCAGTGAGCGCCTCCTGAGATGCCTGCAGAGGGTGGAGGGATGGTGCAAGGTGCATGTGGGTTGGTGGGGGTGGGGGTGGTCGGGGTCAGCATTTCCTGGTTTTGCAAAGGAGGCAAATTTGGGGCTCTCATCAAAACTTTTCAGTATTTCAACCAGTCAATTTTGGGGAGTTAAGTTTGATCTCATTAGTCCTTACCCGGTGGTGATGGCGAGAATCTGTAGAAGTCTCGTGCTGGCCACTTTCAAAGCGGTGCTGAGCTGGGAAATGCCACTTTTGGGTAAGAGCTGCAGGGGCTGCCCAAGCACGGTGTCCGTCCCACATAACTGAGAAAGGACGTTCAGCAATCCGGTGGAAATGGCCAAGGAGACATCGGCTGGCTGGTAATGCACACTTAGGGCAAACACAGTCACCAACAGGAGCCGTTGCTGTGCCTCTAATGCACGCACACACACACACGAGCACAAAGGGAAAAACAAGGATGTACTTTAAGAGGGTACCGAGATTGAGCCGGAGGAGTCTCTGCTTTATTTCTTCCCAGAAATAAAAATAATGCCGGATTCAATCCGTTCCTCTTACCAATGTGGTGTTTATTTGCTTGAAGGGCTCTTTCCAAAGTTGCTGACAGCTGTTGATAGATTTTGTGCACCGCCACTTGAATCTCGGTCTGGATACTTCTCTTGGCTGCTCTGATGCCATCCTACGAAAAACCCAGCGCAGTCAAGCTGACCCACCTGAGGGCCGGTTCTAAGGAAGAGTCACCTGCCAGTCTGGCATGATGTCGAGACAAGCAGATGTCCGCACAATGGCATCCTCTTCTCAGGGTCACAGCTCTTACCTGATAGTGGTGCAGCCGGATGCTCTCTCCTTTGGCTCCAGCGTGTCCCACGCTTCCCAAGCCGAAGCAGCCGGCCAGGAACTGCAGCCTCACCGAAGTGAGAAATGAGGAAGACTGGAATCCCAGTCCTTGGCGGCTCCCGAGGGAAGCCGTGCCGCCCTTCTCTTCCATCCCCGAAAGCAAAACCAGGATCTGGTGCAAGGCCTCCAGGCGCAGCTAAGGGCGATGGAAAAGAATGGATTTGGAGCTGCTCTTTGGAAAGCAAATTGCAATGGCAGCACAACAACAGGGAAGCTTGAACCTAACTGCAAACAACAGTCCTGAAACAGAATGGCAAGCTTTTAACGGGATAGATAGGCTGTTTCCGCAAAAACCACAGAGGATCTTGCGGACAGGACTTAAACATGCATGATGGCACATCTCCTGAGATGCACAGAAAATATCCCGAGTCCAGAGTTTTGAAGAACAGTCACGTCAAAAGGAAACAAGAATGCAGAAGCTACAAGGCCATCATCGTTGCTTGTGTGAAGGCAGCTCTTCATGAATCCATTGGGGGCTCAGCTGCATCCAATGTGCTGAGGGTGCCAGAAGTCTCTTGTGGTGGGTGTTGCCTCTGATATTTCGCGGTGCTGTATTAAGGCCAGCACAGCTTGACACAGAGCCTGCCGTGCGGGAAGGCCATTCTTACATTTCACAGCACAAAGACCAAGCCAACCGACCTGCCAGAGTGGGAGAACTGAAAGGGCCCCTTCCCCAAGCAGAATGGCAGCCGACAACTCCCAAGGCCTGGATCCTCTGACAATCAGTACCACAAGGAACCACAACATGCAACACACACCTCTGCTCTCTGCTGCTGCTGCTCCATGGCAATGATGTAAGCCTGGGGGTTGGTGGACATGCTTTCTTCGGGCTCCTTGAAGCCTGGGGAGCTTCCTACATCCCCACTTATAAAGCTAATCATGTTCTCAATCAAAGTATGAATGCCAACGGATTTTGTGAAATCAACCTCAGACTCCCCGAACAAGCAAGAAGAGCTGGAGAGCCAATCGCGCTGTTTTAGCCGAGTCCATGAGTCGCTGAGAGTTTCCATCGGGCTGTGGACCAAGCCTAGAAACACACAGCAGAATTCTGTCACTGGCAAGGCAACCGAGCTCTCCAACCGGCAGAAGTGAACACGCGGCTTGCCGTTCGGAACGGATGGAAATGGGAATTCCTGTCAATTTCATGCGCACGGTCAGCAATGCCTACCACACCAAAGGCCAAAAAAATGAGAGCTGTATGTTTTGCCGGCAAGTCTCCAGGAGATGGGTTTTGCCTTACCAGGAAATTAAAAGCACAAGCCACTCAAACTGTTTAGCTTAAAGCTAGAACATTGAAAAAAGGTGATATGCAAATAAAACAACATAGAGGTAAAGGGAAAAAAAAGAATATTTGCCACACACAAAGAAGAGAAACTTTTCTCTTGACATCCAATTGCAAAAAAAAAGGTTTTGTGTTTAACTTGCATCAGTGTAAAGCAGAAGTGGGTGATTTATAGCTTTTCTGGAAGTTTATGTAAATAGAGGGATGAGTAAAGGTCAAGTAAACAGGGGCAAACGGTGGGCTTTCTGTGGGCCTGGCTTGGCTGAGCTTAAGCAGCTACGTATAGATAGCCCCCCCACCCCGGACTCATTGCCATAATTAAGCCCAGAATTGTAGTCGTAAGTTGAGGCATCACATAACCAGATGCAAAGTTGACAAGACCCTGTTATTTCAAAAAGCTGTTACTCTTTAAGTAAATGCACAGGGACCAAAAGAAAATGAGCATTGAAGGGCGACCTTTGTCTGCACAAAAAATATGAAACTTGCAGAAACAGGGGAGTGGGGTAAAACCCATTTATTGCTCCTCAGTTTTTCAATAATTTTAGTTACTTGATTGCTCAAACTCTTATCAGTTGTAATTCTACTGTGTTCTAGAGTTCCAGAGCAGCGATATGCCCCTTTTTGTTGTGAGTCTTAAGCCTTTCTCTAAATATCTAATTATCTGAGCATTAAGAGAGCCGAAGCACGAAAGCCGAAGGCAGATGCCAAATGCTGACCCATTCTCAGTGAAGAGAGAGAGTGTGGTCCAAGGAAGGGCAAGAAAGAGGCGGAGACAGAATCAGGGCACGCAACCACCACCAACAGGGCCTGTTTCACAGTGGCTGACCAGGACACAGGCCAAGTCTGCCCTGATCCTCCCCCCCCCACCTCCCCAGGGGCTTATGCTCCTCTGGATCCCAGGAGTGGAGACAGGCAAGCTCAACAGAAACCTGCTTTATGATCTTTCCCATGTATTGAGTGAGCTCGGAGGGGAATTCTCTCCATCTCATCTACCCGCTGGGTGGGTGAAAGAAAATGGAGAGGAAATGGGGAGGCTACCTTGAACATCCCGGAAAAAAACTTGATTTTAAAAAAGCAATGCATTTTTTTAAAAAACTGCAGAGCCCAGAAGAAATGCACTAGGCCAGAAGGGCGTGGGTCCAATATGTTCCTTACCAAAAATATTGTTTAGACAAGGGAGAACCCACAAAAACCACCCAAAGAAGTGACTGTTCACACCTTTCAGAAAAAGGAAAAGACTGCCAAAGCCCCCTCTTTGGTCTCGAGGGTCCAGCAGACTTGGGGTTTAAGCTATCCAACCCTTTCCTGGAAGCCACAACTGGGGAGCTGCTCTTTCTACCTCCCTTTGTGGAGCTGTAGGGCCCAGAGGGCTCTGCAATGCTTCAAGGAAAGCAGACAAAGCCTCTGCTAAACAAAGCCTGAAGACTCCACTGGTAGCTCAACCCTGTCTTTGACAAAAGTGTGTGTGTGTGTGTGTGTGTGTGTGGGAGGACCACCAATGTTTACTTGTCCTTGTTTGCCACTTTTCAATAATGCGATATTTAAAATGAACGTGGAGCAGCTGCTATACATATTTTATGTTTTATAAAGTATGTAGCCGAACTAGAGAGAGAATATAAAATCAGAACATGCCATCGTGTACTTGCTTGAAGCTCTTCTTTTTCCTGGGGCTCAACTGGCCAAAAAGGAGTAAACACACTACCACACAAGAATCAGAAGACAAAGAGAGACATTGGGTAGAGAAGACAACATTCAATCTGCAATCTGTCCATACATGGAAAACGGGGAGGGGGGGGCTGAGTGTTCCCATGCAAGCAATGGCCATAAAGGTGCACTTTCTGAAATCTGATAGGTTAGATTTACAGGGGTCTCCAGTCTTGGCAACTTGAAGACTCCTGAACATTCCCCAGCATAGCTGGCGGAGGAATTTGGAGGCCGAGAGCTTCCCCTCATAAAGCAACCCATGGAAACAGGCAGCCATTACTGACAATCTCTGGCCATCTGCCGAGAACTTCAGCCTGCTCTGGAATGCAGCTCTGGCCGCTGCTGGGTAAGGCTGTGGCCAGCAAGCCCGGCTAACATGCTGGTGAACCATCAGCTCAGGCCCCTTCTCAGAACCTCCCACACTACAATGGGGCCACACAACAGGCTTGGAAGGTTGTCCGAAACTGCAAAGGGTCAAGGTCATCGCTTTAGAGCAGCAGTTTCCAACCCTGGCAACTTTTAAGACCGGTGGACCTCAACTCCCAGCTGGCTGAGGAATTCTGGGAGTTGAAGCCCACAAGTCTTCACGTTGCTAAGGTCAGAGACCCTGCTTTAGAGAACGACAGGGCTATGAGGTGGCAGTAATTAATGGTCTACCTTTCTTTCTATGCGATGATGCCAAATCCAGATCCACATTTCGCCTTCCGCTCTAAAGAGAAGAACAGAAAACGTTATTGGGTCCTTCTGGTACTTTCTCAGTCAAGCTTTAAAACCCTGGATTACGATTTAAAGAGACGTAACATTTTATTTTTATTTATTTTATTTTATATTGGATTTCTATACCGCCCTTCTCCCTAAGGACTCAGGGCGGTGTACAGCCAAATTAAAAAAAACATGCAGAACAAATATTAAAAACAATTAAAAGATATATAAATTTGGCCCAATTAAAACTCATTTACCAATTAAAAACGTTTAAAACATTTAAAAACAGTTAAAAATTTCATCTTAAGCCAGCCCGGCTTGTTTAAATAAATGGGTTTTAAGGGCGCGACGGAAGGCACTGAGGTCTTGGATTCTCCTTATCTCTGGGGGGAGCTGATTCCAGAGGGTAGGTGCCCCCACAGAGAAGGCTCTCCCCCTGGGGGTCACCAGCCTACATTGTCTGGCTGATGGCACCCCGAGGAGGCCCTCTCTGTGGGAGCGCACGGGTCGATGGGAGGTCGTTGGTAGCAGCAGGCGGTCTCGAAGATAGCTAGGCCCTATGCCATGGAGCATAAAAGGAGACAGAGGCAGGGAGGGAAGCGAAGACCAGAAACCCTGGTAGGAGCGGAATCTAAACACAGAAGGGGCTTTTGGGCGGAATCCCGTTTGTGATCGCATCAAGTAACGCTTGCAGTTCTGCTTACCAGCGAGTAATTTTCTTCATCTGATTCAGGCTGAGAGAGGTCGGATTCACTCCTCGATTTCATCAGTTTGTAACTTGAGGTAGAGTGGCCTGAACGACTTTCTGCGCTAAGACTTTCACTTCTGCCTCACATAAAGGTATAACAGAGAAAAAAAATTACACAACAATGCAAAGAGCTTTTCATTTGCCTGGATTCTCAGGGTCCTGCTCTGTATTGAGTTATAAGCCATGACCATGAAAAGCCTCCCAATTCAGAGGGTTTCCTTCCATTTCTACACATGCAGCTTCCCTGCCTGGCCAGGATTCGCTCAGAGTTCTTCCACTGAGCAAACGCCCGAGGGCTTCTGGATGCATAAATTCAGCCACAACCTCTGAATTTGATTTGATTAAATCTACTCTTCTGCGATATGTAAGTGCATCATACATGCAATAACACCAAGGACAACCCTGCAGGGAGTTTTTGAAAAAAATGCACCCCCGCTTTGACAGCCATAACTAGCGAAGCTCATCCAAGGGGCTCCGCTGGGTTCTCCCCCGGACCCTGGTCTGCCTCAGGTGCAGCTACAGCAGGGTCCCCGAGAGGCTGGAGAAGAGGGCCGAGCTGCTCGCACCTGGTCATGAGGCCGCCCCCTTCTGGAGTGCCGCCCGAGAGCGGCTGCGCCTGCTCTTCCTCCCTTCGCTTCTGCAGCTCTTCAACCACGGGGCTGACCCCCAAGATCAGCAGGGCACAGCGGTGGATCACCGAATTGCAGGCAGCCGTGTACACATCCTGGCCCTCCGGGAGGTCTCTGCTGACGCGACGCTCCTGCTGGGTCTGGGGGGGCTGATCCTCTGCTTGCGGCCCCAGCCCACCATTTATTCTCTCCCGGTCTCGGCTGCGAGCTACTTCACGGGCTGATAGGAAACATTGAAATATTTCTGTAACATGCAACACAAAAACAAAATGTCTTAACTGCTAGGCAGAGCTAAAGGACTGCAGTAATTCTTCAGCTGAACGTCTCGGCCCCTAGGCAAAACTCTGCCAGAGGTGCCTGGGTTTAGCGTCCACTTACTGCCGGCGGTCATCACTTCGTGCTCTCTCTCTTCCTCTTCCTCCTCCTGCTCTGCGTGCCCCTCCTCTCTTTCCCTCTCTGCCTGCTCTTCCATTTCGGCTTCCTCATCAATGGTCCGGGTAAAGGGGCTTTCCTGAGCATCGATGTCTGACGATTCTGGATTATCTGACAGCTGGAAAAAGGGCAAAGAAGAGGTGCTGTGAACGGAGCCCCTGCTTCAATTAAACAGGAATAATCCATTCCTTGAATGGAATATGGCGTGGCTAGCATTGCGGCGAGATGACGGGTCTCTTGGAAGTTCCCAGGGGCAGCGCCGAATCCACATTGTCAGAATGGTCCGCTGAGACTGGAATCGCCCTGGAGGGGTGATAGCGGGACTGAAGCTGGGGCAGCCACAGGAAGAAAGCTTTGAAGAGAGAGACTGTCAGTGTGATCGATCTGGGTGAAAGTTTTCCAACTTTGTTTTATCTTTGCTAGAAGCGGGGTAAAAGTCCCCTGGAGAAACAGCTGGTGAAAAAGTGGCTCTAAAAGGAGGTGGATTTGGTCTTTTCCCCCACCTCCTCTGAAAAGCAGCAAGGAGAGCTTTTGCCATTTTGGAACAGGAAGTTACAATTTTTAGAAAAAGAGTGAAAATATTCTGGACTTAAAAGCTGGACTGGGAGCCTCAAATATATTATTAAACTGTAGAGAAGTTTGGACCAACACAATATTTGGATAAATAGAGCTGCCCTTTTTGTATTATTATTTTTTTCCTTCCCTTTAAAGTCCAAACTGGAAAGAGAAAAAGGATAGGAGAGAGAGAGAAGCAGAGTCAGAGGGCCATCTACTGGAAAAAGATGGAAGTGGAAGCTGGGAACAGCAGATTTAGCCTTGAGAATTCTGTAAACAAGGTATGAACTGACTGCTAGAATATCTTTGTTGACTTAAGTTGGTTAGATTGAAAATTGAAAATTGAGGTGGAGAGCGTAAGACTGAAACTTTTTAAAGTTTTATTTTTAAACAGCTCAGTTCTTGAAACTCAAACATAAGCAAGGCTTCTATGCGGTTTCCCCCCCTCCCCCCTTCCTATTCTTTGTCTTTTTTTTCTGGCTCTGTGAACTCTCCTTTGAAGATTATAAAATAATTGGGGTTGGTGGGCCTATGTGGATTACAATTTATTGATACATCATCTCCTTTTGCGGGATATTAAAGGATTATGGTCGGAAGAACCTGAAGAAAATAATAATAACAAGAAGACAGAGGGTAAAAGTTTGAAAATTTTTGGTTTCTTTTTTTCCCCCCTCTCTTTTGGATTTTTGGATTAAAACTTATTTTTGATCTCTTTTTTGGTCTTTTGACTTTCTTTTATTGCTTCAGCCATCACTTATTTCAATAGCCTGCTGCAAGATTCAAATCTGAAATACTTCCATTGAAAAATGTAACAAACCAACTTGATTCAACACAAGCAAAACGAGGAGAAATGCTCACATGAATTTCAGCCTGAGAAACCCACGTGATCTTTCCCGTTAAAATACCTTCCCTCTTTAAGAAAAGGAAACGGCTGTTTGTCAGGCTTACCCATCTATCCCTGGAAGACGAGCGAGTCGGAATAAGTTCCATATTCTTGCAAGCAAGCAAACGATTCCGAACTTTATACACGCATCGATAGATTTCTACTAATGTTTTTCCTGGCTGGTACCTAAAAACACAAGCACCCCACACGGTTAAGGCCTGTTCTGCCCCAGCTATGGACCCCAAAGAACGCAGCACACACAAAGTCCATACAAACCTTAGTTTACTAATTAAGGACTACTAATGAGCTTTCTTAGTAGTTGTTCAAACACTAAACAACAATTTAAACCAGTCTTTTCTGAACAAGGGCTGTTCAGAAAAGCCGACAAGAAGTCAAAGAATAATAACTCAGTTCTGAGGCACAGTATTTCAGATAACCATAATCTTACTGTGGTTGGCAGAATGCCCAGAAGCAATTTGCAGGAAAACTGATAAGAGAAAAACAAGAGCCAAAATCAAACATTTCTGGAATCAACTCGAAGGAATGTGAATGAAGTTGTTTCCTGCAAATTGCCTCAATCGTCGTCCTTCCTTAAATAGGCTAGGGGAGTGGCCAATTAGCCCCAAGCCTTACTCTCGAGGAGACCTCCTCCTGAGGAGCCACTCCTGCCTTTTGGCAGCTCTGAGCGCTCATGCATCGAGAAGAGGCTCCTCCTCTTCTTCCTCTTCACTTAAAGGAGCTTCTGGAGGTTCTGAAGGCCCTGGCTGAATCCCCGCCTCTGGCACCACATCTTCTTCAGCCTCCTCACTGTCCGACTCAAGCGCCAACTGCGCAGGCTGCTGGCGCATCACCACACCAGCCTCCTCGCTGCTGGAATCAGTTACTAGCTGCACAGGCCGCTGACGGGACACAACCAGGCCAGAGACCATGATCTCAGACAAAAGATAAAAATGTCAGAATATGTTTGGGATACTTGCCTGCTTTCACCACTTGCTTGACTGAGCAGATTTGTGTGTTTCAAAAGGGCAGCAAGAACAAATCGGGAAACAGTGTCCAGCAGGGACTCGCTGCTCAAGGTTGCACTGTCCCAATCTAGGTTGGAGGAGAGAAACAGAATAAAACGCCCTGGAAGCATCCAAAGTGGAAACGGCCTCAGAGATTCCATAATGATTCCAATTATTATTCAATTATTCAAGGGCTCCAATTCGTCCACTCCCAGCCCAGCAAAGAACACATAATTTGGGGAGGGGGCTCGAAGGGAACATTGACAGTGTTTTGCCATTCCACAGGATGGAAAACTGGGCTGCTGCCTCTCCCCTGGTCATGATCTGCTAAGGTTCCCTGGAGTTTGCCCCCTGAGGCTGCTCAGAGGCTGCCTTCCCTGCACTAAACAGAGCCAGACCCTCCCTCAGAAAGCCTTGGCTGTTTCCCCAATAGGGGCTAAGCCCTCCCTTAGCCTTTCACCTGGGATACTCCCCTTCCGCCCCACCCCCACCTCCATCCCCGAGAGCTAGGCAGGAGGAGAACCTCGGGCTCCCTCTCTCTCTTCTGCTCCCGAGAGCTGACCTTTGCTCACAGCGTAGTCCTGCATGCTGACCCAGAGGCTGCGGGCTGGCTCCTTTGCGCACCCCAGGGCCAAGTCAACAAAGGTGGAGACTTCCGGGCGCAGGCGGTAATCGAAAGGCTTTTGCTCCTCGTTTCCAGAGAGAGCCACCTCCAGCAGGGAACCCACTGACTTCTCTAAAAACAACAGACACAAATCCAGTGTTATGCATTTACTTAGCTCAACCTTCCAAATCTATCCTGACTTTATGGGAGCCGCAGTTCAATACATCTGAAACGGGAGCAGATCAGAGAGTGCCGACTTGGTGATTAAGTGGAACCAACCAAGATTCGGGGGAGCCCCAGCACTGACCCCAATATGGATGGCTACTGAGCATGCTCGGCCTTCAACTGCTCCGTTTTAAAGCCACCCAAGCTGGCAACGTTTCTTTGGGGCTAACGCCACCAACTGCCGGGAGAAGTGCTTGCTTGCTCCCATCTGTCCAAAATCCGGCACTGATGAATTTGTTTTCCACAACCCCAATGGGTTCTAATATTGTACAATACGGACAATATTTTTTTCTCTATTTTCTCCAACCCAATGTATATTTTTATACTTGTCTTATTCTGCCCCACTTCCCCACTTTTCTAAGCTAAAAACCCCCCCCCCCCCCCCCAGCATCTTTCCACCCTTTCCTTCCACTTCTGGAAACTTATTGGATTATTTTAACAAGCATTATTACACTGTGACTCATTTCTGCAAATCTTTCATGCTGTTGACCAGATTACCTAACTGGGGAACGTCCACTTCTACTCCATCGCTGAACAACGGCGTTTTCAGCCAGTAAGCGGTGTCCTGTTCTTCGGGGGACATCGGCGACCCTTGCAGCATCCCACCCAGACACCGTCCAATCAGCAAAGCGACAGTTCTCTCGAGGTCCACAAGCCACACCCACACCTGGGCAGGCTGAGGTAAGGGTATTCCAGCTGGATCGACCAGTTCAGGACCGCCTGGGAACATGGAGCAATCAGTGTTTTAGAAAAGTGGGATTACAAGTCCATTTCCGCTCTGGAATCCCCCCCGTTGGAAAGGAAAAGATCTGCTCTGAGTCAGGCTTACCATGAAGAGGCCACTGTAACTCCTGGTCTTCTAGAAGCACCGCAGCCGGCAGGAGTCTGTTAAGGCAGTCCAGAGGTGGCAAGAGATCCAGAAGGTAGCTCAGTAAAGATCGGGCTACCGATACAGGCAGCAAAAGCAGGGAATTCACGATCTGGCAAAGCATGCTTCCTGCTGCAGACACGTAGATAACATCTGGAATGGGGGGGAAAAGACTCATTAATGAGTGGCAGGCCTGGAAGGCTGCAGCAGGAAGGGGGGGAAAGATGCCAGGATTTATAAATGTATCCCCAATTACAATTTCATGGGCAGCCTTTCTCAGTCTGTGTGGACTTCAACTCCCAGAATCCTGGCTGTGGAATTCCTTCCTCTTCCTTCCTCAATTGGAGGCAGGCAAGTCCCAAGAATCCCCCTCCCCCCCGACATAACCTTGGCATCCCTTGACCAGACTCAAGAAGCAGCCTCAGGGTTCCCATGTGGTCCCAAGACACAGGCTAAGCATTTGTAGCTGTTACTGCAAACCAGGACTATAACCAGCATAGCCAGACCTGACATGTATTTGGGTATTTAACCATACAAACATTCAGCAAACATAAGATAATTGGAGAAAAAGAGTCTGATAAACATAGTTCTATAATTGTAACTATATTCTCTATTGAGCACAATCAGATAAACAGCGTGCACACACACCCCTACCTCTTAATTTTTCACCTACGCTGCCATTCCAAGTGCTCTCCTTCAGCAAAGTAGCTGAGCGGGAATAGATCTCCGTGGCATGAGGCAAGAGAAGCTGGAGGTGCTTGTGCAGGAGGGCCACGCTGCTGGAGTTCTGCAGCCAAGAGAGAGATGTGAAAAGGTGCTCCACCAGGTAACCTGGCTGACAGAGAGTCAACTGACTCCTCCGCTCACATGATGACCTCTAGCCAAAAGGTTGCACCTAAGACTACTGTCCAGTAGGTTCTTTATTGTTTCGCTTACTCTGGGGATGGCTATAGGAACCGTGGCACTAACCTCGCCGACACTGTTAATGTGACAGTAGGCCAGGAGCTGTTTCTGCAGGGAGCAAAGCAGTTCGTGGAGATGAGCAGGCTGGCTGTTCTCGGAGGAAGACGTCCCAAGTAAAAATTTGTCACTGTTTTTCTCCAGCTCTCCAAACGCTTGATCCTACCGAGGCAGAAGATTCATCCCCCCCACATACAAAGTTTAATATGCCTCCCTACGTACATTTCCCTTCCTTAATTTTAATCCCCACCCACATTCCAATAACTATAGGAGCCATGTTTCTACCGATAAATATACTGCTTTCTAGATCTGCTTTAAAAAAAACATTGTGTGCTTGCTACTAATACAATTCTCACTGATTGGGAAAAAGCACCCAGGAGTTAGATCTGAGATGACATAACCAAATTATTAATCCAATTTAAAGAGGGTGGACAATACTTAAGCTGTGAATAAAAACAGTTGTTCTTTTCAAACAGCTGTTCCCCCCACTGCACCCCTTCCCCCATCAGCCCTCTGATCCAGCCAGTGTTTCTGGACTAAAGTATTCGGGGGGGCAAGAGTAGGTAAGGTAACCCAGGCAGTGAACTCACTGTATAGAACCCCAAATTGCGCAGGAGAGTTTTCATTAAGATTTCGGCCAGGTGAGTATCAGGGTGGTGACTCTGGGCCCCATAGGCTGCGTCAGAGAGATTCCCATAAGCGATGCAGAGGGAGGAGATGTCCGTGGCATCAGAGGGGGAGCTGTAGCCGAGCAAGGAGGCGACATGAGTGTGGTCTTGTAGGCTGGTCAGAATAATATCCAACTGCATTCTCTGAAGGAAAAGAAGAAAAATGATTTCCTTCACTTAGAAATCTTCTGACAATAATGGCCAGATAAGACATCAAAGCAACATCACTTGCACATGGTTTTCAGCAATATTACAGCTGATTTTTTTTGACTTAACCTTCACACTGCCCAGCAGTACAGAATTTCTCTGAAAAACAAATTTCATCTTCCCTTTTCAGCTGTTCCAAGAACTTACAATTCAGAAGCACACTAAGCATCAGATTCTCAGCAGCAGCAGCAGCAGCAGCACCCTGTAAATGCTCAGGACTTCTTACCTGCCCTTTGGACAAGCTCTCCCATCGGTCAGGGCCCTGGGGAAGGAGGGAGTGCAGCAGCTCCATCCTCTCCCTCAAGGGAGGCAGCAGCATCGTCGCTCCAACTGACAGGGTCTCAATCACCACCTAAAATTTGGAGGGAGACCAAACCACGTCAACATTCAACTGAAAGCTGCAAAACAGACTTGATATCATTCAGCAAATGTATTTTGAAATGACTGCTCCTTCCTACTTTTTGTCAGATTTCACCTCAAGGCCATGGTGAAATTCAGAACTCAGTGCTGAGCAACTGCCCAACTGGTGGGATGAGAGTCAAAGGATCCGGACCTGAATCCCCTAGAGCTACAGTCTAAAGGGGCTTCCCAACTGAGACTGACCTCCTGTATTTCATCTGGGACAGAGGAATCCATCAGGCGAAACAACAAATTCCGCAGGGGTCCTGCCTGCCTGCCCAGGATGCTGGTGGCCACTCCGCCGGCCAGCGCCAGAGCCAGGTGGTTGGAGAGCAGCTTCAGACAGAGCTTTAAGAAGGTGTGGTGCTCCCTGCAAAACCAGGAGTCGCCATTAACAGAAGCCTCTCCTACCTCCCTTTACAAATGGGGGAGTTTGACTGTTTGACTTAACTGCTGAAAACACGAATGGGGGAGCCCTCCCCCTAAAGCCCCGGTGGGCCTTGTCCTACGTTCTGTCTCATGCTACTCTTGAAACAGAAATGAGCAAAAGTTCTCTCCCGCCCAGCAGCAAAGCCTTCAATTGTTCACAGAAAAGTCCATACATTATTGCCACAAAGGATTTCTTAGCTCAAAGGATGACTTAATCAGAAATCTTAAAAAAGAGGAATTTTAGTTCTGCATTCATGATAAAACAAGATTAACTCGTGATGAAAATACCATCCATATTAGTAACAATAATCACAAGAGAAGCAGCCGAAAGGATTTCATACCCCCCATGAGCAAGTAAGTACCTTGAGGAAGGAAAAGGAAGAGGAGGAATCTCACTATTAATTTTGTCACAATACTGCTCGAGGAAAGAACGGAGGTGGGAAAAGGTGCTTTCTTCAAGATCCACACAATACGGCCTGTGCCAGGCCACAACTTGCCTGCAATCGAAGAAGGAAAGGTTAAGGAACAAAGAGGAGCAGAATTAGGCAAAGCCAATAAAAGGAGACCTGATATGAAATGCACCCAAGTTCCTTCAAACTGAGCTCGTCTTCAGGGGAACGTCCACGCGGCTTTATTGGCAACATGGCAGCAGCGGGTACCACGGCCTTCCTCCAGGGGTTTCAGCTGCCTCCAAACTGACCCTGCTGAGTGTTTTCACATCGACCCTAGTTAGCCAAAGCTTGCTCATCACAGCAAAACCTAAAAGCCGCCTTTTAATTTTTACAGCCATTTCTGTTTCTCTTTTATACACACTGCTAATAAAGTCCTTTCCGTTTATTCCGATCGAGATGCTGTGCTGGAAACAGGTGCTTTTTCAGGGGGCTACCACTTTTTCCCTAATAGCCTTACCTTATCTTTCTTCTGTGTCCAATACGCAGGAAGAGTGATTCAGAAATAAATAAAAGCAAAACTGAAATCTAACTTAGTTTAAAAGAACACAATTAATGCAAAATCACACTCTATCAAGGTCCCTGGTGACGAAGGGCCCCAGGAGGAAAAGGCCCAGTGCTCAAAAACATCAGGCACTTCAATTAGGTGTTGGCAACAAAAACAACACGGCTTTATTTATCACACGGAAGCGCACACGTGCACGTATGACTTGCCTATCTCTGGGAAGGGCTGTCCAAGCCAGGCTGTGGGAAGTTCCAGCTGAAATCTGCTGAATGGCGACTCCATCTAAGCCACTCACTTTCTTTGGCTTAGTGATGGGGCCGGTGGAATTCCCTTGGCCACACTGCCCCATGGAGTTGTTGCCCCAAGCGTAAACTTCATTATCTAAAGAGAAGCAGTTCAAGATCACCACAGAAATCTCAAATGCCAAGTTCAATTTACCCGGAGGACAAGGGGCCACATTCTCTTACCATGGGAAAGGGCCAAGCAATGGCTGTCACCAATTGAAATGTCCACGATCCGCGTGGCAGCCAGCTCTTCAATCAGCTTGGGCCGGAGAGCCGTGGCTTCTGAGGAGCCACATCCTAAGCATGCCCCGCAGCCCCAGGCAGACACCTGGATCAAAGGGGTACAAAGAAGGCTAAACCTCACAGTCCAGACTCCATAAGCCCCCAACTATAACCCAGATAAGAACTCTGACACTTTTAAAGAAATCTTGCTCAGTTAATTGACAAGCCGGAGCTGATTAAATCCGTATAGATGCCCGCATCATGTTTCCAGAGTCTGCCATTGTCCCCTGCAAACAACGAAGGCCCCTATTGACCCCTTAAAAGCAGGAATAGGAGTTGTTACGCTTGGTTCTCTTATCAATGAGTCTTTGCCTAATTTTTGGAATAAACAAACATTAAGGAAGCTCTTTATCAAATTATTTCTTCCCTGTTTTGCAAATAGCTCCAACTTAAAGTGAACAGGGAAAGAAGCTTTAGGAACCCAAGTACAGTTTCTCTTTCCCTCAGGCTGCTGCTGAGCCACAAACTCCTTCAAAGAATTAGTGAAGCTGTTTCTGAGCATTGTGTGCTCAGTCGCAGCTTGTTCTGCTTACTTGTCCAGTTGATGTTAGAGCCAGTGAAGACTGGCTTCCGGCACACACTTTCCGTATGAACATCCCCTGTAGAGCTTCTATCACTTTGGGTTTATACACTCGGTTGGTGTCTCCATGACCCAGTTTGCCTGTTGGGACCAGACACACAAGGGAATTTACAATCTGCAGATCGAAGGCTATGCAACTGACATCCATGTAAAATAAACTGCCAACTTCAATCACAAATATTTAATCATAACATTACAATTTAGCAGCAGCAGCAACAGCAGCAAACGGCAATGATGCTGCAATGTCCAGAGCCAGGGTTGTTCCCTAACCTGTGTGCCAAGCTCCTCCACAGATTAGCTGCACTGGCCGTCTCAGCAGTGGGCAAGTGTCACAGCCTGCTGCTCTCTAGTTCACGTGTCCTCAGAGTTTCCACCTATCTCCCAAGTGGGCATTCCTGGCCTTTATGGTGTTAGTGAACCAGGATAAGGTAGGCCCAATATTAACCGATCTCAAGCTGCCTCTCTCCCGTTTGGCTACAAAAGGACCTCTAGCTAAAGATGCATCTGTTCTGCCAGTTTGAGACAGAGGAAATAGAGAGAAAAGACTAGGCAGCTACTGTATTTATTCATGTGCACACTGCTCCATAATAAAACAAATGTTTACCATTTATGATGGCTTAAAGCTTGAGCAAACATTTCTGCAGATGAAGGCAACAGTCCAAATAGGATCGTGGGCTTTTTCAGGCTGGACATTCCTTGCCTCAAGCAAGGCTGTCACCACTCAGCCAAGGCTCTTACCATTATCTCCTCCTCCAAAGGACCAAACGGTTCGCCCATCTTTGGACAACGCTATGGTGTGAGAGCTGCCACAGGAAACCTCCCCAACGTTGCTAATATCTTTGACGAGAGTTGGGATGTTACGGCTGTTGCTGTCACCGTGACCTTGTGAGAGAAAGCGGATTTATAGGGTTTTGTCTCTTTATGCCTCGCCATTCTACCAGACGTACCCTAGAACCAGTTTTTACCCTGTTTTAAATGAATTCTTTTTAATTAGCGCTGTTTAAAGAATGTGGAAAATGAGATTATTCCTGTTACCTAGCCGGCCAAAGTCTCCTTCTCCCCAGGTATATAATTCACCATCCTCGGTGACAGCAGCACTATGCCGGTACCCGGCTGATACACAAATCACCACCTGGATAAGAGGGCAAGAAAGTTCTCCTTTTAGATTCCAGCCCCAGACGGAGAAGCTCCTTAATAAACTGGACTACAGAATGATGACATACACGAAAAGGCACAAAGAGAGAAACAAAAACCTTAGTGATGTGAACCTTCTGAAAGAAGAAAGGCAGACAGTTGGTTCATTGGCACGGCGTACCTTTCCTTGCAAAGGTCCCTGGATAAGCTTAGGGTATTTCTGTGTGGAGCTATTTCCGTGGCCCAGTTTCCCATAGTCGCCGTCCCCCCAGCTGAAGACTTCTCCTTCGGTGGTGAATGCCAATGTGTGGCCATCTGAGCCTTTTGAAGACGACACCTTTTTGATTGACCGGTGAGGCTCAAAAGTCAACTTCTTCAGAGTGGACTGATTGTTGGAGTCACCCAATCCTAACCGGCCATAGCTGCCTTTGCCACAAGCTCGAACAGAGCCGTCCGTGGATATTACAAAGGTGCAATACTGGCCAGCTTCAATCTATAGCAGGGAGAAAAAAACCAAGAGTCCCTCAAACATCAGCAGCTGATTGTTTTTTTTACTACGCCAAGCAATCTACCCTCACTGATCAAAGATACTCACTGTCTGCGCATCAGAAAAACTTGGAGCCAACTTAGGCTGAAGGATTTTCTCCTGGGTCCCTTCCACAAGTTGGTGGCTGCTGTTGCTGCCCCAGACATACACCTCGCAGGTTTCAGAAACAATGGGAGTCTCTCCAGTCTGGATGCTATCGGGACTGGCACATGTCCTGGAGTAGTCCGAGGCCATCCGGCAGACCTATTAAAACAAGCAGGCCTTTCATGAAACAACTGCCGGCAATTATCCAGCTGTCTCATTAACTCCATTGAACCTCACACCTTCCCCAACTTGGCACTTGCTGTATGGTTAGATTTCAGTTCCAGGAATTCTCAGACACAGAACTAAAATCTGGGGACCTGGGAAGTTGGATCGGGGGATTCACTTCAGCCCACTTTTCCATCTCATGCATGGAAGCCCACCAACCACATTAGATAAGAGTCTTTTAAGACAGAACACTCTTTTAAGTTTCAATCGAGATTTCTGTGCCCCCAAGGCCGTTCTCCAAAAGGAAAGATCAAGTGGCGGTTGATACCCCCAGATTTATTGTCATGGGGGACTTCAACCTACCATCTGTTGGTGAGACGTCAGAGGTGGCTCGGGAGTTCATGGCTTCCATGACGGCCATGGACCTGACCCAGTTAGTACAAGGCCCCACTCACACAGGAGGACACACTCTGGACTTGATTTTCATCTCTGGTCAGTGGCTGAATGATCTTGGTAGAGGGGACCTAGACATTAAACCCTTGTCATGGACAGATCATTCGCTCCTTCACTTAAGACTTTCAAGCCGCTTCCCCCTGCTGCAGGGAGACGGAACCGACTAGATGGTTCCGTCCCAGGCGCCTGATGGATCCCGAAAGGTTCCAGATGGAGCTTGGGCCATTTCCTGAGACTCTGGCACACGACTCGACTGAAGACCTGGTGGCCGCCTGGGATAGTGTGGCCGCAGGGGCTTTGGACCGCGTCGTGCCTTTGCGGCCTCTGACCTGATGCCGACCTCAATTGGCTCCTTGGTTCTCCGAGGAGCTGAGAGAGATGAAGCGTTGGGAAAGACGCCTAGAGAGTGTTTGGAGGACTAGTCAATCCGAATCTGACCGGACACAGGTGAGGTCTTATATCAAGACCTACCTAGTGGCGATAAAAGTGGCAAAATCTAACTATTTTTCCACTCTTATCGCATATGCAGAGAACTGCCCAGCCGCTCTGTTTAGGGTGACCCACTCCCTCCTTCGGGTGGGAGTGCAGGAAGATCCCTTGCAGGGTAGAGCTGAGGATTTTGTGCAATTCCTGCATGATAAAGTTGCTCAGATTCGGGAAGGCTTGGACTCCGACTGGGTGAGTCCGGGGAGGGAGACGGGGGTGAGTCTTGAGAATATTATCTGGGAAGAGTTTGACCCCGTGGCTCCCGAGGACATGGACAGGATTCTGGATAGGCTTAGTGCTGCCACATGTTTATTGGATCCGTGTCCCTCCTGGTTGGTACTGGCCTCCCGGGAGGTTACATGAGGCTGGCTCCAGGGGATTATAAATGCTTCTTTGAGTGAGGGTGCCTTTCCTGCCGCCCTGAAAGAGGCGGTGGTGAGGCCCCTCCTCAAGAAGCCATCCCTGGACCCGGCTATATTAGCAAATTATCGTCCGGTCTCCAACCTTCGTTTTGTGGCGAAGATTGTCGAGAGTGTGGTGGCACGACAGCTACCTCAGTACCTGGAGGAAGCTGTCTATCTGGACCCGTACCAGTCGGGCTTCAGGCGGGGGTACAGCACAGAAACGGCATTGGTCGCGTTGGTTGATGATCTCTGGAGGGCTCGGGACAGGGGTTCCTCCTCTGTCCTGGTCCTATTAGATCTCTCAGCGGCTTTTGATACCATCAACCATGGTATCATGCTGCAGTGGTTGAGGGGGTTAGGAATTGGAGGCAGTGTGTTACGGTGGTTCTCATCCTACCTCTCCGACCGCTCGCAGTTTGTGTTGGCAGGGGGGCAGAGGTCGACCTCCAGGCGCCTTGCTTGGGGGGTGCCGCAGGGGTCAGTCCTCTCGCCCCTTCTGTTCAACATTTATGTGAAGCCGCTGGGTGAGATAATCCGTGGTTTTGGGGTAAAAGTCCACCAGTACACTGATGACACCCAGCTGTACATCTCCACCCCAACGGGCGGAGAGCAATGATGCCCTTGATGTGATGTCCCGCTGCCTGAAGGCCGTGCTGGTCTGGATGGGGAGAAATAGGCTCAGGCTCAACCCTTCCAAGACTGAGTGGCTGTGGCTCCCGGCGTCCCGGTATAGTCAGCTGGTGCCATCCCTGACTATTGGGGGTGAATCTTTGCCCCCCACAGAGAGGGCCCGCAATCTGGGTGTCCTCCTGGACTCACGGCTGTCTTTAGAAGAGCATATGAAGGCTGTAGCCGGGGGGCTTTTTATCAGGTTTGCCTGATCTGCCAGTTGCGTCCCTTTCTGGACCGGGACGCCTTGCGCACGGTCACTCACACCCTCGTCACCTCCCGTCTGGGCTATTGTAATGCTCTCTACATGGGGCTCCCCTTGAAGAGCACTCGGAGGCTCCAACTGGTCCAAAATGCGGCCGCGTGGGTGGTTATGGGCGCACCTCATTACGCCCATGTAACACCTCTCCTGCGCGAGCTGCACTGGCTCCCAGTGGTCTTCTGAGTGCAATTCAAGGTGTTGGTTACCACCTTTAAAGTGCTCCATGGCATAGGACCAGGATATCTACGGGACCGCCTTCTGCCACCAACAGCCTCCCACCGACCAGTTCGCTCCCACAGGGAGGGACTCCTCAGGGTACCGTCGGCCAAGTTATGTCAGCTGGCGACACCCAGGATGAGAGCCTTCTCTGTTGGAGCTCCTGCCCTTTGGAATGAATTGCCCCCGGATATTCGTAACATCTCTGATATTATTATTATTATTATTATTATTATTATTATTATTATTATTATTATTATTATGTGACTGCAAATTCCCTTCTCCTAGCAATTTGCATAGCTAAGCAGAGGTAGGGCTGCTTTAACTGGGCTTGTTTTAATACTTTTTAATTTAAAGCCGGGCCAGAATTCAATAAATATAATTTCTTCAATATTCTGTAACAGTTTATTACGTTGAATCTTGGGAAGAAGTAGGACAGAAATTCAATAAATATTGAAATAGAACCAAATAGTCAAATACACAGGATCAAGGACACATATCAAGTTTCCTTCACACTTTCAGAGGAGTGAGAAATTCAAGACTGGAAGAATGTAAAACAGGCTTTTTTCACCCTTAATTTATGGCTAGGCAGACAGACATACCTCCTCAAAGAGACACAAGGCTGCCTCATAGAGCGAGCACAGCCCTTCGGAAGTCCTGGTTGGTTCCCTCCACTGACTTCGGTCTGCGGAGGATCCCTGTAAAATAAGTTACAGAAGAGTAATGCCTGAAATATAATTGCACACATATAAAAGTATATTAATATACCTCACCAACCAAGCAGTAGAATATTTCCCTAAATGAAACAGACTTAAAAGGAATTTATTTCCTCAAAATAACAGCACTTTATGGCACACACTCTGCTAGAGAGAAGCTCCCCGAGGATGAGCTCCAGCACAAGTCCAAACGGTTGGAAGACTAAACCTCTGGTCCCGGTGACTGACTCAGATTGGATTCAGCTCTTTATTTTTTTTGCAAATCATTGTATGCATCTTCTTTGGCATTCTACTTTCAGTTTATTTTAGTTTTACACCAGAATGACTGTATTTTCATTTGCTTCTTCTAAACAAGAGACAGGCAGTACAGGTGCCAATGTTTCAAGCTACTAATATTAAAAGAGCATAATTTTTTTGTAGCTGCTATTAACTAGAAGATAAGCAGAGGCACCTCTCAAGTAATTAGGAGTACCTAACACAGTTCTAAGTTGCTGATTTCTGTTTTGCCTATTTTACTTAACATTTTATTGTGATTTCCTATGTTCAAATCAGAATGACTGATAGTTGAACCAAAAGCAAACATTTAAAGTGAGGGTTTAAAGACGATCAACTCTTTTCAAAACTGTTCAAATGCCATCAACCACAGGTGCCGACAGGACGGAGAGACATCCGATATTATGCCACCTCTAGTTGCAAAGAAGCTACAAACTCCTAGACTTCCTTTGCTCCCCCCCCACCCCGAGAGCAGTGCATACGTACCAAGGACCGCCTCATTTGCATTAGAATCATCATGAAACAATCAAAACTGATCATGCCTTCTGAGGTCTGCAGCAGCTTGGTCTTCTCCATGGTGTGGACTACGGCCGATGCGCTGAGGGCCATCTCGATCCACTCCAAGAGGTACCGCAGGGAGCCACGCTGAGCAGCCAAGCCCAACAGCAGCTCGGAAGCCAGCCTTCGCCCGAGGGTATCCGCCCCGGAGTTGGGGATCGTTACTCCTTTAAGAAAGACTGTTACTTGAGAGAGGCAGTCCAGGCCCATGGGGGGGATCTTGCTCTCGTTGGCTAGAGATAAAGGAGGCAAGGAACTGACCACCTCAATTGCTGTGTGAATGACGTCATTGCAAAGGCTGATCCCGGGCCCCGCAGCCGGAATCATCCAGCTTTGCCTCAGCAGTGCAAAGAGCAGGCTCAGCCCGGTCCGCACCCCCATTTCGATCAGTGCATCAGTGCTCGACCTGGGCCTCTCGCTGACCGAATGGATGTCCGTGGAGCCTGAGTTGCTTTCCGGAGAGTGCTGCTGCTGCTTCACCCGGCCTTTATCGTGGTACTTATTGGAAAGGGCGTAAAAGATGCGCTGCAGGACCAGAAGGCGCTTGCGAAGCGCCCCGGCGAAGGGGGAGTCCGAGCACACCATCTTGGCCAGAGCCAGCTGGCTGCTAAGGAGGGCGTCCAAGTAGTGGTCCTGCTCATCGCTGGACAGGGACTCGCGTTCAAAATCAGGCAGCTGGGGCCCTTTGAGGCAAAAGACCTGCTGAGGCAGGGGAACCACTTCTTTGTTACTGACAAGCTTCGCGTAGAGGACGGAGACGCCTTCCCTGGTAGCGATCGACTCGCTGTCTTCCGTGATCCAGGAGCTGTTGAGGTGCTCCAGCCATTTCAATTTCACAGGTGGAACCATGGTCGCCATGCTGGCCTACTGACTGGCCATCCGTTCTAGGATGGAAAAGACACTCATGACTAAACAGTGGACTTATCCTACCCCACCTATGGGCAGCAAGGTGGGTGGCACATAAATTTAAGTCACAAATTTAAACAAGAACAAACCACACCTTCTTGATGTGTGCATTAACAAGCAAAATCAAAGCCTGCCTCTCGCTTCCTGAATTAAGAACCTCTTTCCCTCTAAAAGAGAAAATACACCTGTGTGTCTGCTGCATTAAGACCACAAAAGTAAAGCTGTGTGAAGGATCCCAGTTGCCTTTTACTTCGGTGACTCCTGGCAAAACGACACAGGAACTAATTTCTTCACTCAGAGGCCTTCTCTGCTTGTCAAAGTCCTACTGCAAAGCTCTCTAATCTACTAAATCAGGGATTCGGTGTTTAGACCGAGCAAAGAAAACCACCTATTTGCACGACTGGGAATCCCAGCACACATGCAATACCTCTTTCCTGCAAATTGGGGATTAAGGATTGGCTGGCTGAATTGTTGCACAGACAGGAAAGTGGTTCCGTCAGCAAGTCAGCCGCCGCCACCATCAGCCCCAACTTCTCTGCGCTCACTCTCTTCTTCCAATGGTCGGCTTTCCCAAATCCCTCTTCACTAACTCCTTAGAACTGGATGCTCACTAAATACTAATTATTCATGAGCCTGGTATGTTAAAATGAAAGGGAAAGTGTATGTCCAAAAAAATCAGAGTTTCTTTTATTAAACTGCATTTCCAGGCCCCAATCTCATGTCTACTGGATTTCAACTGCCACTGGTGAAATACTGATGACCCAATTGCCAGGGGGAAATGCCCTCTGATCGCAATGGCTAGATTCCCAAATTGTCATGATAAGGCTATATATTATTCTCCCAAAATAACCCCAGAACTGGGCCTCCTTCATGCAAACTCATGCCTGTGTACAGCAACCACACTGTCCTCAAAGGACAGAGCCATTCCTCTGTCCAGAGGAGCCGTCTTCTCTCCTTGCCCCTTGCCTTGCTTGGATTAAATTGCACTGCGTTTGCACATATTTGTCCCAAATTGTCAATATCACCAAATGGAGAGTTTTATATGCACTTCAGCTCAAAATCTAAATGACTTCCCAGTTTCCACTAAAACTAAAAAAGTAAAAGGGAGACTAGCAATGGGATAGAGCCAAGTGCCCAACCATCATTTTCTGACACCATGGTGAATGATGTGCCTGAGAAATTCAAGGGAACCAAGAGTTTGCCTCTCCTCTTTTCCATTCCCTGCCATATCATCTGCTTTAAAGCAACCGTATCCTAAAATGAGAAGTAAATCAGATTGGAATAGATCCACATAATCAGCATAACCAACTGGCATTTGGGGAAATGAGTATGACTGATCACTTGGTGCACTGACCAGAAAACAACATCTAAATTAATTTCCCCACAGGTGGCCTTATTATATGGATGGGTACAATGAAATGTGACAACCCTTTATTAAAACTCACACATACAACTTTATGTATGTACATGAGAAGGTCTATATACACATATACATACAGTTGCTTTGATTCTTTTAGGGCGTCCTTTGCAGACTCTGCCTTACCTGTCAGATTCTCATTTTCTGGACTAAGAAGACAACAGAACAAATTCCAATTGTGCTACTGTGGCCATTTTAAAAAGGCATATCAAGATTTAATTAGGGATACACCTGCATGCCAATGCAAACATACACAAAGCAACAGGGAAAGAAAACAGTAACAGCTGACATTAATACAGGAGGAAGATTTATGCTACAGATTGCACTCTTTTCCCTGCTTGTTGTGTGTTCTGCATACCAACACCCATGATGAGGACTGCAGAAAGAACCACTGTCACACGTTCATTGCTATAGCAACAGTGCTGTAAGGAATCAGCCTGAAAAGGCTCAAACAGGACAAGCTTCATTACTCGTCCCCAGAGGGATACAGGGTGGGCACAATCAAATATCCAATATTTCCCAGGGTTAAAGGGTTAAATATGACTCAGTCATCAATATTTATGTATTGTATGATACTAAGAAATGTCCTTATTCTTTGGGCAATTAATATTTAAATTATTTTTCTTGGTTACATTGTTCTTTTTAGAAGGACAAGCTTTCCCATAAAAAACTTTCTTTATAAACAATATTTAATAAATAACTTCTTGCTGTACACTATGTGCAAATAAAGGGATTATAACCTAGACAGAGAATTTTTGTCCAGAGCTATGAATAAAAAAAAAAAGGATATTAAAGCCCAAATACGACTCAACCATGAAATTCATAACTCAACAATAGGCAAAGATATTGCTGGTATTTTATAATCAAACAGAATGACGCTAGACTTCATCTGATGTCCCCAAAGGTGATCCCTTTATGACATCTCAAGCAAAACCTCAGGAGCCAAAACCTCACCTGCAGGGCAGGTGCTTAAGACATAATCCAGCAACTGTGGGTTTCTCCCGTTTGCCAAAGGAGACAGATAGGGCAGAATTGAAGAGCTACAGGATTACAGCTTCCAACCCTGCAGCAGCTCATTCATGACTTTTCACAGCCATATTAAATATTCAAAGGGTTGTTCCAAAGAAAAGAGAGTAGAACTGTGGAGTGAGCACAGGCTAGACATCAGGAGGAAGGAAATTTTTAAAGAGAAAATTTAATTTAAAAAATATTCTAATAAACAATGGATAGTCGAGATATGCTAATGCAGTATAAATCCTATTTAGAGTTTGTATTTCATTTGGACAGACTTGGGCTCTGGTCTAGCTAGACAGCTCTTTGGATTATAGCATTTCATGGACTCCCGAATGGTCAGGATGGATGCTGCCCAATCCTTTACATTTAAAAAATATCTCAATATCTAAAGTGATGCAGGGACCACTGAGCTGAAAGCATCAATCTGGCATCTTTCCCCTTTCCACCAAAGAACAAAGCAGCCAACATGATGTCATCACAACGAAAATCCACCCTATATGGATGTTTTATCACATGCTGAGATACAGAAATTCTCCGAAAGAAATTGTAGCTGTACATTTTCTGAATTATCTAGTCTTACTTCCAGTTATCTGTGATTGCATTAGTTCACTGTCATTATATTCTTAGCTAGCATTTTTTTTCTCTTTCCTCAGCCTATCAACAACATTTAGGTCAAAACAAAGAACCACCTGCCTACATTTTGCGAAATTTCCTCTACAAAAAGGACACTGCATAAATGGACAAAATTAATCATAGTTACCAACCACTACTAGGGTATTTTTTATTGGATCAACACATTTCTAAAGATGCAAGTAACAAATGTCCTAATCGATACTTCACCAATTAGGATGTGAACAATGATTATATTTTCTTATAAAGTGTTTATTTTAAATATGCAAAAGCTTCTCAAAATTAATACAGTCTTTAAATCTTTTTAGTGCTCAATGCTGAGAACAAGATGGTTCAATCGCCATCCTTGAAGTATGAAATTTAGATACTACATAATACAGACATTTTTGGGGTCCATTCAGGACAAATGCACAACATTGCAGAAGCCCAAACCAGCTGTCATTTCTGGCCAGATAACTATTTCTAAGACTACAGAAGCAGAGGAGAGAGGAATGAATATTCAAGGCTAGCCACCATGTTCTAGCAAGTCTCAGCAGCAGCAGCAGCCACAAAGTCAAAGCTTGTATTGACTTCATAACAGAAGACAGGATTTTACTTTAAGGTGAATTCAGCATTTTGATATTGAATTTTCTTTGCTCTGAATTTCCAGCTCTGTATATGCTGAAAGCAATTTAAAAATAGAGACACAAATTCAAAATTAAACTTCTTAAAAACGGAGTAATTTGATTTTAAAAACTATAATTTGTATTTATGTTGCTAATTATAATTTTCAATGTGCGGAAAGAGTTCAAACTAAGCACAGATTACAGAAAAGTTGGACTTGTGTCATCAGCAAAACAAATACTTATTTAGAATCTGATGTGTTGATAAGCTAAGAACGTCTGACACTCTTTCAGAAGGTTAGAAAATATATCTGCAGATATATTCTCTGTGAAAACTGCACTTACAGGCTTGTATTTTGAAGAGTACAAGAAAAAAGAGCACTCACTTGTGCTTTCTCTTGCAGATATGCTATCTTGCTGTTTAAGACTTCTTACACTGTATGTGTACACCAGAAATGTGTGTATGTGTGTGTGTACACACGTAAAGATTATATTTGCTGTGCTATCATTTATTTATTCACAAGATAATCAAAATCATTCCTTCAAAGAACAGAAACAAGGGCAATCTGTAAGACACAATGAAGGTGAGAGAGAACGTGGAATTCCAAACCAATCTCAAATGAAGGCAAGGGAGTGACTTACAAGGTAAATAGGAAAAAAAAACTATCCCCATGGAATGCAGCTATATTTATGAAGGGATTAGGGCAGGGATGGGCAACTGTGGCCCTTTTACAACCTGTGGACTTCAACTCCCAGAATTCCTAAAACAGCCAAACTGGCCACCCCTGGATTAGGGGCATGTGTGAACTGTGCATAGCAAATCAGATCACCGGATCATCTAGTCCAGCCCTGGCTGTATCTGCTCTGGCAAAGTTGCAAAAGAAGTCACTCCTATTTATAACCTTTGACTGTTTCAGTGTTCTGCCATTTAAATAGCCAACAAGGCTGTCCATAAAGACTTTCCCATTGAGCATTTGTGCATATTTCATACTACGTGTGGATTTGCAAAGTTTAGTATCGGTTGCTAAATTTATGTAAAGCTGATTTACATACTTAGCAATGCTTTTAAACTATTACGTTCCCAACCAGCCAATGTAAACCAATGTGGGCCTTGTAAGCGCTTTAAATATTATTGTCCATTACCTCCAATGTTCCAGAAAAGAACCCTCTTACTAGGGTTGCCTGGAAACATTCCAGTTGGCCGGATGACCCTGGATCAGTCACAAGAGGCACTCATGGAAGCCAGGCTGTCATTGGCCAATTCCCAGGCTTCACGCAACCCTTCCAATGGTCAGCCAGCCCGCAAGGCTTCCAGGCTCAACGCCTTCCAGCTTCTCCCCGCATGTGTCCACGGAGTCACCAGAGCAAAGTTCAACTCCAAAGAGTTCTGCCTTTCGGGTCTCTCTCACTAGCCCAGTATGAGAGGAGAGCCACGTCCGGCACCCACAAAAACCAACACCTGGTCAGACTTCGACCACAGACCGCAGAGCTGGCTGCATGGCCCACCCGGCGCTTTCGTAAACCGGGACTCAATAGCCAACCTCCCCTCGGGCGGGCAGGCAGGAAGAGAGCGCCGGTGCTTCCACGCACAGGAACCGTCCCCAGGACGGAAGCAGCAGCGCCTAATCCCGCGGCCTGCTCTACGGCAGGCGTCCCTCCGCTTTCAGGCACTGCCTTTTCCCCGAGGCTTCCGCGCCGGCTCTTGTCGGGGCAGCAGGGGCGGCAGCCTCGCCTAACGGAGCGTAGGGACCCTGGAACCCAAGCCGCCTTCTGGTTCCTGCCACCCAGGGAACCACCCAGCCGCCCCTCGGGCTGCCCTGCGGGGGCCCTTCCCCTCCGCTCCCCCCGGCTTCGCAGGCCGAAGGGCTCCGGAGAAGGGCGGCGGAGGCCAGCGGACGGGAGGGCCTCCCTTTGCCGAGCCCGGGCGCAGAAGAGCCGCTCCGCAGCGCAAAGCAGCCGAGGCCCCCGGGAGCCCCTCGAAGGCGGCAGGAGCCACCGGGGAGCTTCCGACGGCGCCGCTCCCCCCCCGGGCGGGCCCAGCAGCTGCCCGGAACCGCCCGTCGTCCGCCCGGCCCAGCCGCGCCTCCCCACGCAACGCCCCCGAAGGGCCCGGGCCGAAGGGGCCGCCCTACCTGTCCGCTCCCGGGTGGCTGCCGGGCGGGCGGGTCGGTCAGCCGCGGCGAGGCTCCTCGGAGCTGTCCAGCGCCGCCGCTCCCTCCCTTCTCCCTCCCCCCCTCCTCCCAGAATGCCTCGCGGGGCGCCGGGCCGACGGGAGTTGCAGTCCGAGCCGCGCTCCGGCCCGGCCGCCGCCTCAGCCCCGCCGCGCAGGGAGGGGCCGCCAGGGGGGCGACGCTCCCGGCCTCGTGACCCGAGAATCGTCCGCCCGCCCGCCCGCCGCGCTCACCTGCCCGGTCCCGCCCGTCCGCGACGCCTCCCGGCTCCTCCCGCGGCTCGTCAGGCAGCAAGAAGCATCCCGCGCGAGGGGAGGGCAGCCCAGCCAAGCCTCGCGAGACCCGCCGCCGGCTCGCGCTTCCGTCGCGGGGCAACACCGCGGGGAGGCGGGCCGGAGGAGACCGCTGGCCGCTACGGCGCCCTCTGGCGTCCGGCGCCGGGAGTGGCCGGGGGGAGGATGAGCCGGGGACTACGGTTCCCATCCATATAAAGGGAACAGCGCCGTCCCGCTGTTCTTGCTAAGGCAAGAAGGAATGGGAGGATGGACTTTGTAGTCGGTCCCTCCCTCCTGCCTCCCCATCTCCCATCAGCCGCCGTCCAGTGGCTGTGGATCATGGGCGCTGGAGTGGGCTGGGCACCCCTGAGCGACTCCCCCCCCCCAGCAATTCGGCTGTAATTCGGATTCAGAGTCTACGTTCCATTTTATTCTCTTTCGCCTCCTTTGATCCTTTTCGGAGGCCGTTTGGCGGCTGCATTGGGAGAAAAGGCAAGACTCGGCGGTGCAAAAGGAGCCCGTTTGCCCCAAAGACCCCTCCCCACTTCAGGGCCCCCAAACCCCACAGTTGGACCCCTCCCCCCCCGAAGAGACAACAGGACTGTTGGGTCCAGTCCTGCATCTTTGGATCCCATTTTTCAAATGTATATATTTTATATACGTATTCTATACATCTTCCAAATGTATTCTCTATTCTGTATATATTACAGAGATGAATATAATTTCTATCGCAACTGGTGGAACCACTTGGGTTTGTAAATAGGTGAGGAAAGAGGAATCCAGGCTGATAAGTCTGGCAAGTTGCTTTCCTGGGAATTATTTCTCCATTGATCTTCTGTGGATTTATTGGGATTTCCTGATGATGGGATCTGTCGTCCCCAGAAGACCTGGCCAAAGAGGGAAGGGAGCCTCCTTGCCTTCTCCTGTCCGCCACTCTCCTTAGCTGGATGGTTCCAGAAATGCCCGGCTGTGCGTTGCTGCAAACATTTGCTGGTGGGCCAAATTCAGCCCAGAGGGACGCAGTTGCATCAGCACAGGGAGGAGGCAGTGGGACCGTCCCAAGGTCCCTGGCCTAAAATCCAGAATCTGCTACCAAAGTTCATCCTCTGTTTCAATAAAGGGGATTCTCAAAAGACGGAGAGAAGAAAAATAAAGCTAGTTGGTGGGCCCGTGTCTCACCACCAATGCAGAAGTAATCCCAAGTATGGGGGGGGAGGGGTTCCTATGCAAAGGGGCCTCCCCTACAGAACTACAAGACCCTCAGCCAGGCTCCCCTCCCCACTCCTGCCATAAAAGAGCTGCTTTGGCTGAGGAGAGGCTGCCTTCCCCCCCATCCCATCTGCTGGCCACCTCCAGGAGCTGAGCCAGCACTGCCTCCAAGGGGCAGATGCTGGCTGCAGAGAGCATCCCCCCCCCCCAGCCATGACCAGCTCAGGCGCCCTGCCTGTCTTTCGGGCAACCCTTCAACTGCCAGGCTCACAAAGGGGCAGCATTTGCCAGCTGGGACCGCTTGGAAAGGCAGGAGGGCAGCTCTCCGTCCTGCAGATGGCACAAGGTTAAAGGAGGCCCCTCGGGTCATGCAGATTGGACCAGGCGCTCTTAAAGATGCTCCTTTATCAGTGCAGAGGACCCGTGATGCACAGCCTATCAGGAAACCCAGGCGTTTTAGAGCCGTGATGCTAATAACATTGCTGAACCTGCTACCCCATATATAACTTTTATTTTTGGAGAAACCACCTCATTAGAAGGAGAGATGGGACGGACGGACAGACGGGCACACACACACACACAGAATCAAGAATGAAATCAATGTGGGGAAGATCCCAGATTCGAAGCATGAAGCTCAGCAGGGTTATGGGAAAGCCTGGGGGTTGCAGTCTTTCCTTCCAAAGGTGGCCGAGGGGATTCAGCCTGCTTGACTGGTCACCCAGCTGAGGGAGTACAGCCAAGGTTCCTTTCTCCCTCCCTCCCTCCCTCTTTCATTCCCCCCTTCCCTTCCCTTCCCCTCCCCATTTCTCTCTCTGTCCCTTCTTCCTTCCATCCTCTATGCCCAACATTGCACCATGTGTATTCTTAGCATTTAGGCTGCTGGCAGACGGGAACCGGAGCGATCCCGTGGAATCCTCATCTCTTCAAAGGGTCAAAAGAAAATGAAAGCAGGTTGCTGCCATGAATTCCCTGGCCTGCCTCTTACTTCTTAGGTCCGCACTGCTTTCAGGGATTTCCAGAGCCGGCTATGAGAGGTCAGCCTCTCAGCACCACATTCGCTGCATCTTTTTGGCTCAGGGTTTATCAGCCTTGGCAATTTCAAGATGCTGGCTGGGGAATTCTGGGAGTTGAAGTCCATGCATCCTGAAGTTGCCAAACTTGAGAAAGACATCTGGGGTGAAACAAGGTCAGCGGAGCGTCGCTGCCTTGACCATGCTATTGGCAACTCTTCCAAAGATGGTCTGTTTGTTGCCGGAAGAGATGATGGCAGCCGGATGGCCAGGTGGCTCTGCCCCGAAGGAAGAGGCGGCATTCATCTCCTTTCCTGCAAGAACATCTGGGCTCCTCCTGCCCTGGGGCAGCTCCTTCCAGGGCCTCTTCCTGCAGGAAGCTTTGGGTCCCATATTGTGGCTGTGTGGAAGGCAACCAGCCCATCCCACCAGCTCGGCTCTTGGCCGCTGCAGACCAACTGGCAGATCCCAGTTATGAGATGCTGCTTCTCCGCCTCAGGAGACAATGGGACGCTGCCGTTCGGCCGGGCAGGTCTTCTTCGTGGTCACTTTCGCAATGGCGCTGAAACAGAGAGCAGTGTGATCTTCAGGGTGGAGACCTGCTGCCGGTGGAGAAGAAGTCCTCTCTTTGAGGACAATCCCAGCCGACGCGCACAAGGACCAGCCCGAGGGTCTCTTCCTTGGCAAGACCAGCAAGGTGCCCCTGAGCAAAACTCCTCACCAGGATCATGCCTGGGTTGCCGCTGCTGAGAGAGTTTTGCTGCAGGACAGTCTTGCACTACAAGCTTCTGTGACACGGAGGGGAAATGTGAGTTTCCCAGGAGGAGCTGAACGGCACTCAGGAGTGCTAGGAAGTGTGGTCCAGCCATCCTGGGGCAATGAGGTTCCCAGGCCGGTCCTAAAGTTGGCCAGGTCCTTGCACCTCTCAATAGAGGAGGAGGAGGAGGAGGCAGCATTGCCAGACCCTGGGAGCCCAAGTGGGACTCTTCTCTTGCCAACTCTTTGCGCTCAATGTACTTACCGAACTGTCTTCTTGCATTAAGCGAACTTTTCGCACCAGTGAGCGAGATAAATGGTTGCACAGAGCCACTATGCTGTAGGTGAGCTGGGGAGAAAGAGGCACTTGGTCACACACCGGAAACCCAAATCAGGGATGCCCTCATGCTAATAATCAGGTTCCTAGAAATGGCCACCTCTGGAAGCCACACCAGGAAGGTTTATGCCACGTTCCCCCAACTCTTGGCTGCCTCTGTTCCTTCTTCTGAAGATTCTCCTCAATATTCTAAGCCACCCAGGACAAGGGGCAACCGAGGCTGTTTTCCAACATGGCTTGAGTTCAGAAACATCCCCCCCCCCTCTTTGCGGCAGAAAACATACCTAGGAGGAGGAGAGGAAGCCCATGCCCTTCTCAAGGCCTGCTCTTGCCAGTTCAGACAGGATCCAGAGGCAGCCTCTACCCGAGGTCCCACGGAGCAGGAATCAGGCTGGTTGGCTGACCAAATAGGCCTTGCCCATCGCTCCTGAGCTTGGGGCTTCCAGAGAAATCCTCCCTCTCTTTTGATTGGGGCCATTCCCTTGCCCCTAGTTCTCCCCAAAGGGTCTTTACAAGCTCACAAGGGAAGCCACATGGCGTGGACTCCCTGGGAGCTCTTGGTGTGTCCATTTCTGTTCCCTGATGTCACATCTCAGGTTCTTACCTTCCACCGCCTCCTGGCATACTGCTTTTTGAAGTTCTCCAAGTTAATGACCGATTCCCGCCTTACCATGGCTTGGTGGTTGTCCATGGGCTGGAGACAAGAGGTGACAAGGTCAGGCCCAGCTTCCCCTGCCCCCCACCAGGAGAAAGTGCTCAAATGCGCCAGGCGTACTGCCTGGTTCACATTTAGGCTGGCTTTTTTCTTAAGCTCAGCCTCCTTGTTCACCTGTTTTCTCTCTAGTCCTTCCTATGCAGGTGTTAGATTTTAGTCTTCTAGTTCCTTAGAGTTAGACCCATTACCTTGCTTTTGTATCCCGTATAAAATTATTGTAAGACCATCACCCTGCCCTAACAACCCTACAGATTCAAATGTTTTGCACTGAAATATGAGCTCAGATTCAGGTATATAAATCTTGGCTGAGGAAGAACCACAAACAGATGACCAAGCTAATCTCTCAAAGATTTATTTACTTACTATGTTTTTATTTATTTACTATATCTGCTGCCCAACTCTGTAAGACTTTGGATGGGGTATAAATGTTAAAAAAGTAGTACAGCACTAAGTTGAAAGTTTCAGGCCCAGGGAGACATTTGCCTCGGTTCAAGATTGAGGAGGCTCAGTCTCAACTACAATTGAGCTTCTTCCTTCTGTAGTTTTCCTGGGCTTGAGAAGAAGAGGGCCCACCAAGCAGCTGGTGTCTGAGTCCCATTCCCCCCCCCGCCCCCCGCTTATTTCAGCCTCGGTTCCTCCATTTTCTGATAAAAGTCCCCTCCCCTTCCTTTTCACCTCCATCAAGCAGCTCTTAAACCTTTAGAGTCCACTACAGCTGACCTGAGAAGGAAATAATTTCTGAGTGAGGAAGGCCCCTCGCCTAGGACCAAGCAGAATTCGCCAGAAGGAGCAAGATCATCTTCAGGGCATCTGAACACAAGCTCTCTCTAGAAAACACATTGCACTAAACAAATATTTATTGAGTCTCGTTCTGAGATTAGTTACAGAGTTGGCAGAATTTAAGCTCTCTGGAGGAGATACCAGATAGTGCATCTTCCATGTCGCTCTCTCGTTCATTTTCCAATTATCTGTATACAAAAATTAGTTCTCCCGTTACAGAGAGATCTGATGTCTTAACTGGGAGGAAGCGGTTTGTTTCTTTGGAATGAGATAATAGTCCGGGCTGAAGGTCCTGCCTTATGCAGCAGCACATGTGAGGTGACAGGGATGTGTGCAAATTTATTCTGAATCCTCTGTTTATTCTCCAAGGTATTTGCAAGATTGACTTTCACCCAGAAAGCCTGCAGAGAGTGCTTTGCAGAACCCAAGAGACTTCACATCTAGCTCCATTATTAAAAAATACTTTCATACAGAATTTCAAAACAAAAGAAAATCAATGCCTATTTACAGCAGCAATTCAGCAATAAATAAAAAGCTTTTAAGGTAAGGATGCTGAACTACAGTCAAGTCTTGAGGAGGCCTTCAGTTGTGAGGGTAAGCTCAGGGCATCTTCCAAAGGATAAAAATAGGGCAAGCTTTGAAAAAAAAGATCCAAAGCCTTATTAGAAATTAATTGGGACGCAACCAAGGGAGGCACAAATATCCAGAACCCAAGGCATCTCCACCAGGACGTATTTTCACAGGGACAAAAATATATACAAATACAGTGGTAACAAGGGTCTGTCAAATAACATTGTTCAAAAATAAACCCAATTGTGTGAGTTCCGCACACAGGCTTCCTGAATGGGAGCAGGCTCCCGTCCAAGCAATTCCTCACTGATTTGGACTGAAACAGCAGCGTAAATATCTTTGTTTTCAGCAGCATCACTGACTGGATTTTGTCATGCCCAGATTTAAGGCCGCCAGGAATTCTTCATAGCAGGACCTGTTCAGCAGCTCATTGAGGTCCTTCTGGAAGACGCAGCCGAAGCTGGCCGGCACATAGCCCTCGTCGCTGCCCTCGGACCAGAAGCTGCCCATTAAGTCTTGGATCCACTGGAGTTCTTCCGACAGTTCCTTGCTCAGCCGTTCGTAGTGTGACTGCAGGCCCATATACCTCCCTGTGACCCCAGCGAGGTTGGCACCCACTGCCTGGACGTCCTCCTTCAGGTGCTTCTTCAGGGAGTCAATCTTGCGATATTCGTACTTCAGTTGGGAAAGCTCGTGCTTCACGCTTTCATGTTCCTCCTTGTACCAAGCTTCCTTCTCGTTGTAGATGGAGACCAGAGCATCAATGTCCCCCTGCAAGGAGTCGTGGGAGGCTGCCAGGGTGCCGACACTCTTCTCCATACCAGAGATCTCCTCCACTACACAGGCAAAGCGTTCAAAGGTGGCATAGGTGTTGTTTGGAGGAATGCTGGAGTGGTTTTTGATGGTGTAATCTCTCAGCCATTTGGTCTTCAGCGGCCTGTGCTCGGTTCTCCTGTGGCCTTGGACTTTGGAGCCTTCTTTGGACTGGAGAGAAGCCGGAGGATGGTTATTTACCAAGAACATCTCACCACAAGGGTCTAAAGACACCACAACACCAACATCATCACACCAGGGTGCAAATACACACACATGCAGCAGGTGCCGGAAGCAAGCGCACGTCCTCTCTCCTCTTCATGCATTTGGCATCTTTCTTGCAAAATGTTTGTGAAACAGGAATGTTCCCACAAGGAAAATTACCTCACTACGTGCCAACATCCACATCTGTACACAACTCTGGACTAACCTCTGTCAAAACAGAATCATTTCTGGGACAGTCCCACCAGCATTTATAGAAGGAGGCATAGGAAAAGTTAAATTCCAGCACTCGAGAGGGAAAATGCATTGGGGGCAGAGCCTGCCTTACACGGGATGCCCAGCAAAGAGAGAATTTTCTGCCAACTCATTTCATGGATATCCAAAAATAAAACAAAAATTCAAATCAGTTTACATATGACTGCCAGCGTTCATAGGTTTTTGATATTCTACAATTGATTTGGAATTTCCAAAATTCACCTGGGAAATGCTGACCTCAAGATGCCCCTTCCGGCTTTGGCATGCAGGCCACAAGGAAGCGGGGACTGATCCCCAAGGTGGGTCTCTCTTCTCCTTGTCCTTCCTGGAAAGTTGCACTTACAAGCAACCACTGACTTCAAGAAGGGCAGGAGGGAAGGATTCTACATTCAACAAGACCCAAACAAGCAAAGCCGAGATAACCAACTGCTTCATTCCATGCCGACAGCAGAGATGGGTACGGAGAACTCAGTGTGTGCCAGGACAGAAAATCGTATCTCAAATATGGAATAATAATATGTTCGAGAGAAGAAATGTTTTTTTTTTAAAGCTAGGCCTGATTGCTTTATTCCTTTCCTCTGAAAAGGACCTCAGAAATAGGCTTTGCAGTGGAGAACTAGAGTAAACGGAAGGATTCCCCAGAGGAGCACCTGATTGACCTCATGCTGCTAAATGATGAAAATCAGGGTATGAAACTGGGTGGGGCGGAGGGCTTCCTCTGCCCAGATAGGGAGGGCCATACGAAGTTCTGTCCCACTTCAGCAGCACTTGGCTGTCCTCCTCCCATCCATCCACTGTGAAACCTCTTGACTTACCTTGATCCAGGGGTGCCTGAGCGCTTCCTGGATTGTGAGTCGTTTCCTAAAAGGGGAGAAAGTCCTCAGTGAATCCCCCCCCACCCCTTGTGGGAAAGAGCTGCCAGTCAGAGGCATGTTCCAAATGCCTCACGCAGGGATGGCCCGCTCACTCCCCCCATCCGTGGAAGGGCCTCAAATCATGAATATGAGAACCACCTGGAGCCTCCCTGTGCTTCAGCGAAGGCAGCCCAGGAAGCCCTTGGGGGGGGGGGGTCGTAAGCCTGTTTATCTACAATCAATGCACCTTCTATGCTTCCTTTGAAGAGGCATGTCTGAAAGCTACATAGGCGCTCACAGGAAACTCATTCTTAGATTAGGGGCCCAGGAAGAGCACCCCATAAATGCCCATTTTTTCCTTTTCGGAGGTTCTCTGACAGGGCCCTGCGGCCCCTAAGCCAAATTGTGCTGAACCGAAACAGCGTTCCCCTTTCCTCCTACGAGTCCCAGTGAGGCATCGTGGGAGCCCACAAAGGTTTTCCCGCTTCTTCTCAGATGCATCTGGGCACCTCCTGGGCTGGACGGAGGACCCTCAACCCTGGCAAGACGCTCGGGACGACGTACCGTGGATCTTTCACCAGAAGCTTCCGGATAAAATCTTTTGCCAGGTCACTGGTGTGGCTGAAGAATTCTTCATCAAATTCATAGCTGACGGCAGTGATGTTAGCCAGCGTCTCCTGCTTGGTCTCTCCAAGGAACGGAGAAGCACCACTCAGCCTGCATGGGGAATTGGCGGGGGCGGGGGGTTGGGGGTAGAGCCAGAGTATCAGGAGCGGATCTGACAGGCTGGTGGAGACAGAAGACACCAAGGACCCTGGGCCAGAGCCCACAGGAAAGGGCCCTGTGAGAATCTGGTGATAAAACCAAGGCAAGCCTTTGTGTTGCCCAGGAAGGCTCCTTGGTGGCTCAGTTGCCACAGGGAGGGAGGGGGGGGGGAGGAACTGGAGCTCTCTCTCCTCTTCCTGCCTTGATAGGAATTTGGGCGCACACAAAAGAAGCCCGGAAGAGGGAGCAACTGCAGCCTGCTGGGTTGTGGGGTGGGAGATCCATGCCAGGGACCCCCAAAGCCTTGATGGGCATCAGAGGTTCCTCCCCCTGGGCTGCAGCCTTCCCAAGACCAGACAGCTCCACACTGCCACCTGCTGAGCGGCCTGTGCAACTGCTGCCAGGGATTCCCAACAGCCTTGTGCGCTCACTCCACTGGCCAGCTTTGGGCATTTTGCTGGGGTAACTGAGAAAGTGGGCAGCCCCTTTATGGACCATCTTCTCCCTCCCCTGCCCATGGACACCTGTGGGGCCAGCCTTCACTTCTCCATTTGCTTGCTTTCCGCCACCTTGCTAGTCGATTAGAATGTTTTTAATTGCAACAATGAGTTGCATGCAGCTCCATCCAATCTATGTAATACTCAATTACGACCTCACACTCTCTTCTGGTTTGCAGCTCAATTCTTGTCATTCCCACCACCAAGTGCCGATGCAACCTCTTCCCCAGGAGGGGCTGGGGTAATGAAGCCCACCTCCACTTTTGCCACCAGCTGCCTGAGACAAGTTTCTTCCTCTCAATCTGGCTGATTTTACAGGGTCCTTGTGAGGATAAAGTGAAGAGGGGGCACTGATTGTACCTCTTGTAGGAAATGTGGGGTTGAAAATAGGAGGGAGCAGATAAAAATAAATAGATGAATAAATAAATAAAGGGAACTAATAATCCAGTACTTACAATATGTAAGTGATGACTCCAATGCTCCTGAGAAAAAGGGAAAAAAGAAAACACACCCACAGATTTGTGCTAAAGCCAATCACTCCGTCAGGTGGACAGTAGGGAAAAAAACAGCAAACTTGTCTTCTGTTTGCTGATTTGTTCTCAAAGGCTGATACAGCACACAAAAATCAGCTGGACCAACCCGCAGCCCAACCAAAAAGGACCAGGTTAAGGAAGGAGGCTGGAGGGACAGCAAACACAGGCAGAAAAGACTCACCACAGATCAGCTGCCAGTCCCAGTGGCTCGTAATTGACGATTTCTGGAGCTGGAAGGAGAGTGTGGATCCCAAGATCAGAGAGACAAAGGCTGCCTGCCCCAACTTGAAGCTTTCCAGACGTGTTAGAGACAGCCAAGACCCATCATCCTCAGCCGGGAAGGAAGCTGCACTCCTGGCAGACAGTGGCAGGGCCCCGGACTGAGAGACCCTGCCACCCTGGGCCCTGGATAAGTTGAGGGCAAAAGGGCACCAACTTACCCACGAATTCTGGTGTCCCAAAAATATTCTTAAACTCCACTCCATCTTCTATTTCATGGGCCAGACCAAAATCGATCAGTTTTATGTGAGGAATGGGGAGGGTCTTGTCCAGCAGCATAATATTCTCAGGCTTTAAGACGAGAAGGAGAGCAGAGAAGAGAAGAGCATCAGTCCTCAGGTTGAGCTGGGGGGGGAGGGGGGCTCAGGGGGCTGCACCCCCATCTGGTCTGTCTGGACGGGAGGAAAAGGGCTTTAGCAGCAGCTGCTGCTCACCTTTAAATCAAAATGGGCGATCTTCTTGGTGTGCAGGTAGTTGACCCCGTCCAGGATCTGCTTAATGAACTGTGTGGCTTCCTCCTCACTCAGTGACTCCTTCTGGGCCAGGAAATCAAAAAGTTCCCCTCCGGATACTCTGCGAAATCCGAGGAGGAAGCACATGGTGGTCCCCGTGTTCATTGCCTATCTGACGATTCATCCCAAATGACATAACATCATAACCATATGGGGAATTATTTATAAAAATCTCAGTTGTGGGAAGGAGAACAGCCAGGATGCCTTCCTTCGTCTTCCCTTCCCTGGGCTGGGAGATGCCCTAAAATGAGCTGCCCTCATAAAAAAAAAAACAGTTGGAAGATGGCCTCCCTTTCAGCAAAGTGCAATTTGGATGAGGCTCCTCTTGTTTACTGAGTTTGTTTTGTTCCACAAAGAAGGATCGAGTTGCAAACTTCCAAATTCGCTTCTTTCCTCAACTGAGCCCAGCCTCCATCACAGCTCGTCCGGATGTGCTGGGACTCCGTCCTCTGATCAACCCGAGGCTCCTTCTGCAGCCCCCCAAATTGGCAGCCTGCCTGTGAGAACAGGTCTCTCAAAGGACACCACTTCCTTCCACAAATCGGGCTGCTATTTTGTGCTCCGATGTGAGGCTTACGGTGCTTTCTCATCCTTTCTGCCCTCTTAGAAATGAACTACAAGAATTCGGAGAGTCTCGTTTAGTCCCAGAACCACCGAAACAAACAGAAATGCCCCCAAATGTTCCTGCCTGAAGCAGAACTGGGTTGTGTGACAAGAGACACAACTTTCCTTTGCATTCTGTCAAAATCCAGCAATAATGGTGACCCGGAAACTTGGATGGAAGAATTGACGCTAAGATTAAGTGAGTGAAGTTTATTGCAAGGCGGTGCTCAGTGTTGATCCAGGCTTCTAGAGACCCTCTCTGAGCATTTCAACACTTGCGGAGACCCCAAATCCATATTTACATGGAAGAGTTGAGTAACTTGAGCGTTTTGCACTTAAAAGGATGGCTGAGGGTTTTGCATCCATGTTTAGTTTGTGTTTGTAGCTTCATCTTCCAAGCTCCAACCATTTGGGAAAGTCTGTCTTTGTTCTGAACCAATAACTTGGACAGTTTCCTTCTTGTTCAAATAATATTCACTTCTTTAAAACTGGATTTATAAATAAACAAGGAAAGGGCACATTCACTGTTATTATGCATAAGGAGCTACCTGTAGGCACTATGTGGTTGGTTTCATTTGAGCCCAGGGGTGAAAGATGAACCGGTTTCCCACCGGTTTGCTGGCCGTGCCTGTGTCGTGCATGCCAAAAGGAGGCTTGGGAAGGTAAGTAGAGCACGAGGGAGGGATTAGCTGTGTCGCGTGATTTAGCTTTGCTAGAAAGCAGGATTTCTAGCAAAACTAAACCGCGCAGTACAGCTGATCATCGGAAATACCGGTTGGGAGGAACGGTTCAACTGAATTGGTAGCCTTTTTTTTTGCTATCGTTATGTGTGAATAGAGAATATTTTGATAAGCAGAGCAGAAACCCTAAACTGATCTGCAGGTTGATTAATTTTTATTTTAGACAAACAAGATAGCAGAGACCCAGAATCACCTCATAAACTGGAGGATTCTGTGTTGATGAAATAGATCGGTGTTTCTCAAGCTGGGGGGCTTTAAGATCCGTGGGACTTCAACTCCCAGAATTCCCCAGGCAGTGATGAAATAGTTAATGCGCTCCACCATTCCCCAAAATTCCTCTGAAAGGAGAAACCAGCCAACCCCAGCGGACCCCCTACTCACAGCTCGAGGATAAGGATCACATCGGTTTTGTTCTCGTAAACCTCATGCAGCTGGATGATGCTGCTGTGCAGAATCTGCTGCAGGATGTTCACCTCCCGCTCAATCTCCTCTCGCTGGACCCCGCGGCGACTGGCCCGGCTCTGCCGCTTCTTGATGAACTTGGCCGCGTAGTCCATCCCCGTGGCCTTCTCCCGGCACCGCTTCACAATGGCAAATTGCCCGCTGCAAGCAAAGCCACCAGACAGGGTTACTCAGGAGTGAGGTGGTGGGGCGGCGTCTGGTGAGGCAGAGGGGAGGCTCCCTGGATGCCCCCCGTCACTCCTGGCCGAGATACGGGAAACGGGTGCCGGATGAGGACTGGACAAGGGGGGGCATTCCAAGATGTAAATGAAAATTCAGTCATCCGGGCCAAAAGCATCTAAAAGGTGAAATCATGGCAACTGGACCAGAGTTTATTAAAACTGAGATGTTTCACTACTCATCCAAGTAACTTCAATCAAAATGAGAATTTGGGTAGTCGGAGAATTTTTTTAATCAACTTTGGTCCAGTTGCCATGACTGAATCTTTTTAGATACTTTTGGTCTGGATGACTGAATCTCCCTTTACATGTTGCTTTTCATTTTGGGGAGAAATGCTGACAAGGCTTGATGAGGCAGCCTTTCTGTACAGCTGGCCATCGGAGTCCCAAGGCCGCCCATCCGGCCGGGCCTTCCAAGGTCAGAAACAGGAAACAGAGGCCAGAGGAGCCAATGTCACAGCCTGAGGGGTGGGGGGCTCCCCCAAGCTCTCTTCCCTCCGGGTGTGAAGAAATATGCCTCGAGGGGCCTCCTTGCAGGAAGCTCTTCTGAAGCTCAAAAGGAGGGCAGCCCAAACATGGAAGAAGCAGATGCACAAATCCTTCCTCAAATCCTTCCAAGGAGGGGCTCCAGAGGAGGGGAGGCTGGAGAACAGGCAAAGCCCCCCTCCCCCGGCTGCGAGAGATGGACCCCCTCCAGCCCCTTCTCAGAATATCCCAACTCACAAAGGTCCCAGGTGCATGAGACGCCGGCTGTGTGGATAGTGCAGTGATGCAACTGAGACACCAGATGGCGTTAGCCTTTGTGGCCTCTGGGAATTAAGCAATGGGGTGGGGGCTCTTTCTGGCTGAGAATAAGCAGAAGCCCCCCCGTCTTGTCTGAAACTGGGGAACTTGAGCGTTCTCAGCATTTGAGACCCAGGTTGCAAGCCCATCTGAACTGGAAAAAGCATATTCAGATGATAGGCAGGCGAGAATGTAATCTTGCATGCCATCTAAACATTGGCATCACGTCACGTGCTGGACCTGGCGGGCAGGGGGTATTTTTGGAGGTGCCTTAAGAGCCCTGATGCTCAGCAGAGGCAGCTGCTCCGAGCTGGGAGCACAAAAGCGGGCCCGGCTGGGCCAAAGTGATGCTCAGCTCAAAAGCAGAGGGGAAAGTTGGGCAGGGGAGAAAGGTGGGGGGGGGGCTCCTCTACTGGCAGCTGCAGCCAGACTTGGTGGCACCACCCAGAGCCCGTCTGAGAGCCCCAGGCGACAGGAGGAGGCTGTCCAGCTGCCTGCCCTCTTTACGCTGGCCAGATGACCTCAGCGGGAGAGCATTCACATGCTGCAAAACAGGCTTCTTGGCCCACCTAGGCTGGCTGGGGACGATGGGACCCGTTATCCACCACAGCTGAGTCACTCAGAGGCCCCTGCCACAGGAGATGGCAGGACTTCGTACATAAAGGCAAGCCGTAAGGGACGGAGGTGGGGTTGAAGTTGGACTGTAGATGCCATCCCCAGCATGGAAGGCTGAAACCATCATTGTGGCTGTGTGAATCCAGTAAAAGGGTTGTTTGCTTTTCAAAATGTCAGCCAGCCCCCCAAAAGCAAGTTTCCCAGGCCTGTTGGGGCAAATCTGTTTGGGCTGCTCCTCTATCAAGGGGGGTCCCCTAAGATCTCCCCCAGATTGATTGGTCCCTTGTTAAGCGAGGCTGCTGGTTCCTCCCCACCTTGCCCGAGCGTGGGAAGTCCCGAGCTAAGCAGTGCCCAGACATCGAGGCCCACCCAACCGGGCTCTTCTCGGCCGCCCTTTCTTGATTCTGCGAAACTGGACTGGGTCGGCCCTTGTCCAAGGCTGGTGCCCTGTTGCAAGCCAGGCTCCCTGGGTGCTGCACAAGAGGCCTGGTGGGGGTGGGCAGTTGATCCGGCCGGCCTCCTGGCCAGAGTGACCCTCCCAGAGGCTAAAGATAGACAGGGAGCCGGAGCAGCTATGCCCGGAATGAGAGGCAGCCTCTCCTTCCGAGGGTCCCAGCAAAGGCCTGGGGCAGCAAAACGGAAGGAAGGCCGGTTCCTCTGGGGGCGCCACAGCCGGACTGTGGAGGGTGGCAAAGGACAGAATCTGGAGAACAGCGAATAAGGCCACGGAGGCACCAGGAGTAATTGGAGGGAGGAAAGCCTCCCACCTTAGCTGGGGACCATGGGATCTGGAGTCCAAACTCGGTGCCGGTTGCCTGTGGGGCTGCTTTTGGCAAACACCAACTGAAGTGAGCAAATCTGACTCACCCACGGCTGGGTCGGCCCCCTTGCTGGCCCCCTTCCCACTGGGGGGGGGCAAGGGAGGGGGGTGGATGGGCTCCGGGGCCCAAACCCTGCTTGCTGTGCTCTTTGCGCGTCTCTCAGTGGAGCGCAGCTGCCTTTGGCCCTTCGGCCCCCTTTCTCCTGGGCCAGGCCAGCCACTGACCACCGAGGCTCCCTGGGCTGACGGGGGCTGCCCTCGGAGCCAATGCTTACAGGGAATCTCAGCTGGGATGGGATGGGGAACCCCAGCCTGCCCCTCCCCCCGCCTCCAGACTGGGCCGGCCTTCGCCTGCACCCGTGAGAATCAGCCTGCTCAACATACGCCCAACCATTGTTTGGTGGGACACAAGACTCATCCAGGTGCTTCTGCCTCACCTGGGCACCCAATGATTCATCACACCTGCTTTTGCACAAGCCACTATTGTCTGGGATCCGGGAGAGAGCCAACCGTACTTGGATTGGCCCCACACAACGCCAGATGAAGCACCAAGCCAGACCCAACCTCGTCTCTCCAACCGCCAAGTAAGCGCCCCAGAAACCAGGCTCCTCGGGTTGGTCCTTAATCTGGCAAGGGTGGGGGTGGGGGGGTGATGGGAACTGCAATCCCATCGCTTCTGGAAGCTCCTGCCGGGTGTTCCGACTGCTGCCTGGTTATCGCTCCTCTTTGCCCCAGTTCAGGCCAGCGGCCCTCGGCTTCCTTCTGGCACAGGCCTCCGTGCTCAGGAACTGGCCAACGCCCAGCGTGACCTTGGGCCCCATTGCAGCCTCCTCCCTTATCATGAGGTTGCTCGCCCCTCCCTGGGTCCTCTGACAGGGGCTGAGTGGGGAGGGGATCTGCCCACCAGGATCCTCCCGAACCATCATGCCCTTCCGACTAATTGATTATTCACCGGATCCACTGGAGCCCTTTGGGATGCTAAGGGCAGAAAGAGCTTCCCAGTCCCCAAAGGTTCTTCCTGGGGCAAGAGAAGCCCATCTCATGGGGAAGAACTAGGGAAGCGGCTGCTCATCCCTCATTTTCAGAAACATGAAGTCCAGCCCGTGATTGCAAGGAGGAGAGCTGGGCAGGCTGGCCAAGCCCCCCCTTGGTCAACTGTTAGTAGCAAAGTCTTCCACAACAATGACACACCCACCTTCTGACTGCAAACAACCCCTGCTGGAGCCCGTCCAAAGTGAAGCATGAAGTCACCCGAATGGCTGCTGCCCACAGAACCAGGGAACTGTGACATTGAGGGCCGTTCTGGGCAACATGATCCTAGTGCTCTGCATCCCAAGTGCCCAGGGCAGCCAGCAGCCGCTGAGGGCCCAGGAAGAGCCGCTGCCCCCAAAAGCTGCTAAATCTCCACCAGCCACTGGCTGACCATGTGGCAGCCTATCTGGGCATCACTGGAGGGACCATCACAGTCCTAAGCAACTGGGGCAGCCCTGGTACTTCTCCAGGTTCATCCTGGACCTCGTGAGGTCACCTGCATTGGGGCAGAATTGCAATTCCAAAACCTTTTGGCTCAGGAAATTACGTGACTGGAACAAGCTTTCATTCATGCCCTGAGCGGCTTCCTCTTTCCACCACTTGACAAAGGCACACAAAGCTGGCAGGAGCGCCAACAGGTCATGAGCACCCAAATGCCAGGCCAACTTTGGGAAAGGAGCCCCAACCGGCTGCTGCCCCAGAGGAAGCCCCTGCTGGGGTCGCCCTTCCATGGGGAGGCAGGTTGGGCTGAGGGGCCCAGCCAGGTATGGGCTCCTGCGGGGCCGCTTCAGAAGCATTGGAGCCAGCTGCTGTGCCAGGAGAAGGCAGCCTCCGGCTCTGGTGCAAGGAACAAGGCGGGCAGGGCAGTCACCCCACTTCCCAATCCTGTCAGCTGCCGGCTGAAATCCCCTTTGCTCTGGGACGGTCCTGGCAATCCCTTCGCTGGCAGACGCAGCTGTCCCTGCCTGGAACTGCTGCAGGTCTGTCAGAGAGGCCCTCAGAGGCTCCCTTGGCAGAACCAAGCAGGAGGCAGGTCCCTGCTGCTCCCGAGACCAGGCGCCTGCAGGCGTTTTTCTGAGGCTGGCTCCTCCTGACACCATCAGGGCTCTGGCCCCAGAGAGCCGCCTTCTGCCCCCAAACGTCTGAAGTGCTCCTGCTTCACACGAGGAGAAAATGCTTTTCCATCTCTGCGCAGCAAGCAGCCAGCCAGGGGGTGGGATCCCGCAGCCCAGTTCAGGCCAGCGAGTGCCTTATTTCAAGCATCTTTCAGCACACACACACACACCCGCCCCCATCAAAGTGTTGAAATATCAGGCAAGACAAAAATGACCTCTTCCTGCCAAGCTTCTGCAGTCCCAAAACTTCCCAAATGGACCAGCCAGCATTCCAGAGAGACGACTCTTCTTCCTTTCGCCTAGCAGCCTCTCTGCCAGGCAACCCCCTAGAAGCCCACCCTGGGGGGTGCATTTCCATGGCAGAGAAACACAACAGCGAAGAAGTCACTGAATTGGGATGAAAGTTTGGAACCGGATGGGGCTAAAGGGAAGTTGGGGCTTACCTGCCGAGCTCCTCCCCGATTTCGTACAGGTCGTCCACCTTCTGCTGTTTAAACACGGCCATCCCTGGAGTCTGCACCCCGCAAGCTGGGAAGCGAAGGCAAGGAAGAAACGGCCTTTTTAAGCATTTGCTCATTTCTGTCTTCCTTTGGTTAAACTTCTCTCCCGCATTTCTGCCAGGTATGGCCCATCGGGCTCCCATTTAGATTTAATTTCCTGGACTGGTACACATTATAACAATTCAGTGTCACAAAAGTGTGGATTAGTACAATAGGGGCACGGTAGCCTGCTTTACGTGGGACCCAAACTTAACTGCGTATGTGCTAACCCCCCAGAGGCCACCCCACAGCCTAGCCTGGTGGGGCTGGGCCAGAAGCCAAAGCTGGCGTCTGAGAGCAGGAGCCCTGGCCCACCCTTGATACATGCCCCTTCCTCTCCCAGGGTCTCCCTAATCGGCCCTCTCACTCCTGAGCTGCTCTGGGCCAGGACAGGCAAAGCCCAGCCCGGGAGAAGCAGAGATGCCTGCAAAGGGAGGTCTTTTCGGGGAGAGAGCTGGACAGATGGGCCCCAGGGAGGCTGCTGGCCGTATGCTGGAAAAGACCAGAGCCACAAAACAGAATGGGCAGAATATTTTTCTGGGCACCACCTGAAGCTTTCTAGTGACAGCGAAGCTTGCTTACTTAGCCTCAATTTTCACCCTGTAAAATGGGGACAACCTAAGCAGACTTTTGAAGGAAGCTGTCTGAGAGGTGGTGGGGAGAGGGTGCAGGGCCTCTGAAGGACCAGGCATTTCTGCCAAGGTGGTTTTAATTCAGGGAGTGTGTCTCCCTGCAGCAGCAGCACAGTTGGTGCTGATGCCCCTCCTGACACCCGGATCCCTTGAGCTTTTTCCAACCCAGTTCTGACTCAGTGCAACCAAACCCCCCTGGTTCACTTGCCTGAGCACCACCCCCTCCCCAGTTTATCCAGAGGAAGATGGGATGCTCTGATCTGTTGGATCTCTACCAAAAAAGAAAAAAAAAGGTCTCCGCCAGATTGGAGGACACCCTTTAAGCCCCCTTAAAAAAAAGGATTTTGTTCTAATCTCCTTAAAATATGGCCTATCCGCTTTTACCCTAGCAGAATACCTGAGATTATCTTTGGCCGAACCAAAATGAAGCTACAAGCAGCAAAAGGCCAACCTAAAGCGAGAGACAAATGAATTGGTGGAGGAAATGTCCTTGGGGCACCCAACCAGGAATCAAAATACAATTAAGGCCAAAAGAGGAACCACAGAAGGACTTGGATGGGTCCTGGCTGGAACAAAGGGCACCTTGGCTGAGATGCCCTTGAAGCGGCAATGAGAAGGGGGTGAAAGTCCCCTGAGAAAGATTCCAAGGGATCTGGGAACCTCTTTGGGCTGTGATTCTTTTCCTGGAAACTCTGCTACCCAGACACCCCGATTCTCCTTCCTGAGACATTCAGTCTAGAAGGCAAAGCCCCTTCAGTGTCCACCTGTTTCACGGACGTTGGAAGGAGATGGCTTCAGCCCACACAGCCTGTGCCAAACTAAATTCATTAGCTCCCGGCAGGCAAAAGGCTGTCCCAGATCTCTGTTTGGGGGATTATTGCAAGTCAAGACATAATGAAATTAATTAACCGCTTCTGAGCTCATCTCAGCTTCAGCAGAGGTGCCTGTGAGGACAAACGGCCTGGGCAAGAAACAGCAGCTCCTTTCTGACCGTTTGTCAAAAGCCGCCCTTCCCTTTTGGCCGCCACAATTCCCCTTGGGGGGCCCTGAGCGGCTTCCTTTCCAGGGGAGTCCCAGCCACTTTTCATCAGTCTGCAGGGTGCAAAACCCTCACGCTGGGAGATCCTGCAGCATGCGAAGCCCCCAAGGGTCCCTCGGCTCGGGCACAGGACGTCGCCAGAGCCGGCCACCACGGGGCCCGAGTCCAGCCTGCGCTAACCAATCGAACCGATGGTGCCTTGGGGAGCAGCGGGTGGGAGCAGAGCCCCCGAAGAGCCTGGGCAGGGCGGCGGCAGCTGGCGCCCACGTGCAGAAGGCACACAATGCCCTCAAGCCACCAGAGTTTTACAGCCAGCGGGTCCTTCGCAGAGGCAGACAAAAGGAAACAGAAGCAAGCCAAGCGGGTAAGGAACACCTTAGAAGGCAAACAAGCCAACGTCCCTTCGGGGAAAGAGGCCGTGCTGTGGTGGCCTCTCCCTCCGAGGGCCTCGGGGGTCAGCCGTGAGGCTTCGGCCCCTGGGAGGAAGGACTCTGGCGATGCCCCCGAGGCTCTGGGGGCCCCGCAAGTGCGAGGAAGGGCTTCCTCCCCCCTGGGCACCCAGGCATCCCAGGACGTTGCCCTCTTCCCCAGCCCTGGCAACCCCGCTCTCTTCGGCAGCCTCCTTGCTCACTCCGCTTTCCGGAGAAGCCCGGGCTCAAGGGCTTCCCACCAACCGAGCTGCATCGCCGGGGGTGTGTGTGTGTGTCTGTGTGTGTGTCCCCCCGCCCGGGGGTTCTCCGGGGAGCAGGAGCCGCGACCCTCGGCAGCCCCGGCAGCGGCGCCCCCTCAGCAGCTCGCCCGCCTCGCCCCTCCGACGGGTTCCCGCTCCGTTCCGCCGCCCGTCCAGCCCTGCCCTGCCCAGCCGCCCGGAGAGCCTACCTGCGCGGCGCTGCGAGCCGACGGCCCCGGAGCAGCGGCGGCGGCGGCTCTGCCGTCTCCCTCCCCCGCCTCCGTCTGCCGGGCCGGGGAGGAGCCGCGGGCGCCCCCTGCAGCCCCGAGGCGGAGCGGCCGGCCCGCAGCCCCCAGTGGGCGGGGGTCTCCTCAGCGGAGCCTCGCGCTGCCCTCCCCCGAGCGGGTGTCGGGCCCTCCCCGGGACCCCCAAGCGAGGAGAGGCCGGGAGGAGACGGGGCTGCGCTGGAGCTGTTGCCTCGCCCCAAACAACTTTGGCCCAAAGGGAGATTCTGAGGAAAGTCCCAGGCGCGGAATGCTGGGCGTGAAATCCCTCCAGCGAGTCATTTCTTGCTCCAGAAGGTCTTCCTGTTTCAGTCCTGGGGAAGCCAGGAATTAGACAGCCGTTCTGAAGGCTAAAAACCCGCTTTAGTTTTAAACGGCAGAAAGCCCGCCCTGGACCCCTCACTCTTCTCTTCCTTAATTCAATAGATTAAGCCAGGATTAAGCCAGGTTAGTCATTAACCTTAAGCATGAAACTAGAGGGGCGATTTTAAGTCAGTCACTTTCTCAGCCCCACCTCACAGGGATGTTGTGATGGGGAAAATAGCAGGCATTAGGGTTAGGTATGTTCCCTGCCTTGAGTTTTTTTTTTTCTCTCTCTCTCTCTCTCTGTAAAAAGGCAGGATCCCAAAATATCTGGAGCACCACTTCAGCATCCTGGGCAATTTCAAAAGGCGGCTTGACTTGGAACAGCTGCCATCCTGCAAAGCCCCTTGGAGCCCCATCCATCATCCACATCTGCCCATGCCAGCTGCTTGGAAGGATTCCATAGGTGGGCAAAAATGCCAAATCCAGGCTAAATATCGGGCCGACTGTTTGACTGCCCATCATAACAGCTGCAAAACGAAATGGGGGGAGGCTTGTAGGTAAAAGGCGCAAACAGGAAAAGGCCCTTTCTTGCCTTGGCCAGAAAATTCCTCCCCCCCCCCCCCAGCTGCTATTTCCTGCCTTTTGCCTGGACTGCAGCAGCCACCACCCAGCCGGAACCCCTCTTGAGCCCCCCAGAGGGTCCCCTGCGCAGGAAGGGGGAGGCAGTTGGGCCTGTTCTTTTGCATCAGTGGCCCCAGGATGATTGGGCTCACAGCCCACCATTGTTCCCTAATGGGCCCACAGGAATGGGGGTCCTCCTAGCATGGGTGAGCCTCCCCTGGCTCCTGGCAACTCTCCGATGGGGCAGAGGCCGGTTGGGATCCTCAGATGGACGCCACCCTTAACTGACTCAGTGGCCACTAGCAGGGCATCAGCCCCCTCCACACCCCCAGCCGAAGGGCCTCCAGTGGCAAAGGCTGAACTGGGGCAAAGAGCTCAACTTTACCCTACGGACACTGGGACTCCCCACCCCACCCCACCCCACCCCGTTCCTCCTGGTATGTGTTCTTTCGGCCCGCAGGTGCCACCCACTTCTCTGCCAAGGCCGCAAGAGAAAGCAGCCCGCTCGGCCTCCAGGGCGCAAACAGAAACGGCAGCAGGTGGTCATGTGCATTTATTTACTAGGATTGGTCAGACAAAACCAGACAGGAATGAAGATCAAAAGCCTTTAAAAATCAAAGACAGGAAATGGTCTATTTTCAAGAGGTTGCAAAAATTTGGCAAATGAACTCAGGAGCCCCGACTGCACTCGTCCTATGTGGAAGAGAAGCTCCACCCCACCCCCGTTCTGGAGCCTGTGCCTGGGGTTTCACCGGCTGTGAGCCCTGCGATGTTCGCAGGATACGGGACCCCTACTTGCGACCCCACCTCCAGAGGGAAGGGGCCTCTGGGCGGGTGTGTGTGTGTGTGTGTGTCGTTCTAGGGCCTCCAGCAAGAAAGGCAGAAAAATCGACGATCTCGGTGAAGCTTGTGCAAACTGCAAAAGTAGGGGTGGGTGGGTTACATTCTGCTTGAATAGACACCATGCATAAAATACTTTGCGTATATAGTACAGAGCAGAGTTTGGGGTTCTTTATAAAAAGGGAAGGAAAACCTGATAGCAGGAATTGAGACCTGCATATTTGGAAATCCGGTGTTCCTCAATCTTGGCAGCTTGAAGATGGGTGGACATCAGCTCCCTGAACTCCCCAGCCAGCAGAGCAATTCCGGGGGTTGGGGTCCACCCATCTTCAAGCTACCCCGGGGCTGCGTGTTGGGGTGCACGTGCGGCTGCCTGTCTCCCTTTCTTGGTCTCTTCAGTGCTGACAGTCTGGGAGGCCTCTGGATGATGAAGACGTCCAGCCGTTGGGCTCCACTGCAAGGAACGCAGGGGGAGGAACCCTTGCGTTACACGACTTGGGGCACCCCAGGTAGCCCCCCCCTGAGGAAACCCACCAGACTGGCCGACACAATGACTGAGGACACGAACATTGATCCAGGGAGCCAAGTCAGCCAAAACCCCGCCCAGGAAGATTCACCCTCCTCCTCTGCCACCCTGTGGGGCGCCTTCTTTGCCTCCAAAGTGGCTTGGGTCTGGCCTGAGCAGACATGTCCTGGCTGTGAGGAGGCAGAGCTCCTGGCCCCTTGGGCTCCCAATCTCTTCCCTGAGGAAGATCTCCGGGGTGGAGGGGGTATTGAAGAACAAAAGCTGTAGGGAAGAATGGAATGACTGGATTCTTCGGGGATGAACTGTCCCCCGGCTCCCCAACAGGAACTTTGCTGGGGTTTGCCACCCCCTCTGCTGTCTGTGGAACAACAGGCTCTCACCGCGAGGACCAGGGAGGCTGGTGCCGGAGAGACCCAGCCGGGCGTGGATGGGGCTGGCCATTTGCAGAGAGGTATGGCACCTCCGAGAGCCCCAGGCCAGGGAAAGGAGCACCTTCTTGGTTTCCAACGGAGACGGGGACCCGAGCCCAGAAGGGAGATGGCAGCCGTCTGGAAACCCTGGTTGCTGCCCCCAGGTGGGAAGACCGAGCGGTGGCCCCGTGGAATGTCTCTGAAGCCGCACAAAGCTACCAGCACCTGATGAAGCACTGTGACTTGGTTCATTTGTTTAAGATGACGAGGAAACTCTCTCCAAAATGGCACAATTTAAAGAATTTGGCATAAAATGACGGGCCTTTCAGTATTGTGTCAGAGGCTTTGAAAGGGAGGAAAACACTCACAGCTCAGCTGCACAACTGAAAGGAAATCTGAAGTGCTGGGTACATGGAACGATGACCTGAGCAGGAACCGCCTCTCTTGTGAAACGCTGGATTTGGGAATCTGCCCTCGAATCCCCATGAGGTTCTGCGCTGTGGAAAAAGCCCCCCCAAAGGGGTCCCCCAAGGTCCCTTCAGCCGTCTTCCTCGTCCTCGCTGATTAGGTCCCTTTTCTCCGGGTGGGTCTCCCGTTCGCGCAGGAAGTCCTCGCGCATGGCCTCCAGCTCCAGCAGCTCCAGGCGCACCTTCTCCAGGTGGAAGGCCCTCCGGTTCCTGATCTGGCGCAGGGGGAAGGGGTTGAGGTCCCTGAAGGCGATGCCCATCAGCTTCCTGGAGGAGGAGGAGGAAGAGGAGGAGCACCAGATAGGCCTCAAAGAGCCTGTAGTACAGTGGACTAATGCACTGTTATTAACATCTGCTGCTTGCAATTACTGCAAGTTCAAATCTCACCAGGCTCAAGGTTGACTCAGCCTTCCATCCTTTCAAAGGTAGGTGAAATGAGGACCCAGATTGTGGGGGCAATAAGCTGACTTTGTATAAATATACGAAAGTATGAAGGCTATTGCTTAACGCATTGTAAGCCGTCCTGAGTCTCCGGAGAAGGGCGGCATATAAATTAAAGCAAAAAAAAAAAATAAAAAAAATTGTGGGCCGTGCAAGAGAGCCAACTCAAATGTATCCTGTGGAACTTTTGGTTAAAGCAACTGGTCCCTGCAGCTGGAAGCCCTGATCAAAAGCTCCGGCAACAGAAAGTGGGCTGTGTTTTAGCAAACATTTTTTGCCCTTAATGTCTTCCTGGAACCCCATCAAGTTTTTGAAGGAAGCCAGACTCAAAACCCGTTTTATGACACCACTTGCATTGTTTTACTCCGTTTTTCTTTCCTCCCATAGAAGATAAAACCAGAAGCTCCTTCTAATAACACGTCCTCACCTGGCATCCAGGACTGTGCGAGTGAAAGACCGCAGGTACTTGAAGATGGACGTCGAGTCCTGGAGCTTTAAGATCTCCTCCTCTTTGTACTTGAAGAGGGCCAAAGCAAACCGGAAGATCACCTGAGCGTCCAAGAAGCTTTGGGTCACAAAAGAGAGCGAGAGGCACAGAGGGCTCCCCTCCCAACTCCAGAAGATCCCCGGGGAATCCAACTAGAGGGAGAAGCTACCTTTGGTCCCTCGTAGAGAAAGGAATCCCATATTTTGAAGAGGAGGTCGCTGACCACGCTGTCCACAAAGACAACCAAGAACCAGTTGAAGGTGATGAGTGAGAAGTCCACCCGGTGCTGCTCGAAGTGGGCGTGCAGCCGGGGCAGCTTCTCATTCATCAGGTCCTTGAAGACACGTTGGTCCACCTGGAAGAGGAGGAAGGCAGCTGGAGAGGGGCTTTCAGAGGCCCTGAAGGCCTCCCTCCCTCCCTCCCTCCTCCTGCCGCCTGGCCAATTCATCTCCAAGGCTCTCTCCAGATTGTTCAGGGTGGGGACCCCTTTTTCTCCAACTTGGGAACCCCCCCAAACAGCTTTAGGGCCTCCAGCTCCAGCGAGGGTTCTTTCCACACATACCTGAGAGCCAAGGAGTGTTTTCGTGTAATAGTCCCGGGGCATGAAGACCTCCACGATGGTCACCAGACACCAGAAGGCGTCTTCCTGCTCCAGGTAGAGGAGAGCAATGGCCGCCAGTCTGGAAAAGAGGCCACATCAGAAGTGCTGCTGCCCACACAGAGTCAACAGATCCCAGAGAAAGGCTTCAAAAAGGAGAGAAGGAAAAGATGGCCTTGTGCTCCTCCTCCCTCCCCACTTCAAACGAAACGCTCTTCACCGCATCAGGTCAGCCTTTCCAGGCAAGAAACACGACCAGATGAGCTACTCCTACTTTATTGTAAGGCGACATTAGCAGAATTTTGCAGATCTAAAGATGCAATTCTCCCTCCCCTGAGAAACTAGGGAGGGTCCCTCCTGAGCCTCTTGATGGACCCTCTGGGCAGCTATGGGGCTCCTCACCCATGGCTGCGTCTCTTCATCTCCAAGGGTCACTAACAACACCATAAACCTAGCTGCCTTCACAGGGCCAGGAGGTAGAAACCAGAACCAGTTTCCAGAAGAAACAGCAGCTATTTCATTTCTCCCTAGGGCCTATAAAGCAGGCTATGAAGCATGGAGGGCCACCATAAAGGGCCTCCTGGCGCAGAGCCAGACAAGCAAGCCACGCCTGCTCTCTCACACGGGCCCACCTGGCCCTGGAGGACCAGCAGCCGAGGGGCGCGGGTCTTCCCCTCCTGGGAAGGGGAAACACACATTCCTCAACAGCCTGCCGCCCACCTTGCAAACGAATCTAAGCGTGGACTTTGGAGACGGAAGGAAGCACGAGGGAGGAGCTCGGGTGGGACGGACAGAAACGTGGACAGGTCGTCCGGACCCCATTCATGGGACCAGCGTCCTCTCTGCTTTTTGGCCTGGCTGGCCTGGAAGGGCTGCCTACCTGTTGAGCCCCTGGCAATAGCCGACGTCTGGGTTCCGCCACGAAAAAGCCAGCAAGACGTTGCGCAGCTTCTGGATGCCCTCGGAGGTGGGCGAGGAGTAATGCTTGTTGTTGGGCAGAGTCCGCAGGAGGTCCAGCTCGATCTGCTTGGAGGCCGGGTTCTGCTTCTTTAGCGCGTTCTGCAGCAGGCTCTGGAAGTAGTCTGAGTCGCTTCTCTCCTTGAACTTCTTCACGTGAAGGCCAACGCACCACTTCCAGATCTGGCAGCGGTGCTCATGGGGGACCCCGGCCCGGACAAGGTTCTTCAGCTCCACTGTCCGGACCATCTCCCTGTTCACGCTGGCAGCCAGGAAGTTCTCCCACTTCACGCCCGTGGACATCTCCTGGTGCTCCGTGAGGGACAAGGACTTCAGGTCCAGGGCTCGCACCTTCGCCACCAGCCTCTCCTCCTCCTCCTCGTCCTCCGGGACCGTCTGGAACCCATACAGATCGTACTCACTGGGAAGGAGAGGGAGCCGGTCACTTTCCGGAACCGCCAGAGGCGGAAAAACCTTCCAGGAAAGTCACGCAAGCCGCCGCTGGCGTCCAGGGTCAGAAAAGGCACCAGCCACGTCCACCTCGGATAATGCTGGGCAGAATTCCAATCCTTTGGCTGCACCAAGCTAGACGTGGGTCAGCTCGACCAGTGGGGGAAAGGGCGCTGCTGCCAGCTCGAGGAGTACCCAGGATCCATGCCCGAGAGTAGCCAGCAACCATTCTGACCCATACTAAAAGCCGGGATATGGCTTGGGCCCACGTCTCTCTCCCTGAGCCACTCCCGCAGGTCGGACTGAGGCTTACCTGACCATGTGGGGCTTGAAGTAAGCTTGTTCGGGCTGCTCACTGCTGTCCACCTTCAGGGCGTCTTCCAAGAGCCGGGCCACCAGGTCGCTGTTGGGGTTTGGCTCCTCTGAGCACACCGGCATCTTCCTCTCCTGCAGCAGAACCAGGTACCTGCTCTCCACCTGGCACATCCGGGCTTCCAGGCTGGTGTGCTGTGTGGGGGGCACCGAGAGAGGGGCTGAGGCAGGCAGCAGCACCAGGTAGTCCGAAAGCCAAGGGAAGACCCCGTCCCAGCCCTGCCCCCCAACCCTAGCAATGTTGCAGCCCCTAAACCACCGTAGAGAGCAGCACGACCTGTGGTCAGTCAGCCTCTGTGGGGGAGGGGCAGAAAAACTGGTCAGCTTGGGAAGCGAAGTGCTGGGTCTCCGTCCCCTAGAATGGGGCACCTGTCAGTGGCTCTGACCCCCTTGAGGGGAGGGGGGCTAAAAATGGGGAAGGTTTGATGATGGGCTGCCCCTTTAGCTGACCTTTGCCAACAGCGCCTTCTCCCTGTTCTCAGCATTCCTCCGTAAAGCAGAAAGTTCCAGGATCTCCTTGTTTAGAAACTTGTTCTGGGTTTTGTAGCCCTGCAGGCTGTCCTGTCAACAAAAGTGGGGCATTTGGAGAGGAGAGGAGGAGGCGGCAGCTGGTTCTGCCTCCCGGGAAGGGGGCAAGGGGGCTTTGCAAAGGGTTTGGCCTCCTGGCCTTGGCTGCGAAGCCCAATCCGACTCTGCCTGATGTGCAGCTCAGTACCTTTATGAGCAGCCAGTAAACACTGTGAACGGCTTGGTGTAACATGGGAACGCAGCCACCTGTGGCTTGTCTGAGAAATTGTGCTTTATAAAACCACAACTGCACAACGCAAGACCCCAAATATTCCCATCTCTCTTGCTCAAGGCCTTCCTTCTGCTTCCAGAAAGTGGCCAAACCAGCAGGCTGCAGCCGCTTCAGCCAGCCCCCCATTTCCTCGCCATTGCCCTCTTCCCTCTGACTGGCCCACACTGCAAAGAAACCTTCCTCCTCATCCAGGGCGTCCTCCAGATGGGCCGGTGGGCTAAGACCCTGAGCCACCCAGGCCCCGAGGAGGCGAGCGGGGCCCTTACCTTCAGCTTGTTGAGCTCCTGCTGCTCCTTGCTGATGGGGGGGGAGGCGTCGGCCGATCCGCTTTGCCAGGAGGATTCACACTCGCTCAGCTCCCTGGAGAGCTTCATGATCACCTCGTCCTTCGCCTGGATTGTCTCCATCAGCATGTCCAGCTGCTCGCCCAGCTCCCCCACCGTGGACTTCAGGCCAGCCACCTCCTGCTGCAAGTGCTCCTTCTCCAGGTTCAGCTTCTCCAGCTGATGGTTGAGACCCAAAATCTGGTGGTCTTTCTGGTGAAGCAGTTCCAAGTGGCCCTTGGTGCTCCCGTCGCAGAGGGGCCCCGCTAGATACCGGTCGTACTGGGAGGACCGGACCGTCTGCTGCAGGAGCCGCACCAGTTCCTGGGAGGAAGGGAGAAGGCTGATGAGGAAGATTAACCGGCAGGCCGTTTCGGAAACTGGAGGGCGGAGGGGGGGGCATTCGCAGAAGCTGCCATGCTGCAATGGACCTGGCCTGAGTCCCCTCACCCAGGACCCACATGCCTGGTCCCCCTCCCCCTGGCAGAGAAGCACCTCCTGTGTCAACCCCAAATGCTCCCTCAGTTCCCAGAGAGGGACAAGGGAAGAAAAGGCGTCTCATTAGACTGAGGGGCCACTAGCCCTTCCAGGCCCTGCTGCCAAGCCCGGAATCACCTGCCGCACATTTCCTCCCAAGCATTGGACAGCTGCTGCTTCTTGTTTAAAGAGAGAGCCGGGTGGCCTTGTGGCTGAGGCGCCAGAGTAGGAGTGGTCAGAACAAGGTTCTAGTCCTCACTGTGGGAACTAGCTCCAGAGGCTCCTGGGGCCGCCCTCTCTCCCTCCCTCTCAGCTCCGGCCAGCGTCAGGTTCTGCGACCAATGCCGGAGAAGCCAATCGCTTCTCGCACTCTGCACCGAACGTAGGGAGGGAGGGCGTGTGGAAACAAGCAGGGCCTCAGCCAGGTGGGCCAAATGCAATGGAGAAGGAGCCTCTGCCGCCCCATAGGAAGGGCTTTCCTGCCCCACGGGCCCTGGATGCAAATGAGGAAGGCAGGGAGAGTGAGCAAGCCAGGGGCTTCCTGGAGGGAAACAGGGCCCGGATGACGGGTGAGCGGATGAGCCTCCGATCCAGACGCCATCATGTCCTTCCCCACCTTAGCAGGTAGCCAAAGCCTTCACACCTGCCTACCTTCTGGCTGGCCAGCTCCGTCTTCAGCTGCTCCAGGTTCTCCTGCTGACTCTGCAACTTCAGCTGCGCCTCTCCGGCTGGCCGGCCTCCATTCCACTCCAGAGGAGAGGCCTCCAGGCTGCCTCGGCCTTTGCTGGAAGCCATGGGGTCCTTCAGGGGACGCCTGGCCTTTTGCGGGAGGCGGCCAAAATCAAAGGGGAAGGTTGAGCCGGTCCCACCTACAGCATGGGGGGCAGAGGGCAGAAGGTTGGCCAGATCAGCAATACAGAGAGCCCCTGGCCAAATTCAGAGAGCCCTGAGCAGTCAACCTATCCAAGGAGAAGCCTCCTCTCCATTCTCATTTCCAGATTCCTCCAAATTGTCAAACAAACTTAGCAGCAGCTGTGAGAGAAGCCGCGATAGTAAACCAGGCATCGAAGTTAACACCCAGCTGCTGTTGTGAGCCCTGACCCCGAAGCTCCCAGGAGTAGGACGCTCTCCAATGCAGTAGCCAAGATGAACTGGGGTGGAGGTGGGGGTTCAGCCACTGTCTCCCCTTCCAGCTCCCAGCTCAGGGGGAGCAAAGATTCTTGCAGTGCTCAGAAGTCAACCTGGGATCCTGCCACCCTTGGGGACCTCCGCTCACAAAGGGGGGCAAAGTGCCCCCCAAAGTCTGCAAAGCGAGAACGATTCTGCAAAAGCAGAAAATGAGGGAGTGGCACCTTTGCTGGACTCGGCTGCCAGCCTTCGCTTTTCTTCTTGAGCCTCTGACTCCTGCAGGTCTTTGGGGGTGGGGTCCAGCATTTCCCATTCTTCTGTGTAAAAAACACTCCTGCGGTTTTCGCCACTTCCTTTCCCGGTTCTTAAGGAAGACACAGAATTCCTGCAAAGTACAGATGTTCGAAATGGTTGGGAGGGCAGAGAAAATCTGGCTGAAGTCACAAAGCTGCCAAAGCCAAGAACCCAACGACTTCTCTGAGGGCCTTAAAGCAGGACCACCACCACCCCACACACACACACACACACACACCATCAGAGGCTGGAGAACATTGGTGCCCTCTCCCTCCTTGGGCTTCAAAAGCGCCCAGGACAGGAGAGCTCCGTTTTCTCTCCATCACAACCAGCGGTGAAATCCGGCCATATCTATCCGGCTCACACGAACCGGTAGTGCCGGTGGCGGTAGGCTACGCCCACCCGGCGGGATGTGATTACGTCCCGTTTTTTACCCTCTAGGCATGTGCAGAAGAGGCGCGTGTGCATAGTGCACTCCCGTTCCCGAACCGGTAGCAAAGCTATTTCACCACTGATCACAACCCTTTTCTCTCTGGAACTGCCTGCGGAAAGACGCTCCTCAGTCCTGCTGCTCTTCCTTCCCAACAACCAAATACCAGAACCTCTGGACTCCCCCGCTGGTCACCCTCCTGCCTCTTTGAGCTAAAACGTAAACAGCAGGCAGGAAACGGTGCTAGCCTGGCCCTCCGATGGCCGCCTGTGGTCAAGCTTGAGCCACCAGGCTTCTGGCCTTCTGCAGCGCCAAATCTCCACTTCCCACCAGTGCGGCTGGGGGAGAGAATAAGCCAAGACAGGGACCCTGATGAAAGGAGGGCTTTTAAAAAGACCAGTGCTGGCTCTGACCAGCCCTGCTGTGCTCAAAAGCAGTCCTATGTCAGTCACCCTGAGAAATCACCCCCTTTCTCAAGAAAGCCACGGAAGCCGAAGGGCTTTTTTAAACCAAACTAGCATGTCCGTATTTCTCTTCTGTTCAAGGTAGATTTCTCCAGCCCCCCCACTCTCCTTCCAAGGAGAAAGCAGGTTCAATGCGGCTGCCCCAAACCACTAGGAATGCCCAGTCGCAGAATCCAGCCTCTGTTTACCCCACAGAAGGGTGCACTGCCGGGCAGGCTGTGAGAAGGATCAGCAAAACAGGGAAGCTCGTGGCAGGCAGATGCCCAACAGGGAAAGTACAGAAAGGCACTCTTTGGGGGGCAGCCAACGCTTCTCCCTCTGAGGTTGCTGTCCATTTGCCGGGCGCCTGCAGCTACTGTAGCCACAAACAGCTGGGCTGCTTGTCCAGACAGCAGCTCAGGCAGCCCCGGGTGCGGGGCTTGGGCTTCTGAGGAACAAGGAGGAACTTGGTCTCACCCGGGAAACAGAATCTGACTCACACACATTTGCCAACTGTGGTGCCAAGAGCTCCTGGTCCACCCGGGGCCACGAGGGCCCGATCCTTTCTCACCTCCTTCCAGGCCACCTTGAAGGCTGCCTGCCTTGCCCAGCCAAATGCCAGGCAGCAGGGACACCAGTTGTGCTCTCTAGCATCTGGCACGGCAGTGGGCAGCCTCTGCGGAGCAGGGAGGCCCCTGCTTGCCCCAGACCAGGTGGAGAGCCAATGGGGTTTGGGGAGGGGAAGGGAACCTCTTCAAAGTAGCTGGATTTGAGGGTTGCCATTTCAGAGGCTTTCGTTGGCTAAGAGCTCAAATGGGAGCGGTTCGCCTGCCAGAGACCCCCAGCATCCATTCCATGTTTATTTTTTTTAAGAAAACACCAAAAGGTCATTTTGCCACCACATTTTCAAAGTCTGGTTTAGTGGTGGCCCTTCCTCATCGCCCTCCTTCTGGATGGCGGATTCTGCTGCCCAGTGAGGCACTACGAGTATGACACCATAACAGAACCGTCTTTGCGCTTCACAGAACTTCTCTAGGGGTGTGAGTTCAGAACGCGCTGCATCATCTGGGGGATCTGCCACGCCCAAAGTCTGCTTGCTTGCCTCAGTGCCGCCAGCCTTAAGTCCAAACGGACCCTCCGAAAAGAAAAGCGCATTCACGGCTGAGTAAGCTCTCTCGCCGGCCCCCGCCAGGACTCACCTGATGTCAGTGCCCAGCTGCCTCAAGGAGAAGTTGATGGGGCCGGGATGGCCTGGGGCAGGCAGGCAGGCGGCTTGCTCCCCCACCAGCTCCGTGGGGGCGATCTCGACAGCGAGGACGTGGCGGGCTTTCTCCGCCGAAGCATTTGTGGGCAGCACCGTGCAATCTGAAGAACAGCAACCCCACGAGTTATCTGCCAACCGACTTCCACCTCGAGGCTTACAGGAAACAGTCCCAAGAGGCCCGGGGGTCACAACGGAGGCCTCGTGGGGAACTATCGAGCCTGCTGTTCCCCTTGGCTCTTCAAGGACCCTCGCAGGAAATGCAGGAGACGCATGCATCAGCTGCCCCGGCCACACTTCCTCTCTGCTCTAAGCTCCTAGCAGGAGCAGTGCTGGCAGCGCACGCCCAGCTGGGCAAACCCCTTCCTGCAGCTCAGCGGACGAGCCCATAACCACGCTGCTACCCATCCCATGCAACGGCCAATGCCTTCTGTCCCGGAGAACAGCATGGCCACTACCAGGGTTCCTCTCTGGGTCAGTGGGAGCGCTTTGCCCGTCCCTCCAAGACTTTCCCCAACCTGTCTGCCCGCAGATCAACCATCCCAGGCTCGGTTTCTCTGCTCACTGGGGAGAAGCTGGTGGGAGGACTTGAAATGGTTTCCTGTAACTTTGCATAGGCTTCCCCGGAGGAAACCGCAGCCAGTGAGAAGGGCAGGCCCAGCTTTTCCGCTGCAGCTCTGTGGAGGAAGGAGACGGGCTGTTTATGGCTCTTCTGGCCTAGCAGGGACGTCTGTTCAGCTGCATTGGCTCCTTGAGGACGGAAAGTGCAAGGCAACCCCTCCCCACTTTAGCCGGCCCCTCTTTTCTGGATCGCCACCATTCCTGAGCTGCAGGAACGGCCCTTGGGGGCAGGGGTGGGTTTCAAAACCCGTCGCTACCAGTCCGCTTGTGGGCATGCACATGCGCAGAAGTGTCTGGATGGCTGGGCGGAGCCTCCCGCTGCCACCGCTACCGGTTTGCCCGATCCGGAGCGAACCGGTAGCAACCCGCCACTGCTTGGGGGGCACCGACAACAGGCGGCAGAGACAGAGACACACACACACACACAGAGACACTCAATCACCCTCAGCAATAGCTCAAGCAGCCGTCTAATCAGAGCAACCCAGCAAATGCCGACTGCACAATGATTCCTTTACCCACAAGGGCGCCGTATGTTATATTTACTGCCCACCTCTTTAAAAACATGGCTGTTAAAAAGGGGGAAGCTGTGAATGACATTATTGTTGCAACTGGATATTCAACAAAATATATGCAACTATACATACCCTCCCTTGTTTGTATGTTTCAAAAAAATTCAACGTTTGGCAAAAAAATTCAGTTAAAAATCCAACATAACACAAAATAAAACAAAAAGCTGGCTGTTTGTGTGTATTTGTTGATGTGTATGTGTGTATACACATCCACACAGACACACACACAAAGGCATACATACATACACCACAATTTGCAACACATATTATCTTTAAAGTAAGTTTTAAATAAATGTTTGCTGTTGTAGAGAAAAACAAAGAAAAAATAATCACCAAATCAAGGAAACAGCTTCTTGTGACCCATGGGGGGAAAATGTGCTAAGGCAGTTTTCACAGAGCCTTGCTTGGCTTGTGGACAGTTCTGTGAACAATCATGGCTGGGAATCCTGGGAGTTGTAGTCCCAGCACAACCTCCATGTCAGGAAGGCCTTCAGGTGAGGAAGACCAACTTGGCCCGATTTTGCAGGGGTCCCTGGGCTGAGGCCGACATGTGGCGCCTGGCCCTGCGTGACAGGAGCCTTTTCTCCCTCCCATCCGGCCCCCGAATGTGGACCACGAAGCCGGCATGAAAGCAACCCGCCACCACGTGGAAGTCGTCACAGGCCTGATCTCATCTGCCGAGCCATTTCCTGCGCCGTCCAGGGTCCCCGGAAGAGATGTGTCACTTACCGGGACTGTCCTTGGCCACCAGCCCCCTGGAGCACCCGGCAGGGGTGGGCGACGTCCGGCTGTAGCGCTTGGCAGCGTCGAGGCTATGGCAATACTCCCACCTCTTTTGCTGGAGCTCCTGCAGCCAGTACATCATGTCCTGGTGTGTGGCGGCCTGTGGTGAAGAGAAGCCGGCAGCCCGGTGGGTTACAGACCTCGAGGAGGAGGAAGAGTGGATCAGAGCAAGCTGAGAGGAGGCTTCCCAATCCGCTCGATAAACACAGACTGCTCAGGAGGGCAATCATCGCCTGGGTTGGTAGAGTCGGGGCGCCTTGGAGGCCATCTAGTCTGACCCAGGACAGAATCCTTCTATTACTGCATGGGCCAACCGCTCAGCTATTGTGCCACAGCACGAGGAGGGAGTTTCCCGTAGCGGAGATTTGTGTCCCCTGTTTGACACCTACCAGTCTTTTTGTGTTCTGTACCGGGGACTTCAACAAAAGAGTTTTGCTCCAGGAATGGAGTCCAAGTCTCTCTCAGAGGCCTGTATTGATCTTGCCATTTCCCACAACCGGCATTTTGGCTGTGGCCTGCATGACTTCTGGGACTGCTGCCGGAGTGGAAATCTCAGAGGCCCCCCTGGCCAGCAAGTCGCTCCTGAGAGCTGCAGGCAGGTGTTGAGGCCTCCTGAGATGGGGAATCCTTCTAAAGGGGGGGAGGGCTTGACTTGGAGCCCTTTTCGCCTTCCATCAGCCACGGGCCCCCTTCGGATCAGCTGAGCAGGAGACCTGGGTCTGGTGACCCAAACGGCAGCCAGAGGGCTGTGCAAACCCATCTGGGGAGACCTCCCAAAGCATCTGGCGGGGCTCCTCACGCGGGGAGGAGGAGGAGGAGGGAAGGGAACATCCCAGCAACCAACCCGGGGTCTCCGTCCGGGGCCTCGAGGGGCCTCGCTCAGCCAGCCAGCCAGCCCGCCCCTCTCAAAGGAAGGCCGGGCCCAGGGAGCCAGCCGTGGCCTTGGCCTGCGATGCTGAAGGAAGACCCGGCGGGCAGGCCAGAGGGGGGCCCGGGCCCCTTCGCCCCCACGGCAGCCTAGGGGACCTCCGCCCACCTGGCCAGGCGAGGGCCGAACCACCGCAGCTCAGCCCCACCCGGGGAGGCCCAAAGACCCCCGGGGCTTCCAGCCACCGGCCCTTCCCAGCGCGGGCAAGAGAGGAGTGCCTGGGCCGCCCCCGCCGCCTCCCTCCCTCCCTCCCCGGCTGCTCACCCGCAGGACCGCCACGTCGCCGCCGGGGCCGTGCACTTCGAAGGCGGTGCCGGGCGCGCCGTCGTCCTGGTGCCGCTCCTCCTCGGCCGGCTGCGGCTGCGGCTGCGGCGCGGGGCCTGAGGCCGAGGCCGGGCCGGGTGCGGGCGCGTCGTGGAGGCGGAAGGCGGCGTGGGCGAGCTCCAGGCGGCCCAGCGGCTGCGCCTCCCGCGGGCCCTTGTAGTAGCAGAGCGCGCAGCGCCGCGCGTCGAAGGCGAACCAGCGGCTGCGGAAAGCCCGCAACGGGCCCTTCCCGGAGAGCTTCTGCAGGTAGCCGCAAAGCCGCGGGGCGCCCACCGCACCCCCGGCCGCCGCCGCCGCCTCCTCCTCCGCCGGCATTCCGCCCGCCACCGCCGCCCCGCTCGCTCCGCCCGCGGAGCCCTTCCGGCTCGGCCCCGCGAGGAGGAGCCGCCGAGCGCCCCGCCACGCCGCCGGCCTCTGCACGCGCTCAGGGGCGCCCTCGCCTCGGAGAAGCCCCCGCAAGAATGGCAGGAGCGCCGTGAAACGTTCACTTTTATTCAGAGTTGAAAAAATTCTTCAGACAAAGAGCGCAAAGCAAACGCCACGGCCGGAAATCCGCGGGCAGCACGAAGGTTTACAGGAAACTCCCTCCAAAACTATAAAGGTCGCTATCTATGCCCCCCTCCCCAATATTTCCTTTTCACTATTAAAAAAATTACACCATCAAGCAATTGCTGAGCCCTTGTATATAAAAGGCTGGCGGGCTTCTTGCCAATCTTGTGTATCCGCTAAGTAGCCAAAAATTGCAGAAATATAGACATATATTTTGCTCTCAAAAAGACATTTAAGAAATACCTAGAGAAATTTACCCATCGTGATTATTGTGGATGAATTCAGATTTTTTTAAAAAAATTGCCTTTCCAGGTGAGACTAAGAATGATTGGGCACGATGCCCAGCTTAGCCTGCCAGCCGCCGCCTCAGCCGGACAGTCCCTTGAGCAAGGCAGAACAGAAGCTGCCCAGGAACCTCCCTGGGCTACCCAGGGATTCCTGCAAAGTTCCCAGCCTGGGCTAGGGCTGAGCCCAGCCACACCATCTGCTTCCCAGACTGGCAGCAGAAGGAAGGCAGGGGTGCCCACCTTCTCATCATAGATGAGACCCTCCTGGAGCTTGGCATGCCCTGGAAAGGCCAGAATGCAACGCTATTCCTCCCACCCCCTCAAGAGTGGTGCCCTCCTGTATGCTGGCTGGGAATTGGGGGATCTGGGAAGTCCCAGCAGGCTGCCCCAAGGCTGACCGAACCCCAGCTTTCCCTCCCCATCCCTGCATCCATTCCTGGATGACCATTTCCCCCCCCCCCAAGCAATGCCAGAGAAAGGGAGACTCGCTGGCCAGAGGGCTGCCCAGGCCGTCAGTGCCAGGTGATTCAGGACGGGGCAGGCGCAGGCTCTCCCAGTGCCACATGTGGGGCAGGGAGGGTTGCCAGGACAGCTGGCCGAGTGGGGGTAAGGAGGATATTCTGCTTGGTCCATCTTTGGTCGCCATCCTCCATGGGCAGTGTGCATAAGGAAGGGGCTCTTGGGGGCCAGCCAGGGCTGCCAAAGGTGAGCCACAGCGTTTGCATAGATTCATAGCCATTGTATCGGAGCCAGGGCCTCCTAGACGAAACTCAATTCAACTAGCATGCTTGAATGTAAGAAGATGTCCAGAACCCCAGGGGCCTCCCTGATTAGGGCTCGCTGCGGCCCCTGTAATGCAGGAAACAGATGGAATCCAAGCTAAGCATTTCACTTTTAGGCAAAGGGCTAAACTTCCATTTCTTCAAGGCCCCCACCCCAGGTAAACGTTTGGGGAAGGGGCTGAAATGTCACTGACTGGATCTGGTTTTGGTGCCGACTTTCCATTACAATATTCTACATTTTACCAACTTATCTCATTTCTGCATGAGGTTAACATTCTGAGGAAAAACATTGCAAGGTTCTCCGCTGTAAGATGTTATAAAACCAAAATGTTATCTGACAAAACATGAACTGAGAAAGAGGTGTAAGGGAGAGAAGAGTGTGATTTTGTGAAAATGCCATTTTGCTTAAAGATTTGTACAAAAAACACCTGAGCTGCAGGTGAAGGCAGAACAAAGATGTTCCTGTAGAACATCCACCCCCTCCTCCCGACAAGCTTCCTCGGGGGGAGCTCCACACCTCACGGCATTGGAAGGAAAAACTCTCCATCTGCCTTCCCTTCCGGGGTCCCAGTCAGCGGGAGTCCAAAGGGCCTAAGCGGGCTGGGCGAGAGCCTGGGGGATTCAACACAGGAGAGGCTTTAGCCTCTGGAGGGGCTCCCAGTACCTGTTGCTGGCAGGATCCTTGAAGAAGAGGGCAGGTGGCCCTCTGGGACAGCGTAGAGGAGGAGACTCTCGGCCCCAGAGACACGGAGGGCATGGTCACACTCTGGCTGGGGCAGGGGAGGCTGCCTTCGGTGGGGCCAGGCTTGCAACCAGCAAGGAATGGGGGCCCCGGGCATGCAGGGAGGCCTTGGCCACACCTGCAGCCCCTGGTCCTGCTTGGGAAGTGACCAGTGTCCTCCTGCCACTGAGCTGGGCCCCGGCTGCAGTGGGAATATGTTGGCAGTGGTCAGCTGAGATGGCTGGGCATAGGAGGAGGGTGATGCTGGCCGGGCTGGCAAGAGAGCTGCAGGGAAGCCAGAAGCTCTGAAGCCAGAGGCACGAGGTCTTCAGAGGGCAGCTGGGCTGGAAAAGGAGCCACCCTCCTGACACGCAGGTGTATTAAGAAGCGTCAAAAAGTGGGGAAATTGGGGAGAAGCGGCAGGGAAAAACACTGAGCAAGAATGGAGTTGACAGGCTGTGTGGAAGTGCAAGCAGGCGATGGCCACAGGCTCTCCAAGGTGACCTCCTTGGACCTTCTCCTGAGGCCAGGTGTTGGGGTGAAAGCTGAAGGAGGAGTCTGGCGCAGAGAGCAGCTGGCTGTACAGCAAATATCTGGCCCAGAGGAGGCTGCAGTGGGTGGCACATCCCTGCCTGGCTGGCACCCGCTTGCCACTTGCAAACTGCCTCAGTCCTGCTCAAGGGAAGCAAGCTGAATTCTGGAGTCTCTTCCATTGGCTCAGGTGGCTGGATCTTTTGGCACATCGACATTTATGGCAGTAGGAGGCATCGCCTCGATTGGAGGAAGCACAATTCCAAAGTCCAGGGAGGCAGCTGAGATCCAGAAGGGCCCCCCAGCCATCATCCTGTCTGGTTCCCCTTGTGAAGGGCAGGTTTGTCTGGCCACACCTGGCGTCTCTTATTTACAGTAAATGACCCGAGCCACTTGGCCCAGATGGCAAGCGTCCGTCCCTCTGGACCAAAGGGGTGGGGGTTTGCTCCCTGGCCAGGACTTGCAAGCTGCCCCTCACTTCAGCTGCTGGATCTGCTTCTGCAGCTCCTCCTTGTCCAGTTTCATTTTCGATTCCAGGACCTGCTGCAGGGATCCGATGCTCTCGTAGATGGTGCTGAGTCCTGGTGGGGGAGGAATGGGGAGAGCTGGGCCACCCTTTTCCCAGAGGAGCCTCGGCAGAATCCAGCCCTGTCCAGCAGGGAGGGAGGGGGGGGAGGAAGGAAGGAAGGAAGGAAGGAAGGAAGGAAGGAAGGAAGGAAGGAAGGAAGGAAGAAACCACATCCAATGGGAGATGCCCTGGCAATGTAACTTGGAGGGGGAGCTTGTCCCACTACCCTCTACTGCCCCACCACAAGAGTCCTGCCGGGACATCTGTTGCTAGCTAGGTGTCCCCCAGGTCGCCTTACCAGCGCTAACCTCTGCCTTGACTTCCTTGATGTCCTCAGTGAAATCAGACTGGAGTTTGCTGAGCTGGACGCTCATCCTGTCCTCAGCCTGGCTCGCTTCCTGTTCCTGGGCTGAACATTTCTGTCCGGCTTCCATTTTCTGCAGCTTCCCATGGATCTCGCTTAGCTGCATCTCCAGGGCCCTGCTGTCCAATTCCTGTGGCCAGATCAGTGAGAGAAACAGCCATCTTCCACCTGCCCCATTTTGAGGGTCTTCTGAGCCCTGAAAGCACCTGCCTCCCATGGGCAAAGGGGGGCTTATTCTCCGCATGGGAAACGGTTCCTTCCCAGCAGCTCCAAGGAGAACCTCAACTCGGGGCATCAAGGAGTGGAGTTAGTCAACCAAAGAAGATGTGTATATGTTTTGGTCTACAGAGTGAGGCCTTCCCCATAAACCTTGGTTAAAACAAACCAAGGCCTGGTGCTGAGTGAAGCCACTTTGCAGCCTGGCTGTTTGCTGGCACAATTGAGCCCTTCCTATCACTCCAGGGGTGGGGATGCTTTTCAGGGACCCTCAAGACCAGAGACGTACACTCTTCTCCTTGATGCCAAGGAAAAGGTGGTCTATCTTCTCCAGGAACTTCTTCTCGAAGCGCTCCTGCTCCTGCTCCATCTGGCTGCGGGCAGAGGAGATCTGGCCGGTGAGGTGGTCGATGGCGTCCTGCAGCCTGGTGGGGCAGAAACAACTCAGCCACCCCCCAAACAAAGGCAGCAAGAGGGGCTCAGGCCCTTCTCACAGTTAAGACGGAACTCTTGGGCAGGTGGGAAACGGCTCTGAGTGGACAGCATTTCCTTCCCAGATACACCTTTCAGGGCGCTTCAAAGGCAGCACCAGATGTAGCTCTGCTACAATGGGTGGGGAAACTGTGTGAGCCCCCCAGCTGGATCCTTGCGTGGGCACCTACTTGGCCTCCAGAAGATGGAGCTGCTGGGTGCTCTCTTTGTAGGCCATCTTGAGCTTTGCATCTTGTTGCATCACGGATTGCTCGATTCTGCTCAGAAGGTGGGAAATCTGGCAGAGAGGGAGAGGCAAATTCCGGCTTCTTCCACACAGAATTCCAGTTTACAAAGAAGTTGACCACTCTCAGCTGTCTGAGCCTGACCCAAACTAGGGGGGGAAACCCTAGACGCCCCAACCACCTGTCCATGGTTGCCATTTCTCCAAGCTGTTTTGGAAAGGATTGCCTTTCAAGCAATCCACATTGTGGGGACTGTTTGCATGGAGATGGTGGGGCCATGGCTCTGCTTCTGAGCAAACCCTCTGCCTGCAAAACAAAGGGCATTTTTCTCAAGCTACCAACTCCAGGTCCCATGAACCCCAGCCAGGATGGAGAGGCTTCTCCTATGCCCACCGCAGTGGTGCATCAACCCCTCTTGCTCGCTCTCTGCTAGAGCCCCAGAAGGAGAGGGAAGCATGGTGTGTCCCCCCCCACCCCAAACTCGCCCAGGGCTTCTCTCTGCAGAGGCTGGCCCAGAGGGATGGGGAATCCAGGAGAAGCATCGCTCAGGGTAACCCCCACCGAATCTGAACTGGGAAGATTCCAAAAATAGGTGCTAGAAACGGCCTCCGATCTTCATTAGAAATTTGACAGCCTTTTTCCTGGCAAGGGGAGGCCACAGATGGGCAAATCGGAGGGGCTGGAGTGGCATGGGATCCCCTTCCCCACTGGCTCATGTGGACCAGCGGCTGCTGACAAATACGGGGAGGAAATGATTTCACACATTCCTCTGGAGCGATGCCCCCATTTCTCCCGGTGGTGAGGGGGCTTCAGCAGGCCAACACAGCTGGCAGGAGCCGTCTTGGGAGAGGTGTGGAGGAGGGTGCCACAGCCTTTCCCTGACCGACTGCCAACCCAGAATGGACCCAGGGGGCTCCTGAGCTCTGCCTTCTTTATCCGAAACGCCAACCAGCCCCCTCCTTTGCTCAGTTAGCAAGATAAATAAACCCATGCCCCCACCCCATGTTCACAATCTTTTTATGCAGTAATAACAATAGCACAGCCGTGCAGCTATTGCGTCTCCCATGGCAACCGAAGCCATCTCAGAACCAAAGCTTTCCTCCCAGAGAGGACTCGGCCAACAGAGAGATTTGCAGGAGGGGGTTTGGATGCAGCCTCCCCCAGCCATGCAAAGGATTCTGAACTGGGCCCAGAAATGCACTGAAGCTGATTCAACCTTCCTTCATTGAGTTTCTGCTTCAACCCTCCTGGCTCCTGTAGGGTCAAGGAAGGAAGCTTCCCACCCCCCATGCGAGCGGACTAGGAGGTGGCGGGATGAGAGCCAGCCCCCCCCCCCCACCCCCCCCCCAGACCAGAACCAGTTCCAGATGAAAAAGGCTGCAGCAGTTCTGCTCGTTTCTGGGACTGTGGATGCAACTTCTGGGCAACTTCAGCCTGCAAGGGCAGGCTGGCCAAAGCCAGAGGCGCCTCTGGGCAGGCGATTCGTGACCCTGGTGGCCCTGCGTTATGTTGGCGGCCTGGTTGAATGGCTGCCAATCTCCCTGGTGCTTCCACGGACAATGCTGACCCTGGAGAGAGGAGGGGGCGACCCGTCGTTTCAAGCCCCTTACCTGTATTTCTGTTTCTTTGATTTTGGACTCCAGGATCAATTTTGTTGCTTGCTGCTCTTTACTGAGGCTCTGAAGTCTCTCATAGGTGACTTTATGCTCCGCGGAGACTCTGGCCAGCCCTGCGTCACACCTGGGATGGACAGAAGGGAGAGCGGATGCCGGAAAGGGCCGAGGAGGAGCCAGCCAGACTCCGCTCCTCCCTTCGGCTGACCACAAGGACTTTAGCTCCATCAAGCAGATGTGCTCCTGCTGTGCTTCCTCCCGAGTAAGGCAGGAGAGAAACAGGGAAGAGAATCCAGACAGCAACAGGTCCAGATTTGGGGCTTTAGGGGAAAGGCTGAGTCAGGGAGATCTTGGCAGCAACTGAGCAAAATGACATCAGGTTACAAAGAAGTCGACTCACCTTGGACTGAAAGCCGAGGGGGGAGGAGGGTGTCAGCAAAGTGCTTCCATAAATAAGTTCCCCAGTCCACATGGCAGGTCCCACATAATTCGGGGAGGGGAAGGCCCCAGAGCAGACTTGGTGGGGAAGGAAGAGTTTGGAGCCAGCGGAAACCCCCCTCCCGCCAGACCCCCTCACCACACACACTTGCCAGGGAGGCATGCCAAAGAAATGGCTGGTGTGAACTGATAGGAGCCATGAGCATGGAAGGAGTGCCAGAGACACCTCAGAAGGACGATGGAAGAGTCAAAAATACATTCTTTGCTCAGACTCTCTTGAATTTAGTTTGCAACTGACGGCTAGAAAAAGCTGCTCTGTGTCTGTGGCTTTTGCCCTGGGCCTCAGGCCGGCTGCCCCCAACTCTGGGGCCCCAGGCTGCTCACAGAGGCTCTGATCCTCTGCACACCTTCTCGACCTCATAGCCCATCAACAGGGTTAGGCCTGCGGCTCCCAAAATCCCCTGCCTTCTTCCCCAGCTCCTCCTCATTCTGAAAATGGCCTTCTTGCATCCCACCAAGAGTCTTCTCCCTCAGAGACGGGGGCCCTGCTTTGAGCCTTGGGGAGTCTCACCTGGAAACCCGTCCACGAAGGTCCCCCAGTCCCGACAGCTGCCGCATCTCCAGGCTCTTCAAGGTGGAGTTTGTTCCATAACTCAGGTTATCCCTGACCCGGATTTGCTCCTGCAGAGCCTGACAAGCGCAGGAAATGTGAGAATGAATCCCCACACAGCCTTTGGAATGGGGAAGGGCAATGGGGAGCTGCTGGTGCTTCCTGCCTCCATAGGCCCCGGTGCATATCCCAGGCCTGCCTCCAAAGAGGGATGGAAGGAAAACTGCAAATAGAACAGCATGGCCAGGAGCAGGCTACCTCTCAATGCCAGCTATGAGGGGAAAGAAAAGGGGGGGGGAGGCCTGGCTCAGCAGAAGCAGCTACTAGCATGCAAGGTCTCTCCATTCCCAGCCAGCTGCTTCCTCTAGTGCAAGCAACGTTTCTCAACCTGGGGGAATTTCGGAAGCCCTCAGGTAAAGCTGCTCAGGTGGAGGACTCCTGCTCCAGAAGAACCTCACTCAATGTGGGTGAGGACAGAAAAGGGAAGGTGGCCCTTGCAATCCTGGGATGACGTGGTTGGGCGAGATGTGGCTGTTCTGTGGTGGACAGCTGAGCGAGCAGCTGTCGTCTCAAGCAGCTACTCCTTTTCTCCAAGCAGGTGTCCCTTAGTGGGAGCCCCGTGACCTGGAGCGGCTCTCCTGGGCGTCCAAGGATGACCTTGCCTCCGCCCGGCCGGGGAGCCTCAGAGCCCTCGAGGAGCCACCACTGACCTCGATGTCCCGGTTCAGCTGCCGGACGATGGCGGTAATGTTGCGGATGTGCTCCTCCAGCAGCTGCCTGGCCAGCCGGTCCCCACCGCCCTTGTTCTGCATCCTGTGCAGCGTGGAGACAATGTCCTCCTTGATGCGGAAGGCGTGCTCCACCAGGGCCGCCGTGGTCTTCTCATGGCTGAGGATTCGGTCCTCCAGCTGATCCATCAGGCGGGCGGAGCCCAGGGGAACCGCCGTCAGGGCCTGGCTGTGCAGTGGGAAGTTCCGGATGCGCCTGAAGAGGAGAGCAGCTGTGGGGCGGCAGCAGCAGCAGTGGGACCCGACCCGCTCTCTTAGGGAGCAGCTGCCCCCAGAAGCCCCCAAGAGCAGCCCAACCCAGCCAGGCAGGGTTCCCGGCTCTTCTCATCTCAATCCCCACTTGAGACTGGCCAGAACCCCCCAGAACCCCCGTTCTCCCCCTCCCTCCCCTTCCTTGGGGGTCTCAGGGTACCTTTCGGTTGGGCCAAGGGTGGAGAAGTTTGGGCTCCTCTGGGCCATCTTCTCTTTGCAGGGATCTACGCCTGTTGGGGAAAGGGAGCCTGTGAAGGGAGCCAGGGGGGCTCCGGCCTTCCTAGCCCATCCTGAGTCTCGGCCACCAGGCTGAAGGCTGGGAGTGGGGAGCACCAGTCAGAGGTTGGTGGGAAAAAGCAGGGCACAAAGGAATATTCCTGAGCCACGTGAAATGATGAAAGACCTTCTGAGCTGCTGGGACTGGGGAAATTACAAGTCCAGTGCAGAGGGGGGTTCCTAGGGTGCCCTTTTGGTCCCTGAGGGCCACTGGTGTTTCCTCTATTCTTGCTGCTTTCCTGATTGCTCTTTTGGGGCACATCTATTAAAGCAGCAGCGCTTAATTAATGGCGCTGATGGGCCAGTTGTTAAAATGCCCCCATGAAAGGCTTGTCTGGAGGGGTTGCTTGGAGTGAGGCTTCACAGGCTCTTTCTAAAGCAAAGCAGGACAGGAGGGGCGCATTGCAATAACCCAGGAGGGGCTCCCCGGCAACCACACCCAGCGGTCCTTGGCAACACCCCCATCTGAGAGTGCCCCCATTGCCTGCCTGCCTGCCAGTCCAGAATGGCTGAGGTTCTTTCGGCCGGGCTGTCTCCCATTTGGCTGACCCAGCACAGCAGGAAGGATGGACAGTCTCCTCACCTGCTCTGGGGAGGCACAAAGCCAACCCTCAAGGATAAACCTGGGCTCCAGAAAAGTCCCTCCCAGGCTCAGCTCGGGGTGTCCCAAAGGCCCCCAAGTGGGATTCAAGCAGATCAAAGCTGTGGGTGGCAGACTGCAAGAGTCTTCCTATTTACGGGGGTGGGTGGGGATATCTTCCCTCAAGCATCAAGATGTGCATTTCTAGCCTGAAAAGGTGACTCTGTATGAACCCCCTCCCCCTTTGCAACAACCAACAAGCCGAAAAGGGAGAAATTGTCTGAAAGTGCCAAATTCCAGAACTCCCCTCTTCAGCCCACCCACCCAAAGCCTCCTCCTGATTCCCAACCTCTGCTTCTCCAGGGACCTGCACTGGGCTGATGCCACTGTGAAGACCTGCCCTCCCCTCCCATTTTAGGGCCAGTAATGCAGAAAGAAGATGGGCCTTTCTTTCTCCCCAGGAAGATCTCCCCCTCCCCCCAAGGCAGCTCAGCAACTCACAGCACCATATGCCACATCTGCATCCAGAGCCCCACATGATGCTCTTCCCAACACCTCAAACTTGAGTGCCCAGAGGGAAAGGCATCACCGGAGGGAGGGGGGCTGCTTCGTCTCTGCCCATCTCCAGAGCAAACGCTTCCCCCATTCGTCTCCCCCTCCCTCCCCCCTTCTGGGCACGATGCCTGCTCACCTGAGGAAGCTGGGTGGCTGATAGGACCAGAATAGCCTCGGGTGCCCCCATTTCCAGACTGAGGGAAGAAAGCGCTGTGGCCGAACCCCTTCTTACCTGTGGGCAGCAGGGCAGGGCTGCCCCAGACCTTTGCCTAAGCATCAGGCGGCCTCCTTTGCCCTCTTCCAGATGTGCAGGAATGGCAAAGCCGTCCCCCGAGGCTGGCATGGCCGTCCGGCTGGGGCTGCGCGGCAGAGGCGCACCTGCCCTCTCGCCTCTTTGCGGGTGGGGCCTCTGCCCGCGTCCGGGAGGGAGGGAGGGAGGGAGGGAGGAGCGAAGCGCTGCGAGCGGTTGCCAGGACGCTGTCGCTATGGCAACCTCCATCTCATCCTCCCCCAAGCGAGCCCCTGCTGGCGGGAGAGGGGAAGAGGAGCTTCCTGAGAGGGCGCAGCGCAGCCGAGGCCAGCGAGGCTGCCTCCCCAGCGGAGCCCGGAGCCCCCCGAAGAGCTGCACAGGGAGCAAGAGGAGCGAGGAAGGGCTGCTCCCCCTCCCCGCCAGGAAAGCCCCGAGCAAGTCCGGCGGCGGACAGGAGCTCCCCGCCGGGGCGGTGAAAGAAGAGGGGCGGCACCGCGGCTCCCGAGGACTTCTGGGGCCCGCCGGGGATCGGCCGGCTCCTTCGCCCGCGACCGCCAGGGGCCGCTGCCGCCCGCCGTCCCGTCCCGTCGCCGTCCAGGTCTGTAGCCCGCTCAGCCTGCGGGGTGCGGGGGTGGACGGCGGGTGGGCGCTGCCCTTCCACTGCGGCGGCCGGACGGGCACCCACGCCGCGAAGTCGGCAGCCCCCGGCGGGAGTCCCGCGGCTGCTCCGGCCTTCGCTGGGTCGTGCCCTTAGCCCGGCCCCGAGCCGCCCGGCCCACCTGGCAAGGCCGTTGCGGGGCTCGGGCGGGGAGGCGCGGGCCGAGCTGCCTTGTATGGGCAGAGGGGCCGGGCGGGCCGGGCGGCGGGAGGAGCGCGGCGCGGAGCCGCCCTCTGGGCCCGGCTCCAAGGGCCGGCGAGGGGCGGCTCCAGTCCGGCTCCCTGCATGGCGCGACTGCTCCGCCGAGCTCTCCTGCAGCTGCGCCCCGAGCCCGACGGACCCGGCGCCGCTCGGCCATGGTGAGGGGGGACCAGGGGGGCGGCGGGACGAGAAGCGCGCGTTCGGCCCCGCCGCCGGAGATGTGGAGACGCGGCCCCGGGGGACAAAGCTTCCCGATTTGCGAGCCGCGAACTTCCGAGGGCTCCGTCCGTCCCCGTGGCGCAGGGATGGGGAGGGGGAGGGGGCGGCCCGGTTCTCCCGCAGACGTTGCGCCCGGGAAGGGCTCCGACGCGCTTGGCCGAAGGGCGGCAGCTCCAGGGCCGGTGGGCAGAAGGGCGATGGCCGGCGGGAGGGGGAGGCGAGGGGCACCGCCGACCATAGTCCGGGGTGGGTGGGGGGACCTGCAGCGAAGTTGAGCTGTGGCTGCTGCCTTTCCTTCTCCCGCCTTTCCTTCTCCCAGGACGCGCCTTTCCCTCGGCCAGGCTCCCGGGGCGGCTGTGCTGGCATTGTTGGTGCTGCTGGCGGCGTCCCTGCTTCCCCTGGGCGGGCGGGGAGGACGCCCTGGTAAAGGGCCTCGCCTGCTGCCAGCAGGGCTCCTCGGTGGGTGATGCTCCCTTCCAGGCTCTGAGGGCCTTCGCTCCAGAGTGGGAGTGACAGAGCAGGGCAGGGGCACCCAGGAACTCTCCTGTCCGTGTTGTTGGGCATTTGGCTTCCCCAAATGGAAGCGCCTGAGCCCCAAAGTGGGCAGGTAGGATCCCCCTGGGCAAAATAGAGGCAGGTGCGGAGCCCTGCTTGAACAACAGTGAGTGGTGCAGTACCCAGCCTGAGGATCCTTCTAGGGCATGCGACTGGCAGGGCTCCACCCAGACCCCCACCCGGGTCCCAGATGACTCCACTTCCTTCCAGCCACAAGGGTTGGCCCCTTCCCAAGACTTGAGAAGACTTCCTGCCAAAGGTTTTGCCCTGGCTGGCCTGCTTGGTGAAGGCAATTGGAAACCCGGGTTCCAGTTTCAGTTTTGCGGCAAGCCTGGCTTTTAACCGAGCTGGCTGGCGTTTCTGGCGCTCTCAGCCCAGGCTGCTTGGAGGGGGGCCAGGAGGCAGCCTCCTTAACCCGTGGCTTCTCGGATCCCTCGCCTGGGAGCTGGGCCCACCTTGCAGAGATGTTGAGCTGCTTCCCAAATCTTGAAGAGTTTTCAACTTGGTTTTTTAAAACTGCCGGGTCATGTACCTTCAGGGGTCTTCTGGACCCTAACAGCAGCCCGGGGCCATCGCCGCCTTGTCTCCAGAGCTGCAGGAGGAGGTGGCCTTTGCTGGAATTCAGCCTGTTTGCAATTTTTTCCTTGCATTTTCAACCTTGCAGCATCACTTTATGCATTTGTTGCAAATGGAAGCTTAGATTTTGACCCTAACCTCCCCAGGGATCCTGGGGTCAGCGAGGAAACCATCTCCCTTGAGAATCTGGGCTGTTTGGAAGGTGGTCTGTGATGGCAACTGCCTAAAGCTGCCCACCCCAGAATTGCCTGTGGGTTGCCTGGATGCCTCGGCGAATCAGGAAGCCGAGGGTCAGTTGAAAACCCCCGAGGAGGAAAAGGGCTGCCTGTCTGGTGCTCAAGACGCCACATGGAAACCTCTGGCTGAGTGAGAGTACTTGAGATTTTCTCTGGCTGTTTCTAATTCTGTCTGGCTTTGACAAGCGGCTTCTTTCCTTTGCTGACTTGCGAAGATCCGGGCCTGGTGGAGAGGTGAAACTGGAGAGGAAGGGGCTCCTGCCCCTTGGGCCACTCCCATCCTCCGCTGGTTGGGAGACTCCCAGGTGACGTCGAACACCTGTTGGACCAGGCTGTCCTCATAAAGCCTCTGCTGCATCTTGGCTCGTGGCGCTGCAGCATCCCTGCAACACGGACCTCACCATGCTCTCCACCTGCCCTTGGTGGCAGGCCTGCACACTCCCCCGGATGGAGGCCCGTGGCTGCCCTTCTGCCCCCACTGAACCCCAACGCGGGCCGAGCAGGGAAGAGGTGGGTACCATTCGGCTTGAGGGTGGCAAGGTTGAGTTTGACAGATTGCCCCACTTTGGTGGCCATCCTAGTGAGTTGGTCAGGCTGAGCCAGAACGCGTAGCCCCTGGATGTAGACTGGGTCTTGGGGTTCCTGGGGGCCTTGGGGTCCCCTGCCATGGTCCAGGCGGTTGGCTCCGAGAACTGCTCTTTCTCGAAAGCCCGCTTGCTCACTGCCAGACCAGGCCCTTCGTGCGTGCGGCGTCTTCATCCAGCTGCAGCCCTGGACCTTCCTGATCATGGAATCAGCCCCCTGGTTCTGTTGGAGCCGCACCCCGTCCTGCCTTTGGTCCTGCTCCAGGGCAGGAAGTCGGAACTCCCTCGGCCAAGGAAGGGCAGGCGGTGCCCCCTCTGAGTGGTGGGGACCGGGAAGCCGGTGTGTGACCCAGCAAGTGGGTTCCTTGGAGGGCCTGCCTTGGCCTTGTGGGCCTGGGATGGCTGCCGTGGTGCAATTGAGCAGGACTTTGGTACCCTGTGTCAGCCTTCCCCATCACTGTGCCGATCCCCGAAGCCGTTGTGGGCTTTAAGAGGGTCTGAGCGTGGCTGGCAGTGCAAGGCTAGCGAGAATCCCCAGCAGGCCTTTGGCTGCACATCTGACTGCTGCTCTCACAGTTCTAAATGGCCCCATAGATTCTGAGGTGTCCATTTCAGGGCTGGTTGCTGCTGCTGTGCCAGGCGCACCTTTTCCGATCTGTTGTGGGCATCGTCTGATTTCTTTTGATGGAAACCACGGCCTTTCTGCTGCTCCTGGAACACTGTTCCTTCAGACGGAGGCTTTGGGGTGGGGAAGGCCTCTGGAGGCCTTTTAAATCAACAAAGTTGGAGCTGATCTTACTGGATGTCCTAGTTCAAAAACAGAAAGAACAGACCCTGCTGGCTTGTCACCCATGCCCTACCCTGAAGTGTTTCTTTAACCTGGTTTCTTGCTGGCAGAAGAAAGTGGCTGGAGCAAAGCCTCTTCTCGCAGAAGGCAGCCTGGATGGACACCCTCTTCCCTGGCTGCAGGAAGAAGTCTTGCAGGCCCAGAGCAAACAGTGTCTCAGTGAGCCCAGAGGCAAAAGGCAGGCCTCTGGTCTGTTGGGCCTGCTTACAGAGGAAACCTTGGTGGCCTTCAAGGGGGCAGCCCTCAGGCCAAGCCTGGCTTGGAAAGTTCCAGAGACAGCCCCCTCGGTCAGGAAATTCCTCCTTATGGCACGTCTGGATCTCCTCTGTCAGTTTACATCTGCTGGTTCTCGTCCGTCCCCCCCCCCTTGGAGAACAAGTGGAAAGTGCCACCAGAGTGCCAATCTCGGCCTTAGCCAGGGCAAATCTTCTCACGGCCCCTTCCGGGTGTACAATTTTGCGCCATTGCTGGGCTGGACCTGTTGCATGAAGATGTTGACAAAACAGGGAGCCTGCCTGACTCCCGCACGGTAGCGATTCCTTCTTTGGCCCTCCTGGCTGGGGTGTCTTTGGGCTTAGGCCACCGGTTCATGAGGAGGATCCAGCAGGCTGGGGATTATGGGCCCTGTCTGAGTAGGAACTCTAGTTGTGGTTTTCACTGACCTGCCCTTAGCTTTGGGATGGAGAAGAGAAACAGAGTGGCTGCTTTGAGACTGGTGCAGCCACTCTTGGCGTTCCAGGGAGGATGTGAAGTTAACGGCATTTCTGCTTTTCGTTGTGGAAGGCGCATCTCCAACTTCCTCCCCCATCTGTGCTCCTACGAGAAAGGCCAGAATTCCGAAATCATTCATCAGTTTTATTTCTCCCCAGTATGACTTACTCATCCCACTGCCTCCCCCCCCACCCATTCTTTTGTGCAGACACAACTTGTAGGCTTCCTTGTCAGAAGAACTGATTTATGATTCAGTTTTTCCTTCAGATTCTGGCTTCTGTTGCTCATTAGTCCTCATTGCTTCTGGCTAGCTAGCTAAACGGCCATGCAAAACAAAATCTGAGATTCGGTTTAAACTTTTTGGGGCAAAAATATGCTTGAACTTCAAGGGCGAGTTTTTCTTAACCAAACAGCCTGTTGTGTGGTGGGTGCTTCCTCGGGTGCCAAGACCCCCTCTTCAGTGCATGTGGGGAAAGCAGGCCAATTTTGGGGGGGGGGGGGGTTAGCAGAGAACCAACTGAATTTTCCTTGGTGGGTACAGTGAGTCACCCCCTCATTTTGCAGCCATTAAGGAAAGGAGCGACCTGAATCCCTGAGGGACTCGGGTGTGGCTCAGTTTCCCCTTCAGCAAAACCTCTTCGCACCTCGTGTGCAGCCCAACATCTTTTCAGATGATTTCTGCAATTGAACAATAGGATCCTCAGGGACAATCAGTGGAACCAAGGACCATGGGAGTTGTAGTCCAAGGCTTCTTGAGAGTTCCCAGCCCCACCTGCACCTTTCCAGCACCTGCCAGATAAGGCGACTTCCTTTTCTGCGGCCTCTCAACCTGCATTGTGTGGCAGCCTTGTGCTGGAAACACCCATGGCCGATAACATGCCCTTGCGTCATTGATTTAACTGAAGCCTCCCCAGCATGGGCAGTCGCTGCACTCCCCAGGGGTTTGAAGGGGGACACCTCTTGTCAGCCACCTTCTGGCGCAGCGGGCAGCCTAGATCCCATATTCTCCCTGCTGGATTTGGCTGAGCGGAGCCCAGGGCTGGGATCCACCGGAAGAGTCAAGTCACTGGGAAGGCAGCGCCGGGGAAGGTCCTGGGCCAGAAGCCCATTAGCCACTTCCTCCTTTTTATTGGGGCTGAAGGGGCCGCCCAGACGTCTGGTCTGCTGGCAGGGGGAGTGAATCTCCAGAATGCCACTGGTAAGAGCCAGGCGGCAAAACCATCCCTGCTTGGATTGCTCTGCCTGTGCTGTGTGGAAGAAGAGCCTTTTTCATGAACCCCAAGAACCCCACCTCAAAGGGCTTCTTCCTGCAAGAATTTTGGTGATATAAAAAGCCGTCCGGCCATTGAGCCTGCCAGCCCAGTTTGAGCAGCTCGGGCCTGAGAGGAATCTTCAGCCTGCCAAGCCAGCAGGCTCTCCTCACGGCCTGTCTGGGTCTGGGGGCTGAAGGCTCCTCTGGCCCTGGAAGTGACCAAATCGGCAAATGCCTCCCCTTTCTAGAGCAGCTGTGGATCATCCAAATTCTCAGATTGTCCCTGGCTGTAAGCAGAACAGCCCAGCCTTTCCACGGGGAGCCCAACCACCAGATGTGGCTGCATGTTTCTTCCCTCACTCTGGCTTTCTTTTTGACAAGACAGGGACGTTTACAGCAATAAGAGGCACAGTTGTTGTGTCACTTGAATCCCTGGCCTTCCTTTTCCTAGATCCCTGGCACTGAAACAGAGCTTCCTCTGGTGCCAGCTGACAGGGTCACGCCAGTCTGATCAAAAGTTTCCATTTCAGAGGACGGGTTAAGAACCCTTTCAAAGCTTCTGGTTGGGCAGCTTTCTCTCCTTTCAAAACGACCAATAAAGCAATTGTAAAAGTGTGATTTAATGTACAACTGCCAGCTCCTCTTGGGGAGTGCAGGTCTAATTTTTACTAAGACCTTCTTATGCCTTAAATGCTGCAGAAGGCATTTCCGAGGCCCTTCGCCAACCATATTAAACACACCTTAAAGGCGAGGGGGTGTCCCAGTCTTCCTTGCTAAAAGGGGCGAAGGGTTGCCTCGTGACTGCAGCGGTGGGAGGGCAGCAGGGCACTCTCCTTCCCTCAGCATTGAAGGGCCCTGGGAGCAACCAGTGCTGCTATCAAGGGACACCGGCAGCTTGAGGAAAAGCTGCTGCCAAGCAGAGGCTGTGGGGCACATCTGGCCGAGGGGCCCCCTCTCACTCCCTTCCTGCCTGAAACAGAGCCTCGGGAAGAGGAAGGAGCAAGGGGAAAGGCGCTTGCCTTTGCTTGTCTCCCTGAGCTCTCGGTCATCTCTCCTGGGTGAGGGAGATCCCGGGAGGCCTGCTGTGGAAATTATCCCGGTCCCTCTTTGCTGACTGCCAGCCTTGAGCACGGATGGCTGAGTTGTGGCAAAGCTTGGGAGGCCAGGAGATCAAGAAGAAACACACTGGAAGCCTGGCGGGGCTCCTTCAACCTTGCGCGGTTTCCCAAGGGGTCGCCCCCCCCTCCCTGGCCAGCCGCCTGGGTTTAGAGAGGAGCAAGGTCGGAAGGCACTCCTGCTTGTACCCACCTGTCCCCCCCCCAAGAGGTAGGACTGCCAGCCCCCCAAGTGAGTGGGAGCCAGGCTGGGCTGAGCCGTGGGGGGTGGGGGTGGCGGGAGAGGGGAGCCTCCTGCAGAAGAGTAGTCCTCTTGAGTTTCCAGGGCCCCCCAGTCCAGGCTCAATGTGCTGGAAGAAAAATGTCCCATGGAATTCTTGGGCAAAATAACTCCTTGCTGGGCAGTTCCTGTTTGGACTGATCCAAGTAGACGATGCGGCCCAAAGGTGGACGATGGGCTTTCTAAGCATCTCCACAGGCCTTTTGGGGCAGGGTGTCTATAGCAACAGCTGCCTTGTGTTTGAGCCAGCAGTGTGTTTATTTGCAAAGGCGGGGGGGGGGGGTAGCGGTGGAACGGCAAGTGCTTTAAATACTCTCTGGGTTGCGGTGCTGCCAGTGCTTCACAAGATAAGCTAGAAAGCTTGCTAGAAAGCATCTCTGCCTTGCGGGAATCCAAAGAGAATAAAATGCCCAGGGAACCCCAGGGCAGGATGGGGGGAGTACAGTTCCTTTGATATGCAAACATCAACCCAGAATGGGCTCCAGGGGCTCATTGTCCCTCACCTGAAGGCTGGCAAAAGCATTTTAGCCAGTAAAACAGTTCATGCTGCCTGCTCAGTCACTCCTGAAAGCAACCTGTGGGCCTAGAGGTGAGTCCGCCCTACCAGCTGATGAAGGGGGCTGCATTGGGATCTGCTGCAGGAAAAGCCTCTTGAGGGAGAACAGCTGCCCATGTGCTAAGGCAGAGGCAAGATATCTGAAGAATGCTTCCTCCTTGAAGCAGACTTTTTTTCCACAATACAGAAATATGAATAGCTTTTGTCTGGGTGATTTTAAAGGCTGATTGTTGTTGACGCACTTTGAGGAGTCTGCTTATTTTGGCCTCTGTGGGGAATTCTTTGGAATGCTGTGGGGCTGGCTCTGGGGCAGAAGCTTTTCTGGGAATCTGCATTTTTCCTCCGTGAAATCCAGGGAACGGTTTTTCCATGGCTTAGGACTATGATGGTCATGCACAGGATGGCAGGCCCTGGAAACTCATTTCAAAGAGATGTGGCGACAGACGGACAGACAGACGGGTGGGTGGATAGGTGTAGTCTCAGGCTTCAGCCAGCCAGGTGCTCTCCTAGCCTTGGCTTTCTGCGGCGGTCTCTCCTCCTCCTTTGAACCGGGCTTTGAACTGTTCAGGGCAGCGAGGCCCTCTCCCATCCCTTGGCCTTGCCCTGGATTCGGCAGCTTCCTTCCGGCAGCTCTTGGTGGCCAACAGCCATGGGGCAGCCGGCAGGGTTAGGGGATCCACTCCTCTGGAAATGGATGTCTTGCCCTCCTCTCCCTGGACCTGCTCGGGCTTCAAGCCTTTTCACAAATGCCCAAGCAAAAGCTGCTCTCTCCACTGCCAGAGCTACTTTAAGACGGGAGGGGGGCTTGTGGCCCCTGAAGGCCTACATGTCGGGTAGAGCATCGGCTCCTGTGGCCTGAGTGCCCCCCAGGCAGAGCTATCCAAAGTTTTCATCAACTGGAAGCATAGGGCTGGGTCCCTTGGTTTGTGGGTGTGGGCCAAACCGAAGAGCTTGATAAGGAAGGAAAGGAATGGCCATTATGTTGACTCTAGGCAAAACGTTTTTGGTAGATGTTTCACAATAAGGAGTCATGATAACTGGACGCTGATATTGTAAGTTAATCGGCATCCGTGATGAGGAAGGAAACCTTCATCCCAGTTGTGGCCAGAGATTGTAGAACTCAGGTTCGAGGTCCCTTGTAGCTGCCGCTTGCAAAGGAGCATTTCTCTGCCAGGAAGAAGAAGCCGGGGGTTTCAATGGGGCCCCGGGTGAAATCTCTTCTCCCCCAGGGGGTCTGTGGCTGGCAGAGCCCTCCTCCTCCCCTCATTTTCCCCCCTCTGCTTTGTTCTGAGACAAGCTACTTCCTGCTCTCCCGTCCCCAGTTTTGGTCATCAATTGTCCTTAAAAGGAACATCTGGAACCCTGCACTGGTAGCAGAGGCCACAACTGGGTGGTGTGTCGTGTTCTATTTTTATCCGCTGACAGAATTCCGTCCCGCTCTTTTGAGGCAGGTGGCCAAGGAGCTCTTCCGGTTGGCCTTTCTGCTCGCTTGTTTAGCCTCGCCCGCCTCTGTGGAGGAAACATCTTCTGAGCATGGCTGGAAAGATGCCTCCTGATTAGGAAGTCATCACACGCCACTCATTCCTTTCTTGGCTGCTTTTATCTTGGGAAGGAAGTTTGGTTAATTCCCTTTCTATTCTCAGCACTTCGGTGCTTCCGACTTGCTCTCCTGCAGAGGCCTTCATTGTCCAGCGGTTGAAGGCCTGGCCGGAATGGAGAAGCCCACCTAGCCTTAGAGCAGCTTCTGAGTCTCTCAGCTGTCAGCCAATCAACAAGGAAAGGCCGGCAAGGCAGGGAGGTCACCTTAAAAAGAAGCTCCAGTGAGCCCCGAACTAAGCAGATGTCATTTCTAAGGTCCCTTCCGACTCCAAAGGTTATGCCTATTGCAGAATTCATTTATACACACACAATTTGTTAACAATGTAGCTGCTCTTACTTTGTGTTCTATAATTGTTGCTGGCGATGCTGTTTCCCCCCATCTCTTGAATCCCCCTTCTTGGAGATTCTGTCTCCACATTGATACACCATTTGGGTGGGGTGGGGGTGGGGGGAACGGAGGGCGTATTCACCACCGTTCCTATAGTTAACCTGCTCCCGGTCTTTTCCTCTGGCAGGGGAGCAAGGGCCACTATCGGTATCACTGGCAGAGCCACAATGTCAAGCACAGCGGCGTGGATGATATGGTCCTCCTCTCCAAGATCTCAGAAGACTCCATTGTGGAGAACCTCAAGAAGCGATACCTGGATGACTTTATTTTTGTATCCTTCCCTGGGTCTGTGGGACCGACTCTCCCGCCCGGCCAGTATTTATTCACCAGCTTTTAAACCGGAGGAGGGTCAAGGTTGGAGTCTCCTTTCCTAGCCAGCCACTTGTTCCACTTTCTTTCCAACTGGAGGGTTCTTCCAGAGGTCTTGGGACACTTCATGGCAGCTGATGCTAGAGGCCTCTCTCAGTTCAAGGGGAAGACGGGTGGAAAGAGCATGAACGCCTGGGAGAACCGGCTCCTGGCCCTGCCGCCAGACCTGTTTTGCTGCCGGCAAGGTCACCTGAGAAAGGGACTCCATTGGCCTGAAGACGTCAGGCCTCACCCCCTCATCCTGCTTGCACACACACCCTGGCAGACTCTCAGCAGCGGGGAAAGCCAATCGGCAGAATTTAGCCTTGGGCTTGAAAGAGAGAGCAGGCAGGGTTTGCCCTTCCCTTGGCGATGCCAGCAGAGAGAGAGCCAGAGCCTCAAAGCCCAAGGAAGGCTGGAGGGGAGGGCATTTATCTGAGGGTCAGAGATAGAGGGGACCTCTTCTTTAATTGGCAGAACTGAAGATAGAGCAGGACGGGGAGGCCTCCCTTGGATGTGCCCCTCCTGAAAGGCATTCTCCTGCCCCCACCCGCTCGCTGCTCCTCCCCACCCCCACAGCCGCCTGTGTCCTCCTGGGAGCTGCTCTTATCACACAAACCTGTGTGGCTTTGTTTACCTTGCTTTCTTTATAGGATAGGAAGAGCAAATAACCTTTAAAGACCCAGGGCCTTTGTTTTGCACCTTGGGAGATTGTCCTGCCTGGGGTGTGTGTGTGTGTGTGTGTGTTGGGAACTGCTCAACCTTTGGGCCAAGTAGGGCACCATGTGTGGTTGGATGTAACCTTGAAGAAGGAATACAAGTGTGCGGGTATAAACACGCATCTGGCCCCGGGAGGAAGGTGGGGGAGGAGGAGACTTGCCCTCCCTTCAGCCCAAGGGGGTTGTGTGTGGGTAGACCTTGTGTCCTGACCGCTCCATCCTGAAGTTCTGAGAGTGTTGGTTTCCTGGTAGGAATCCAGCAGCAATGGAGGCTCTGGCTGGGACTGTTTCATTCTTGGACAGGCAGGGCTCTGCCCCTCCCCCGCCTGTTCCAATTTCCCCAAAAATAGCACCCCTAAGCTCCCCCACCACGATCTGATGTGGGCCAGCTGAGACCCAGGGCACCTGGAGGTAATTGGCCGCCTCCCCCTTGCCTTCCTCCCAGGCTGAGCTTGTCTGGTCTTTCCGGCTGCTTAGCCGCCTCATCGTTCATTCCTGGCGACTGTTTACAAAGTGGCCCTCACGGGAAAGGTAGTTGAAAGGCCTTTCAGCTGGAAGAAGGCTCACCCTCCTCTTCACCAGGGGCTCCGGGTGCTCAGACAGCCAATTCCTGAGCTACAGCCAGATGCCCTGGGTGGATCCCTTTCTCCGATCTCTTCTGTTTTGCACCATCTGGGAATTTGGGTTTGTTTGCCTGGGTTTTCTTTTCTTAAGTATGGCATGACATCATCCTGCAGTTATTAACCCCAAACAATGGGATTTTGTTTGTAAGACTGAGGGCTAATTGTGTCCGTGTTCGCAGGGCCGGCGTGTTGAATGGCGAGGGGTAGGTGTGGTTACCCTGGGTGTAGTGCCAGTGTGAAGCAGGCTGAAGCTCTGTACCGGTTCTACTCTTCAGTGGGAAAGTATTGTGGCTGACTTGGAAAGGGGGGAGGGGAGGAGCCCCCGCTGCCTTAAGTAGTTTTCTCTCTGTCCTGCAACCCCAATGCTTGGTGTCACACACGGGTGCGTCATAGATGCAAAGGAAGCGGAACAATGAGGCAGGTACACATTAACCAGGTTAATGAGCTAATGGTTGACAGAGCTAAATCCTCAGCTCAAGGCAGTCCATCCTCTGCAGGCCTGCATTGCCAGCTTGGATTCCTGGCCTGCCAGGTGAGGTAGCCGAGGGCAGAAGAGGCTGCCCTTGGCCCCAAAGGCTGGGCTGTAGTGGGCTGCCTCGGTGAGATAACGGAAGGGCTGCCGTTATTGTCTGAACTCCACTGGCAAGAAATGGGGGGAGGCCACCCATAGATCGAGTCGTCCATTTGCTTTTGAAGACGGAAATCAAACAAATAAAACTTCACATCAGGTGACACCTGGACAGGTGCTCAAGCCCCCCCTAAGAGGAGGGGGTGCTTCATCTGTGCTTCTTGAAATGACACCGCCTTGACTTTTCCTAATGCAGACATACATTGGATCCGTCCTCATCTCCGTCAATCCATTCAAGCAGATGCCATACTTTGGAGAGAGAGAAATTGAAATGTACCAGGGAGCCGTAAGTGACCTTCACCTTTTCAAAGCTTGTTTTCATTATAAAACAGATTCACTAAAAGCTGCTCCACTTTTCCCGGGGCTCCCTGCTTTTTACTCACCGGGCCTCGTTCTCCCCGTGGCCAGGTGGGAGGGCAGGGCCGGTCTCTTTCTTCCTCCTTCCTGGGGCCTTTTCGTCAGTCTTTGGGTTTGCCCCACTGCTTCCTTCCCTTTAGGCGCAGTATGAAAATCCACCCCACATCTACGCTCTGGCAGACCACATGTATCGAAATATGATAATTGACCGAGAGAACCAGTGTGTGATCATCAGGTAAGGGACTGGCTTTCCTTTCTGCCCCTGGGCTGGGCTGGGCTGGGCTGGGCTGGCAGCAGAGGAAGGGGGGAGCATCATGTCTGTGGCTGTGTGTGTGTGTATGTGTGTGTGTGTCTCCCTCCAGAGGAGCTTGGAAGCCCCCTGAGGTCCTGCCAGAGGGAGAGGCTGGGTCCACTGCCTGGGGTTCAGGTGAGGGCAAATGCTGAGCATAAGCAATCCAAGGATGGAGAATCTCTGAATGAGAAGGACAAGGGATTTGTTTAGGGAAAATTATGGAACTGAAGGGCATGGATGGCAAGACAAACGAAGAGGGCTGAAGGTCCATTGGAGAAAGGAGGAGGGATGGCTGAACTAGAGCCAGATGTTCTGCACAGTGGAGTCAAATGGACCCTGGGAAATGCTTCTAACTGCAAAGTTGCAGGAGAAGATGAAACGGCAGAACCCTAAACGTAGAGGTGAAAGCAGGTAAAGCAAAGACAGTAGCAACTGAAACCACCTGCATGAACTGCCCAGGGTCTCCATTCCATCCGGAGGGGGCAGAATGTCGTTTTGGTTTATGAAGAAAGTATATAGTTCTTTGTCAGAAAACATTCTGTTGGGCCAGCTGGGTCTCCAAATTCTGCTTCCCACCCCCTTGGGAGGTTCCCCAACCCACCCTGAGAAATTTAAGTTTGAGGGTCCATGATTCTCAAGGGCCCAACAATTAATTTGTTCTGCAGTTTCTAAAGGAGAAAACAGTGGGAAGAATAGCTGAGAGGCTCCCTCTCTGCCATTTTTGCTTGTGGCTCACAGACTCAGCCTGGAAGCAGCTAGTTTGGGTCCCCCCCCCACACTTGTTATTATTGTGGCTTTTTTATTTCTATTTCTGGTTTCTTAAGCTTAAAAAAAAGCAGTATCTGCCACTTACAGGAATTCGCCCTCCATGTGGCTGAGGACAGAAAGAAAGGCTTGCTTAGAAGTTATTTTTTCTTCTGTTTGAAGCTTGGCACTGTGCAATTGCCATCAAGCTGCGCAGGGCACGTACAACTTTGCTGTAGTGGGACAACACGGGCGTTCTCTCCTCTGTATGAACATTCTGACATTCAAAGTCACCTGAACCTCAAGATGGGCAGCAAATACATTTGATAAATGAATAAACCATGTTTAGATGCCCCCGGGGTCTTTTCTTGACACCCCAAGTGTCTTCAAGTACACACAGGCTGCGAAACAAGCGAATGAGTGACGACCCTTCTCATGTGATGATCTACCGATGCAAAGGAGCTGGCAGAGGCTTCCCTGATCCCAGAAGAGGCTGCTGGAGTGGTTGCTTCGCTTGAAGAAACCACCACCGCCACCAGGAGCAGCAGCAGCAGCAAGAATAAGGCTCCACCAAAGGGATTCACAGGTTCTAGGGCAAAGAAAGGGTTTGCCCCGAGAGAAAGGGCAGACCTGGCAGAAATCTGATGTTTTTTAGAAGTAGCTGTTGGTTGAAGGTGGGTGGTACTTTTGGGGGCCCCGGTCTAAGAGGGTCCAAGGCCAGGAGATCCATGCTTCTTTACAAGAGGGATGTTGCCCAGTCCAGAGCAGAAGGGCACCCCTAGGACGGAGAGCCTCTTTCCCCTGCCTCGGTAGCCAAGCCTCCATCAAGCCCGCTGGCTGCCAACGGATCTTTCTCTTGAGCCCCGTATAAATTTTTGGCTGCCCAGCAACAGGGCAGTTTGGACTCAGCTGTGACTGCAAGCTCCAGCAGCCAAAACCTCTTTATTCTGGTAGCAAATGTACATTTGATTTTTCACTTAATTCAACCACGCATCAAGTTCGTGATTTATTTTAGCATATAGCCGAGCCTCACTTGCCAGGCTGATGGCCTGCATCTGTCTGGCTCAAAGAGATTGCATCCTGAAGAGCACTCGCCATATCAAGATTTGGATCCTAATCATAGTTTCCCAGGGCAACAGGCCTCCTTGATCTTGGTGGGATTAACTTCTGAGAAAATACATAGCAGATTTTCCTTTCACTTCAATTTTCAATTTCAATTTAATTCAATTTATATGCTGCCCCTCTCCGAAGACTAAAATTACCAGTTTAAGTGAATCATGCCAAGTATATCGATCTCTTTATTTTTTATTATTTTATTTTTCAAAAAAGGAAGCGGCAGCAAGATTTAAAATACATTTGATCTTGGTGCCTGCAAAAATTCTTTGACTGCGTTCACAGATGCTAAGCAAGGTTTTTAAACCATGGTTTGTTGGAGAAGCCATCATTCTTGACCCAAACTGCTAAGCTGCAGTAGGTATGTGCACAGTCATCACACTAAGCCAAAACCTTTGAGTCACATTGTTTTTTTTTCCTGATGACTTTTTTCTCTTTGTGTTGACTTTCAGAACTCTCCAATAGGCACTGCAGTATTTTTGTAACTGTAGATGGGAACAGCTAATAGCTACCAAAATAGAGTTCCCATAATGTTTCTTTCCCAGTGGTTTTAGTCGCACATCCTAGCTTTATTTTTGAAAGGCTTTTGCAGACCAGGTCTGGTGGGGCAGCCCCAAGAGGGACAGAATTAGAAAAGACAATGCATCTGCTTGCTACTTATTGGAAAAGCAATAGAAGGCAATTGCCCTACAAGGAACCTTTGGCTGGAATGGCCACCGTTGCCAGGAGGACTTCGTGGACACTCCAGGAGGACTTGGGAGGAGTCAAACTGCCTTGGAACGGCTTCTTGTGGCTCATAAATATTGCATTCTTGTCCTCCTGAGTTTTGTACTTAGCAAATTCACCGGGATCCTGATAGATAAAACCATGCAAATTTGCAGAAGAACTGAATCTCAAGCACCCAAGAGGTCAGCTGCCCAGGATGGCCCTAACCCTTGGTCTGGCAGGAGGAGCCTTTCAGCCTTACACCCCACCCCTGCAGTCAGGGACGAGGGAGTCTCTGATGCTGGTGCCTAGAGCGCAGCACTTGCCATACCCAGAGTTGCCTGGCAATGCAACATGGTACCCTCAGCTTTAACCCTGGCTCCCAATGGATGGAGGGAAAATGAAGCATTGGCCATTCTTCAGGGGTTCAGGCAAAATGACCAGTGGGAAGGGGGTTCTGATCTCCCGGCTCAGGGCAGGTGGAACTGCAGGAGGTTAAGGCTTTGGGGACATAAATGGTTGTTCTTGAGGACTCTGCTTGGAACGGTTGCAACGAGGGCTAACCCTAACCCTAATTTTTCCCAGTGGAGAAAGTGGTGCTGGGAAGACTGTGGGAGCCAAGTACATCATGAGCTACATCTCCAAGATATCCGGAGGCGGCCCCAAAGTGCAGGTGAGAGGAGGAGCAGGGAGACTTTTGGACAAGCCAGGCAGCTGCTTTCCTTGGGTCTCGGCTCCCTGTAATTTATTGGCACTGCAAGAGTCTCGCTGGTTATGTCTTTTTCCCGCGTTGCCATGGAAGATCACAGCCCGCCTCCGTTTGGATCCGTAACCAGCCAAGGAGGGAGCAACTGTTGTTTTTGGAATGGGCTTAATCGCCCTCTATAAATAAGCTGCTCAGTTATTTCTAGGAAGGGGAAGAGACCCATTTTTTCCCTGTGAGTCAGATTTAGGCAGCAATGTGGCCAGGAAACAGGTAGAGGCAGGGGATGGAGCCTTCCTGACTGCAAAGGAGATAGTTGGTCATTGATTTCAGTACTGGTGTAATTAATGGCAACCTTGTTAACATCTGTGATTTAAGACGGAAAGGGTGTCAATGCAAGGAGTGCTAAACGGGTCTTTTGGTATCTCATGTTGAGGGTGGGCACCCCTTGGGTAGAAAAGCCCCGATTTCCTGAGGCAGAGGGTTAGAGCTGTAGGGTGCAGAAAGAGGTCAGTTGCTCACTGGCCATTGCTTCAGTCTGCTCGGGTCAAGGCGGGTGGCCTGGTGCCTCCTCTCCTCTGTAACTGTTGGGGAGGGGAGATTCCTGCCTAAGAACCACCTGGATGATCCAGCAAAAGGAGGAGGGGGAGGGGGCAAGGAGGAGGACCTTCATCCAAAGCCTGACTTCCGCTTTCTGGCTTTCAGCATGTGAAGGATATCATTCTGCAGTCCAACCCTCTTCTGGAGGCCTTTGGGAATGCCAAGACAGTTCGCAACAACAACTCCAGCAGATTTGTGAGTCACGCCATGTGGTCCTTTGCCAGAGCAGCACCAGATGGTTTGGGGCCATCGTTTCTTCTGCCCGCTTCCTTTCTGCCCCCCGGGGGTGAAGGATGTGGGGGGATATAAGGGGAGAGCCAGGCATACACTGTGACCCCCCCATTTGAACCCCCAGAGAGGAAGGGGAGCTCTCTGGCTCTCCACTCCTGTGGCCACGCCACTCGAGAGGCCTCCTTCAGTCACTGACATCCTCCCTTTGTTGCAGGGGAAATACTTTGAAATCCAGTTTAGTCCAGGTGGGGAGCCAGACGGAGGCAAGATCTCCAACTTCCTGCTGGAGAAATCCCGAGTGGTCATGAGGAATCCCGGGGAGAGGAGCTTCCACATTTTTTACCAGGTCAGCAGTTGCCTGGGAATGGGAGGTTGAAGAAGAGGCCCCCAGACCGTTGGGCAAGTTGGGCTGCTCTTGCTCCTCTGGGAGGGCCAGCTGGAGTTTTTTAGGCCTTTTGGACCACCTCCCCCATAATCCCCCAGCCGGCAAGTACCCCATTCGTAGTCCTGATGTAACTACGGCCGTCCCTGGAGCTCTTCTGCTGGGCTCCTCAGGCGAGCTGCATAGGACCTTCTGATCCAAGACTGAGCCTTTCTCCCGGGGGCCCAATATTGGTGGGAATTCCCTGCCCAAAGGCTGCCCTACGCTCTCAGGGGTAGTTTTCATTGGACAAAGAAATGGCCATTTTCCTTTGAAGCCCTAGTAAGGATGAAAGCAGTGCTCCCCCCACCCCCACCTCAATAGGTGAACCCAAATTCTCTACCTCTCCCAAACACAACACAAAGTGGGCTAACTTACCTTGGGGGGGGTGTTATCCTGCAGCTGATTGAAGGCGCTTCCAATGAGCAAAAGACAAGCCTGGGCATCACCAACATGGACTACTATCACTACTTGAGCCTCTCAGGATCCTACCAAGTGGAAGACATCAGTGACAAATCTGATTTCCAGGAAACTCTGGTAAGTTTCCTTACCAGAGCTTCCCTCCCCACATCCCACTTGATAAGAACTGCTTCTGTGCGAAAAGGGTCCTGATTGCAGCTGCCTGGGAACAAAGACAAGGTTGACTCAATCTAACGGCTTTTGCTAAAGAGGTCCGAGAGGGACTCCTTTCCACTTCCATCCGTGTCCTCACCTGCCCTCCTGGTCTGACCCCAGGTGTAGTTTTGAGACTGGCCAAGCAGCTCCAAGGACCAGAAGGGGGTGGGGGGCAGCAATGGCCCGTGGGGATCCCTTACGATGAGGGCACCTGAGAAGCCTCTGGCTGGAGGAGGCGCTTGAAATGCCAAACAGTCCATTAACCATTCTGGACAAAAGGCCTGGGGCTTTAGGAAGCTCTTCTTGACCCCTGCCTATCATCCCCGGCTTTCACCTCCTGGTTCTCCCTGGCCTGTCCCTGCGCATGGTCAACGCTTCTGGATTCTGGGCTGACCTTTGTGGGTTTGTTGCATCTCCACGGTTCCTGTTTTTTCCTCCTTGATTTTCTGCTCTGTTCCTTGAGCTGAGAAGTCAGACAAAATGAAGAATAATATCCTCAGTCTCAAGTCAAATTTTAATACGAGCAAGCAAGCAAATAAATAAATATATACATACATAAAGAGCATATTTAGCCATTTAGGAAGATTTTTAAGCAGATTATCGTTCTCTTCTGCTGTTGCTTAAATACCTCCTCTGCCTTGCAGTGTTACATGGCGAGAAACAGCTGCAGAGCATAAACTCTGAAAAGTTGTTTTTGCTTTACTGTTCCAGAGATTTATACCTTCTGCTTTTTGCTTATTGTGCTTTTAAACTATTTTTTTTAAATGCCTGGAAAACCACAAGTTCAATTAGCTTCTTGTGGCAAGGAGAGGCCACCTGCAGCAACCGTGTCTTGACCTGGAAGAGGCAGGCCTTCTTGTGGGCTCCCTCACTGAATGTTCTGCTTTCATTTAAAATGAAATAAATCAGCGTTTCCTTTTTACCCTTTGAGAGGGAGAAAAGCACAAGCCTGTTTTAGGACTATGACAAGGAAGCTGTTCCCAACGCTCTAAAAATAATACCAAAATATTTACTGCTGCTAGCTGATCCAAACCGATGGAGTTCTTCAGAGGGGCTTTTAACCCTCTTTCTCCCACTCTCAACCTTTGCAGCACGCCATGAAGGTCATCGGCATCTCTGCCCAGGAGCAGGCGCTGGTCATCCAGATTGTGGCCGGAGTGCTCCACCTCGGCAACCTCAGCTTCAAAGAGGTCGGCAACTATGCCGCAGTGGAGAGTGAAGAGTGTAGGTAGCCCCTCCTGGGCTGGGCTGGAGCAGGGGTGGGTGGGTGGGTGCGGGATGGCCGAGGGGACTCCGGGGTCAGAGGGCCATCCTCTGGAAGAGCCACGTCCTGGCAGGCAAGAGACCCAGGGGCAATGGGCCTTCTCCAGAGTTTCTCCAGAAGATGTCCAGAACTGAAGATTGATCTGGGGGGAGGGGGCAAAACATGGAATGTTTTCCCAGGCAATCTGCATAATGGCCAAAGACCCCCTGCCCTGGGTGGGAGTAGGGTCTAAACAAAAGAAGACCCCCCTCCTCTTCCTCCTTTGCTGCCTCACTGTGGTTTTTCTTTGACACCCCGCAGTTTTGGCCTTCCCAGCATTCCTCCTGGGAATTGACCAGGGCCGGCTTAAGGAGAAACTGACCAGCAGGCAGATGGACAGCAAGTGGGGTGGCCAATCAGAATCCATCCACGTGACCCTCAACGTAGAGCAAGCGTGTTACACCAGGGACGCCTTGGCCAAAGCGCTTCATGCTAGGGTCTTCGACTACTTGGTGGACGTAAGCGATGCTTCAACACGCCAAGGGAGGGGAGGGGAGGGAGGGGTCCCTCGTGAGGCATTTATGTAGGCATTTATTGCAGACTTTGCACTCTGCCATCCTCAAATATATTCCCTCAGTTTACAGAGAGTTGCAAGCCATAAAGGCATAAGACCTTTATCCACTGATCTACAAGGAGAGAATCTTTCTCCTTTCACCTCTCAGCAACAGCATTTCCTGGAAGAGGTTTCAGAAGAAGGATCTGCGAAAGGCAGCAACTTGTGAGGGCTATTTTCAAGCCTTCTGCTGCTCCGTCTCGTTTTGCAGATGAGATTCAAGGCTTTGGTGCCCATTGGGAGGGAGCTGCCCTTGCAGGAGGGGTAGTATCAGGAGCCCCCAGTGGCTGGTGGTGGGGCAGAAGAACTGGCATCGGTTTCCTTGGGCAAGAGCAGAGAGGGAATGCTCGCAGGGCTTCAAGTGGCATTTAGTAACCTTTGGCAAGCAGCCTTTTTACTCAGGTTTAATTCACGTTTGATTTCAAAGTTACATTCTTGTTTTCATGGGAATATGTTTTTCCCCATTTTGTTCTAACAGTCCATCAACAAGGCGATGGAAAAAGATAATCAGGAGTATAATATTGGTGTCCTGGACATCTACGGCTTTGAAATATTTCAGGTAAAGGCCTACAGATCGATCAGGACGCTCTGCAGCAGCAAAACTGCCAGTCCTTTTGCGGGAAGAAAGACAATCGGCTGTTTTGGAGCAATCCCTCGATCTGTTCAGGGGGCCGAAACCAGAAACTGAAGCCCTCGGCCTCAGCACGGTAGTGGCCAGCCGGCTTGAAGCAGAAGGCGATGTTTTTGCTGTGTGGCCGGTGCTGTTTGCTGACCCAGGGAAGACGGTCTTTCTGGTTTGCCCATCTGAGGGTTGGGTCCTTCCCTGGCCAGGAGCAGAAGTCAGGGCATCGTGGCCGGGAAGTCTGTATTTTCGGCCTGCAAATATTCTCCTCAGGCTGCTCACCAAGGAGTGACGGCCACAAACATGGCTGCTATTTCTTAGCAAACATACCCAGGATGAAAATGCTGGTCACACTGGACTAGCTGGAAGTGAGGTCAGGCTGCTGGAATGAGTTTTATTTATGTTTCAGGACTACTTTATTAGTCTTCCCTTTTTGCAATAAAAACATTTGTGGGAGAGAGCTAGGTTAAATTTTGCAGTAGGATGAGGTCAGCCCAAATGCATAGCTTCCTATAAATGGAAACCTCAATTAATTCAAACAACAGATTTAATGTAAGCTGGCCAGAATTCAGGGCCTAAATCAGAAAGGGGCCATGAAGCGCTCTAGCAAAACCAAAAGAGAAGATCAGGGGGGTTTTGGGCAGAGAACCAAAAACAGCTGTTCTAAAGGGAATTCAAGTCTTGGAAGCTATTTTGGAGAACTGAGGCCACCGATTTCCATGAAAAGACTGAAAGCAGACACTCAAATCAGCTCAAATATTACGCTGAAAAAGAGAGGTTAATGTGGCAAACTGGGAGGGGTATGGGGAGCCTGACATTAATCTTTCCACGGTTTGTTTTTGATTTCAGAAAAATGGTTTTGAGCAGTTCTGCATCAATTTTGTCAACGAAAAACTGCAGCAGATTTTTATCGAGCTCACCCTGAAGGCAGAGCAGGTAAACCTGAAGGTTGGGAGAGAAATCCCGGGAACAAACAAACAGCAGGTCCTTTTCTCCCTCTCCCCTCCCTCCCTCCGGATGGGAAGCTTGTCAGCTGATGCTTGTTTTGAAAATGCCTTGCAAAGCAAGAGGGAGAGAGAACGGCTGCGGTTCAGCCCGCCCAGCCTGGGAGTAAACACCAGGGCCTGCTCGGCTGCGGGAATATTTTCCCTCTGATCCAGTGACCTAAGAGGGGCCCTCGTGAGCCAGAACAATCATCGCATCAGATGACTTCCCCATAGAGACTGACTCGCCACCCCATGTGGGAAAACTGGCTGGCTCCAAAATTAAAACGAGGGCACTTCTGTTTTCTCCATTTCCTGCTTGCCTCTTTCAAAGAGAAGGAAGGGCTGCTTTCATTTTCCTTTGCTACCTGCCATTTTGAACAGCATGGACATTTGCTTTTTTTGCTCCCTAAAATCCTGGTGGGAACAAGATACGTTCTTTCAGACCGGTTTGGTGGGTCTCCTTCCTTGAGTTGTGCTGTTTCCGAGGAGGGGGTGGCTTGGAACTCTTCCCCCCCCACCCCCGGGGGGGGGAGAAGTAATCAAAGGGAGCCGAGGAAGACTTCTGTGCAATGGAAAAACGATTCCCACACAGATCTTTAGTTGTGGGTCACCTGGACGTCGCCTGTTAAAACTGTCCAGCATCAGAGGTGACTCCTAGAGCCACTCCCTGGGAAAAGAGGAAGAGTGCCCTTTGCCATAGGTAGCCTTGGCCTTCAGCTGAGTAGTTCCATCCAGATCCAAGATGGATGCAAAGTTCAGATCTAGTCCCACAAGAGTTGGACAAGATCCTAGGAGGTACCTTTCTCCTTTCAAGCCAACAGATCCCAAGTGCCTCCAAACCAAGTGATTCGTCATGGGTACTGAAGCCCAAGGGACATAATGAATTTCGGCCTCTGTCCACTTCTGACTCCTGGCCTCTCCCTCTCCTCACTCAGCAGAGGGATTAGCCCTGGCCACACCTGGCAAGTCAGAATAGTTCTTACCGCCTCACTGAGCAAGTCCACAAACCATTTCTTGTGGCTGTCTTGCCAAGAATGTTTGCCCTGCACAGGTAGGCCCTTAATGCAGCAGGCCAGCTGATCTTTTGGCCCCGGGCTGTGGAGCTGCTCTGGAGAGGAGAGGATTTAGACAGGTCTGCCATGGGACACAAACTGGGCTGCCATTAATCACTGAACAGAGGCATCTTCCTTTGGACTTTGGCCTGGGGCAGAGGGATCGTCTTTGGGACAGAGATGTTCCCTGCTTCCCACAGACTGCCCATTGCATTGACCTTGCCAAGTTTATGAGTCGAGCAGGGTTAGCACGGGGACCCCTGCAGTTCCTTTGGGAGCTTCTCTGAGCCTTCATTTCTGTATGGCAGGAGGAATACGTTCAGGAAGGAATACGTTGGACTCCCATAGATTACTTCAACAACAAAGTAGTTTGTGACCTCATAGAGAACAAAGTGGTAAGTCTGGGAGGGTCTCCATGGCCCCAGATTCATTCCTCTCATCTCGCCCCTCCTTGATACCGTTAACTGCTGTGCCAGGAGCGGAATTCAGGAAAGGCTGCAGTCCTTTCCATTGTGATCCAGAACTCTCTAAACCAACTCACCCAACACCCTTCAATCCAAAATGGAGGCCAAGCATCTATCCTACGTTTCACTTCCTGTTCCTGTCATTCCCCCCAGAATCCACCTGGCATCATGAGCATCCTGGACGACGTCTGTGCCACGATGCACGCGGTGGGTGAAGGAGCAGACCAAACTTTGCTGCAGAAGCTGCAGATGCAGATTGGGACTCACGAGCATTTCAACAGCTGGAATCAGGGCTTCATCATTCACCACTATGCGGGAAAGGTACCTTCCCAAGTGGGGCATTCGGGGAGGGCCTGTTGGGAATTTTCTTCAATTTATCTGGAAGGTCCCAGGAAAGGTACTTTATGCTGTGATTTCCCCCAAGTTCCAGCTTCGACAAAATTCTATCCCGGGAGCCGGCACGGCCATGCCTGGTGAAGGACTTCTCCCTTGCCATGTGTCCTCCTGGTCAAGAAACTGAAAGTGCCTCACCTCGCCTGCCTTTCTCCCATCAGGTTTCTTACGACATGGACGGATTCTGTGAGAGGAACCGAGACGTTCTCTTCATGGACTTGATTGAGCTCATGCAAAGCAGCGAATTGTACGTAAGGCAGGTTTCCCCAGGCTGCATGTGCACCTAAGATCTTTCCGGGGCTTTTGTGGGAGACTCAAAATGCAGCGATAGGACATCAGTGGGGATTCTCCCAAGACTGGAAAGAACGTCACAGCCATGCCAGCAAAGCTCTTATTCCAAACACAGAAAGCTCCCTACTTCCCTTTCAGAAAGACTTGCAGAAGAGTTGTTAAGCTAATGGGCTCGTGGCTGGCTGGCTCAAGGGGTGGGCGGGGAGGGAGATCTCAATCCTGCTCCAGGAGATGAGGTCTGAAGAGAGACTTGGCAGCCTTTTGGCTTCTTAAGAAGAAGAATCCCTGCCGGAAGGGCCCCCTTTGCAGCTCACCCATTGGCTCATTGCAGCAGAGACGGCGGATCTTTGGGGGCCAAGGGAGGGCCAGTCACAAGGTTGGGGAGGGGGCCAGGGCTGGAGAGGCTGCCATCTGAACTCCCGCTTGCCTAAGGTGGCTCTCAGAGTTACTTCAGGGCTTGTTCTACCATTTCACTCTGCTTCCTGCTTAAAAATGGAAGAAAGCTGCACCCCTATTTCTAGCCAGGGGGTCAGCAGAGGCTCTGGGGCTGCCAGTTGCACACGGCAGAGAACTAAATCCAGCCGCCTCTGCCCTGGTCTCCTGGCTGCTGTCTTGTGCCATGGGCTGATCTCTTCCTCCTCCTCCTCCTCCTCCTCTTAGACCTTTTATAAAGGCTCTGTTTCCAGAGAATCCCCAAGCCGAAAAGAAAGGCCGACCCACCACTGCCGGCAGCAAAATCAAGGTGGGTGCTTTGGGGCAGCAGCAGCAGAGGCAGAGATCTTGGGGCTTTAGCACCCGAAGGGGACATGGCTGCTGGTCGCTCCAGGAATAGCTAAACATTGAGTTGTGAAAACGACTTTACAATCAAGGGCCCTGCAGAAATTTAATGTGAAAACAAGATTCGCCCAACTAGGCAACTGAAAGAGCACCTGGCAGCTGTCCACCCCACTCATGCACCACGACTGCGTGGCTGCATCTTCCTCAGTCCCTTCCCTTTGGTCTTCCTGCAAAGGACAATGACAACACAGCTCTCGGCAAGTGTGCGTAGTGTGTACGGACTTGGTACGATCTGTCCTCTCACCCACCCGTGTGGTGAGGTGGCGGCCCTTCCCTCTTGTGTAGTCCCTCTGCTTCTGGTTGGGCCACTCTGCGCAGCCCAGGATCTCCCACCAGAGGAAGAGCAGAGGAGCCCCCGGCCTAGAAGCAAATGGAGCGGTCCTCACCAGCAAAGCTTTCGGGGCTGGCCAAGCGCAGAGGTGGGATTCCTCAGGGCGGGTGGCTCTGCGCAAAGGAGCAGAGGGAATGACGCTGTTGTTGACCTGAGCAAAGAGCCTTTTCTCTCTTCCGCAGAAACAGGCCAATGACCTGGTGGGCACCCTGATGAAATGCACCCCCCATTACATCCGCTGCATCAAGCCCAACGAAACCAAAAAGCCTCACGACTGGGAGGAGAGCAGGTGAGTCCCAAGAGGCCGAGGTGAGAGGAAGCCAGTGCACGCTATGGCTCCCACATCAGAGTTATTTGCCCAGTTGTGGTTGTCACAATAATTCGGATTTTAAAAATCCCACTACCTGCTCTTTTTGCTGTGATAACACACTTCCTGCATTTTTGAAGTAATTATTCTCACCGTTCCTTTAAAGGGATGGTTGTAAAAAGAGCTGATTGGTTCAAAATAGTTTACAGTTTGCTCCCTGCTGAAATTGGAAAGCTGCTGGGCAGAAGGACGGAGGCACAAGCAGTAGGATGCTCTCCCTTTCTTAAGCGTTTTGCCAGTGCGGGTCAGTGTCAAAATAGCAGAGCCAGAGAAAAGGCCGTTTTCCAAACGTCTCTCAGGCAGCCCTTCCTTCCAGGGCAGCCAGTCAGCCCTCGAAAGGGTCATGTTCCCCTCTTTCAGTCAGTTTCTGGCTGCTTGCCCCCCTCCTTGCAGGCCGGAGAGCAGCGACGGGCCTCTTTCTGTGTGTGGGGTTCCATCACGAACCTTTTTCCTGCAGGGTGAAGCACCAGGTGGAGTACCTCGGCCTCAGGGAAAACATCCGAGTTCGCCGAGCAGGTTATGCCTACAGACGCGCCTTCCAAAAATTTCTGCAGAGGTACCCCTTTCTCCACGTGGCTGTGTTAAAATGGGAGGGAAGGACAGCCAAAGGTCCCCAGAGTTTCCCTCTTCTGTGGAACATAACCTGCGGCCCTGGTTGCGGCCCTGGCCACCCCAGAACTAGCCCTGGTTGCTGCTGTCCACACTTCTCACTGCCCTTCTATTGTTGTCCTGTCTGGGTAATTATTATTATTATTATTCGTATTTCTATGCCGCCCACTCTCCGAGGACTCTGGGCGGCTTACACCAAAGACAGTATACCAAATAGCATATTGCCCCCAACAATCTGGGTCCTCATTTTACCCACCTCGGAAGGATGGAAGACTGAGTCAACCTTGAGCCAGTGAGATTTGATCTGCTGAACTAGCAGTCAGCTGAAGTAGCTTCAGTGCTGCACCCTAACCACTGCACTCTAACCACTGCACTCTAACCACTGCACTCTAACCACTGCGCCACCTCAGCTCTTGCTCTTGGTAAGCAGGAAAGCAGCAGCCTCTTCAAGGGGAACCTTTGAGTCATTTTTTTTTGGGGGGGGGGGATGACTGGCAGGCCAAAGAGGAGCCCGTAGCCAGGATGGTGCTTGGCTCAGAGGGCTTGCCCTCCCTCCTGTCAGCCTCTTTTTCTTCTTGGCTGCTTTGACAAGGGACCCCCATGCCCAGCCCTTGATTGCCAATCTGGGCAGGCAAGGAGGTTCTGTCCCTGAAGCCAGTGAGTCAGCTTCTCCCCCCCTCTGGCTGGTGGTGACAGATAATTCCTACATAAAAGTCCACCTGAAGTTTTGAACTAAGCAGTTATGACTGTCATAACTGCTTAATTCAAAAAGTTTAAGCGCCTTATTGCTTCAGTGAAGATTAGGAAGAGGCAGCCTGTGCCTGAGAGAGAGCCCTGGCCAAAGTCTCCAGGAGGTCCCTATTGCCTCCTAAAAGCCCAGCTTGTGAGGGCCTTGGAGAAACTGCAAAATAGCTGGATTCCAACTATTGGTCCATCCTCCCATACGCAGCTCTGCCCCCATCAGGCATTCTGGCCCAGTGAAAAGGGCAGGTCCCCCTTTTCAGGAAATAAGCCTGAGAGCCAGTCACAGGGCCTCCCCTCCACCCTGGCTTGCGACCAACTGAGCATGGCGTGTCTCCTTGAAGGTATGCCATCCTGACCCCCGAGACCTGGCCTCTCTGGAAGGGGGATGAAAGGCAGGGAGTTCTGCACCTTCTCCGGTCTGTCAACATGGATCCTGACCAATACCAGCTTGGCAGAACGAAGATCTTCATCAAAGCACCAGAGTCCGTGAGTACCAGGGAGAAGCTACCCCTCTCTGACCCTGGAGACTTCTGAGAAACACCTCCCCCCCTCAGAAAATGTAGTCCAGCACCGAGAACCCTCTGCTGTGCCCCCCTTGTACCATTTAACGATGAACTGTGGTACAGATGTGCCCGGGGCACTCTGCACCAGGTCCCACTGGCCCTGCCTTACAATAGCCAGCTCCCCCTTTCCCCCCCTTGCTTCCCTGATGTGCCTGATGGGAACAGGATCCCCGTGGGCCAAAACGTTTGACTTGGGGGTCAGCCTCTGGCTCTCCAACAGGAGAGTCCGGCTGTTTCAGAGACAATTCCCAATTTCCCGTAGAAAGTTGATGATAAGACCGCAAAGACTGTAGAGTTACTGGTCATGTTCACATAACACAACAAGGTTGTGATGATTTGGGCTTGGAATGTTGTATGAATGCAGCCAACAGTGGCTTTCTTAACATATGGCGTGAATCCGCTATGTCTCTTCAATGGGCTGAGAGAATCTGATTTGAGAAGAAAGAGCAATGGAAACCAAGCATTTCTCTTCCTTCCTTCCAGCTTTTCTTCCTGCAACAAGCATTTTTCTTTTGGTCTTCCTGCCTCTGGACACAGGAAGTGTGTCTGAGGCGAACCTTAGTTACAGCAGAGAGATAGGATGGGCAGTTAGTGCAACTGCAGGGAGTGAATCATGTCAATCACCTGGCTGGGGGAGCAGGATGTTCTGGCAGCCGCCCAACAGGGGAAGCCCTGAAAGAGGAGGAAGAGGAGGAGGAGGCGGCCAGTGTTTGGAAAGAAGAAAGCCGCCACAGCCTGGGGAAACATGGCTTGGTCATCTCCATGTGATGGGTCACTGAAGAGCTCTGGATGGCCATCCTCCATGGGGCACGTCCAAATGTGTCAGACCACAATTTCCATAACTTAGTCAGCTGGGAAAGGTGACAGTGTGCCAATCAGGCTACCGTTGCAGTGTGAGATGGATGGGTCCCACCCTGAGACAGCTTTTGTGCAAGAGTTGCTCTGATTCCATGGGTCAGGCTGTTCCTTCTTATTTGGTGCTTCTGGATGGAAGCTTTGAATTTTTGTGGAGACATAAAAATCCAGGAGGCCCAAGACTGAGAAATCTGTTCAGAAACGGTCTCTGCAATTCACTAGTATGCACCTGCAGGACTCTCCAGGTTGGTTCTAGGAAATCTCCCTGGCGGCAGGGGATGAGATGGGCCCCCTCAGCGCCAACGCTCGGCATGCCAGAACTTCAGCAGCGCCATGCAGAACAGATATTGGACGACCATTTGTCTGAAGTGGTGTAGGGTTTCCTGCCTAAGCAGGGGGTTGGACTAGAAGACCTTCAAGGTCCCTTCTAACTCTGTTATTCTTGCTTGGCTGGAGGCAGCGCGACTCCCTGGCTTGGCTTTCCATTTCCCAAAATAGCTTCCTCTTATCCACAAAGTATGAATATGCTTTCCCTTAAAGTAGATAAATCTCAGTTTATCTAAGGACTTCCTGAATTGCTCCGTATTTTCTGAATTTGGCAGAATATCCTGAGTCTGTTCTCCAATAGTTAGGTTTGAAACCAAAGAGGACAAACAAAACTCCCTCAGACTTTCTTCCTCAGAGGAGGAGGAGGAGGAGATGATTCCCGGAGGCTCTTCTCTGCAGATCTCCAGAAAGTGTCCGGGCGGCTTTGCTGGAGGGAGGACCTGGGGATCAAGCCTATCCACCCTTCTGAATGTTGCCAAGATCCCCTACAAGGGATCCCTGCTCTGCCCCTCATCCAATGGGGGGGGGGGGAGAGGAGCCTGTGACCCTGTCACTGACCTTCCTTCTTTGGGAGCCCCAGGACAAACTGCTGGGCCGGCAACGGCTTCTCTTTCTCTTGCAGTTGTTTCTGCTGGAGGAAATGAGGGAGCGGAAGTACGATGGCCACGCGAGGGCCATCCAGAAGGCCTGGAGGAAACACATTGCCAGGAAGAAATACGTACAAATGAGAGAAGAAGGTATTTGGGATTATTCTTTCTACATAATAAGGCTGGCGATGGGGCATCTTCCGTTCTTCAAGAAGCAAGAGAATGGCTGTGCCACCCTGCCCGTCCCTCTCGCTCGCCATCGTCTTTAGCTCCTCTCTGCAGAAGGGCAGCTGTGGCTCCAAATGATCGGTTGAGTTGCAGCCTATTTGAGCCTGACTGCCACTTTACCCCTTCAGCTGGCTTTCAATGCACTGGGCTGCTTTCCTTTGGGGGGGGGGCGTATTGCTTGCTGACCCTTTGTATGCTGCCCAGAGTCACTTTGTTTGAGTTGGGGGGCCATAGAAATGAATCAATCAAGCAGTTGATCCTCAAAGGCTTGAAGTAGGCATTTAGGTACAGTGTGAAGCTCCGGTTTCTACCCCAGTTCTGTTATTGGCGTCTACTCGATCTAAAAGTCGAAGAGCCGGAAACAGAAAGGCAGAAACCATACAGGAAACAAGCATTCTCTGACAAGGCTAGGAAGTGGTCTTGAGAAGGGACCACAGCCAGGTTTCTCCCGCTTGGCCTGACAAAGTCCAGGTCCTACTGTCAGCCCTGGAGGCCATCTCTTTCTTTCTGCAGTGGCTGCAGTGGAGGAGGCTCAGTTCTTCGGGGTTCAGTCATGACAACTAATTGTCAGGCTCTGAAGTCCATATGGTGGGATTCCCCCTTTTTTCTCTGGGGCCACTAAGGAACGCTCCTCTTCCCCTCGCAAAGCCTCCGACCTGCTGCTGAACAAGAAGGAGAGAAGGCGGAACAGCATCAACAGGAACTTTGTGGGCGACTACATTGGCATGGACGACCATCCGGAGCTACGCCAATTCGTGGGCAAGCGGGAAAAGATTGATTTTGCCGACACTGTCACCAAGTACGACCGGCGGTTTAAGGTAGAGAAGCGAGGCAGCTCGTTTGCCTTTGTTCCCGCTTGGCTTAGGCTTTTCTGGAAGGCCGCCTGACCCAGTTGCAGAGGGCATGCAGACAAGCCAGTTTTTCGTTCTGAAGACCCCAGATCCAGCAACTGTGCTTTAGGATGGGAAGCTCTTGTCTGTGCAAGTTGATGCTGTTGTGCAGAAGACCCGCTCCCTCCAAGACATGCCTACCCACAATGTCATTGTACCTGGCCGAAGGCCGTGTGCGGAGAGGCCACTTTCTGGGCTTAATGCAATGGTTATCACAGGCCAGACTGATGATCCTGCCTAGAAGGAAAGAGCAATGGAAGGCCCTCAGGTCCAGGGTGGGCAACGTCCCCTAATCATGGGACCCCTCAGAAATCCCTGAGCTCCCCCACCGCTCCGAAAGATCTTGGAACTTCTCTACGGGAAGCCTCAGGGAGGTGAAGGCAGGTGAAGCGGCAGCCACGGATGCTTTCTCCTTTCAGGGCATCAAGCGAGACCTCATCCTCTCCCCCAAGTGCCTGTATCTGATTGGGCGTGAAAAGGTGAAGCAGGGAGCAGAGAAAGGCCTCGTGAAGGAGGTTCTCAAGCGCCGGATCGAAGTGGAGCGGATCCTCTCGGTGTCACTGAGGTCAGGGCTGCCTTGATTGCCTGGGACCTGGGTGGGGGCCCAGGAGGACCAGGGCTTGGCGAGCTGGGCGGGGGCTGCTTTCAGAATGATTCTTTTACGCCTCTTGCAAAGTGCACGATATCGCTCCCTGACTAGAGGGTGCATGCAATTAAGGCACTACACTAATCAGAAATTGGGCAAAGTCTATCTTATCACCCATTCTGATTGAAAGAACTAAAATGATTAATTATAGTTCCTGATATTCTGACAAAATTTACCATTACTATCTGCTTATTTATTTAAAGGCATCCCAGTAGTATGATTGCTTTTTGAAAGAATGCTGCAAAAGTAATCAAATGGAGGTTTTGTGTTTTGTTACTGAAATGTCGAGACTACCTGGCCTTCATGCTATTTTAGAGGTGTTTTTTATAACCCCTCTATTTGTCATACTGATGTAACTTACAGATGTCTGTAAAGCTAGAAACAAAGCCAGATGTTTGCGTAGAATCCTCCTCCCTGGGGAGGCCAGCTCTGAATTTAGGGTGCCCCCAATTTCTTTTCCCAGCACCCTGCAGGACGACCTGTTTGTCCTACACGAGCAAGAGTACGACAGCCTCCTGGAGTCCGTCTTCAAGACCGAGTTTTTGAGCCTCTTGTCAAAGCGCTACGAGGAGAAAACGCAGAGGCGGCTCCCCCTGAAGTTCAGCAACACGTGAGTGGCCCTTGCACTAGGTGCCCCCGGGGGGTCTCCCTCCTCCTTTGCATTGGAAGGGAGGGGGAGGACACATTTTGCTGAAATCCCTCATCTGAGAGGATCAAATACCAATGGGGGGAAGAGGGAGAGAGGGAGATTTTTAAGCTTTGTTTGAGATAGCAAATTCATCCATCACACTTGCTCAGCCAGCAGCCCACACACGTCCTGCGGGCAGAGACAGCTGGGCTATTTGCTGAGCTTCCTCCTCTAAGTCAGGCTGTCTGACTTAGTGTCCGTGTATCTTCTTAGTGCCGGTTTCTCACCCAAGATGTAGTGAAAACCTCCTGCAGAGACAGAGAGGCTCAGGAACCCCAGCGGTGCCCCTAAGGGTCCTGCCCCAAGGAGACCCATCCAGGGGGAAGACTTCTGGGTATCACCTACTGTTCTTCCTTTCTCTGCCAGACTGGAGGTGAAGCTGAAGAAGGAGACCTGGGGGCCATGGAAGGCTGGTGGCTCTCGCCAAGTGCAGTTCAGCCAAGGTCAGGGAGACGTGGCCATTCTCCGGCCAAGCAATAAAGTGCTGCAGGTCAGCATCGGGCCTGGACTCCCAAAGAACGCCCGTAAGTGCAAACGCCCAGAAGTGGTGGCTGGGGAAGGCTAGCGGCAGGTGTAACTGATCACCGCTTGAGCAAATTCTGGGGTGTGTTTCAGGACCCACCAAAAGGGACGTGAGCCAGCCCAGAGGGCTTCCAATCAAAACACGTGGCCAGAACTATCCAATGAGGGCAGCTCCTCCACCCCCCGGGAAGGTCTCCGAAGGTATGCTTTGGGAAGCTGCTCCCAATCCTTGGTCCCCGTAGGGTATTTTCTCTCCCGTCCCTAATCATCAAGTTATCCAGCAAAGAGCACTTAAAACCCCTTGTGTGCACGGCGGCCTAAACAGATTGTGACAAGATCTCCCTCATGCTATTGCCACAAAGGAGAGCTCTGTGGTGGAGAGGAGACACTTGAAGGTGGCTCACCCGGTCCGAGTCATCGGTCAAAATCAGCAATGGATTCAAAATGAAGGCACTAAGCCATGTTTTGTTTTAACCTGGATCCATTGTATTGACCACAACGGCTGTGTTTGTGCAATAAGTAAAACGCAAGCCAAATGGATCAGCTTGGATTTGTGCCACGTGCCCATCCTGGAGGAGAAGACTCCTGTTTAAGTCTTCCAGACCCAGTGGAGGGCAGGGGGATCAGGTTTGGGGGCAGCTGCACACTAAATGCAAGTGGCTGGGAGTCCCGGAGACACCTGAGGCCTAGTGGCAAAAAGCCGGGCCATGAAGGTGAGGCCTCCCTGCTGCTCCAAAGCCTGGCAGTAGAACCCCACATCTGGGAAGGAATTTCCAGGAAGCCGTTCCACGAAGGGGCCTCGGAATTTCCATTTTTAATTCCTTTCAGATCTACCGAATGGGGTGATCAAGCTCCAGCAGCAGCCCCTGCATCCTTCGGGGCCAGCAGGCCAACGGGCTAGTCAGAAGAGCCTGTACACCTCAATGGCGCGCCCACCACTGCCGCGAGTCTTGGGGGGACCAGGAAAGGTATCCCAACAACCCAGCAGCTTGGATTTCCTCAAAGTGCCCGAGCAAGGGGCCGCCGGGTAAGCCTTGTGCCATTTGGCTTGGTCTGAAGCGGTTGCTTCTTGGTGTGAAGCAACAGATGGCTAGGCTGGAGGGCTGCTGCACCTTCCCTCTCTCCGCTGGGCTCCGGGCGAAGGCCCAGGGGGCTGCTGCTTTGCCTGCCTCCCCTTGGCAGATCCTTCAACTTGTTGAAAAGACCCACCCAGAACAAATGCTGGGTGTCTTTCAAAGTCAAGGCTCTTTTATCTCAGTGAAGCCTGTTGTGCATGATTGTTTAAAGATCAAGAGAGGCTGTCATGGAGGAGCCACACGTGTGTCGAAGCTCCCTCATCACAGCAGTATACCTCCTGTACCCATCTCACACACCCACGCACATATCCCTAAATGCCCAAACCTTCTGGAGAGATCACCCCTGCTTCATTAGATCGCCTCTTGCAGCTGAGCTGTGCTCGCCCTCCAAGCTCTCCCCGCAGCTTAGTTGGTATAGTGCAGCCCATATCACCACCTGCTAGAGGGAAGCTTCTAACATGCATGTTGTCACTGAATGGATCCCTGTCCATTAAGTCCATCTTCCCCTTCTGGAAACATTCATTATCTCCTACCCTCATTCTGAGTATTGGCAATGGTGGCCAAGGCTGATGATAGGCACTGTAGTCCGAGGCTCAGAACTACATCTACACTTTCTCCAGTTACAACAGTGACTCTCCATTTAGAGCTCTTGGCTTTAGGCGCTCTCTAGTCCTCCCTGTAAGGTAGGCCAGCCTTTCACAGATGAGCAGCGGCTTGCGGAAGAGCCGTCTGGACTGCGGAAGCCCCAGTTCTCCAAGGGTGTCTCTCCCCTCGGGATCCCTGGTATTCTGCAAGACAAGGAGCGCTCAAAGGCTGCTCTGCATGGATGGCCATATTTGCTTGCCCCCAGGAAACGTGTCCCTCTGTGCAGGCGCATATATGAGTTTGCCTGTTGGGGGTGGGCACAGACAACTCAGCCCTCCTCTTTAACTCCACAGTGCTTGCAGGCAGACGACAAGCCGTCCCCCACCTGCCGGGGGCAGACCCAAGCCCCGGCCCCAGCCCCAGCCCAAGCCACAGGTACCCCAGTGCAGGGCACTGTACGCCTACGATGCCCAAGACACCGATGAGCTCAGCTTCAACGCCAACGACATCATCGACCTCCTCCGAGAAGGTAAGGCTGCTCCTGCTGCATGGGGGCTGCCACTCGGGGGGGGGGGGGGGGGGCAATGAGCTGGGCACAGGTGGCCATTTACCCTTTAAGCTGCCGACATTCAGGAATCCTCCTTTTAATACTATGAAACCTGAACTTCTAGATGGTAAACCCCACAGCCCACGCCCAGGGTATTTTTTAATATACTCGGAATATTCAGATAATGGTCAAGAGGGCTTTGTTCTGCATTGCCTGAGATGCAGGAAATGCACCTGCTCACTTGCCCATCTCTGCCCCATCCAGAATGTGCACAAACTGGCAGTTGGGCCTTGGAGAGAAAGTGGCTCTGCTCTCTGCCCTGGCACTCCTCAGGGAGGGCATCGCCTGCCCAAAGCAAAGGGGTGGGGGTGCAGGTGGCAACCATTTCATCAGCCTCAAATTGCCCCCTCTGACACTGGGCCACCGAACCTCAGTTCTGCTTGGGCCCAGCTATTCCTTCCTTTTACTCCATGGCCCAATGTTGCATTGGCTTATTACTCTCCTCCATTTGGATACTGCCCGAAACGGCTTTTCCCCTCATCTTACAAATATTGCTTAACGCATTGTAAGCCGCCCTGAGTCTCCGGAGAAGGGCGGCATATAAATCAAATTTTTTTAAAAAAAATAAGACAAGAAAAAAAATGAGACTTTGGGTGCTGTGACTTTGCAAATGTCCTTTCCTTGTGTCCCACTGCAAAGCATTTTCTTAGGTCTGAAGGCTGGGGTGGGGTGGGGGGGGGTAGGTCAGGGTCAGGCAGAATTATTTCTAGCTAACTGTCCTCCTTCTTTCCAGACCCCTCAGGCTGGTGGACAGGGCGATTAAGAGGGAAACAAGGACTTTTTCCGAATAATTATGTGAGCAAGATGTAACTCTGACCCTAAGAAACCCCTGATCGGCTCCAGGCTCCCTGAGAAGATGCTTTCCAACCCCTTGAGTGAGCCGCTCTAGGCAAACCCTGTAAGAGGCGTCTTCGGTTCCGCCATGAGGTTAAAAAGAGGATAAGTCTGTTTTATGAGAAGCCAAAGCCCTCAAAGCCAAGGATTTATTTATTTTATTTAACTCTTTTCTTGTGAAGAGGAATGTGTTCAAATTACATTCCATTATTTTTTAAAAAACCCAGTTCTGGAAATCATCAGGTGCTCTGTGACGGATTTAGAATTACAACGGAGGGTGGGTTTTTTTCTTTCATTTTTCAAGTGCCTTTAGTTGCTCTGCTGTTTCTTCCAGATTATCTAACAAAGCAATGAAACTCTATGCACATTTCCTCATGGGCAGCTTTACAGGGGAAACAGATTCTGCTGCTAGTTCTCTGTGGAACCTCTCTTTCCCCAAGAGTCCAGGTCTCTCTGTATACATCTACACACTCCCCCCACCCCCACCCCCCACGGTCTTGTCTAGGTATGCTCGTGACTCCAGAAAGGCAGCAGGACCAAAGGAAAACAGTATTCTATGCTGCAAATACTTCACCGTGCTCAGTTAATGTGGCTGGCCCACACTGACTCTTGTTATTACTGTATCTGTGCATTATACACACACCCCTTTTGTCTCCGAGGAAGCTGTAAACTCTTTGTCAGTGGTTTCATCTGGTGCACATTTAAAAGAAATAAGTCAGAGGCAAAGCTGCACCGATGTGCACCATAACTCAGTGGCTTGGGATATCATTTGGAGCCCAGGTACTTCATCATAGGAACACGTCATGATGGTTAGCAATATGAGAAGTTTCCAAAGCTGGTCTGTGCTCCTGTTGGCCTTCTGCATGTTGTTTTAATTGCTCTCCTCCCATCAATAAAAACAGAGACTACAATTCTGGTGTGACAATCCTGTGCAGGCTAGACCCCTTCTGCCAGGGGAGGGGTGCATGTGAGGGCTTGGAAAGGGTCAGCAATAGGGATGCCTTTAGGACAGTACAGGTGATTTGGATGGGGCCACTGTGGGGCAGGGTTGACTGGACACATCTGAGGATAGTAGATTTACAACAGCATTGTGGTGCAACTTTTGTGGCTCAAGGCAGACTACAGTACCAACTGCCTGTGAAGCCACAGGGCCAGGCAAGGCTGAAGCAGGGCCAGCTGCACAGGACAAGAGACAGTCTTGGCTCCAAACAGAGGCTGGATGACAAAGTAGATGTGGGTCCTGCTGATTTCTGCTATGGCTTTTTCTTGGCAAGCTGTTTTGCCCATCCTGCCATCCAACCTGCTAAGCCTGAGCTAAAACATCCCCAAAGAGATGGTGGCCTGGGCAACTGACCCTCTCCTCCCCAACTCAGCTATTGGGAATCCCAGTTAGCAGCCATTGAGCAAAACCCACATGTCCTCAATAGCTGGAGTCTCAGACAAAGGCCTTCAAGATCAAGGCAAATCCTGCCCTGCAGCTGTCATGATCCTGTGACTGGATTTGCTCTTATCAGTTAGACACGTGGAGCTCTGGATCCTCACTATATGGAGTGGGAGAAGACGTACCCATGGGAACCTCGGGTCCTGCCTGCAGCTGAGACTCACCCACTGGCCCTGAGAGAAGACCTTCAAGAGGCAGAGCGCCGCAGCTGCAATCTCCGAAGGATTGTAATGCACCATCTTGTAGTCCACAATAGTTCCATCAAGTATTTTGCTAGCAGGTACGTTTCAGCAGAAGGCTGGAAATAAAGGACCAAAGCCAACCATCGGTCTTCAGCCTCGAAGGGGGCTTTGAGTGCTTTTCTCTAGGGAGGGGCATCCCACAACTTCCAGTCTCCTGCACGCCTACTGCTTTTGCCTTGAAGGGACGCTCTAGTCAGATTCGGAACACTCTCTATTCCTGCCCCACTTGCTCCACCCCTCACTCTCTGCTGTGCCTTCCTCCCAAGCCATTTGGAAACCTCAAAGCAGGAACAAAGCTGCCTTGCTTGAAAGCCAAATCTGCTCAGGGAACTGCCTGCATTTCTGGGACTTGGTATTTGTGCACCTATTCCCCCACTCCAATCCCCTGTATTAAATTTATGCAGTGGAAATGTTCTGCCCAAATCAACATAGTAATTTTGTTGGACTGTATGGACAACCTTCCTGGCACCCACTTCCCTTATCTGATCCTGCACCCAATTCAGCCCAATGCCCAAAGAGCTGGGGAGAGACGTACTTCTGAAACTTTGGCTGCTCTCCTCAGGAAGTGGAGTGGTAATGGCTAGCCCAGCACAAAATTCAGCTTTTTCAAGATATTCTGCTCCATTTCCCGAATCCGAGTGGACTTGTATGCTTTATTGGTTATGTAAACAAAATCCAAAATACTCGGTGCATAGATCTCTTCATATTTTGCAGCCAGAAGCATTGCAGTCACACCAACTAACCCTAACCAGGTTGAATCTGGCGGGACACATAGGCCCAACTTCAGTCTTGTGCTAGTAAAGAAACTGGTTTTCAAGGTTTATTATTCTTAAAACTTTCTACTGTTCAGAAGTCAAGATGGAGAAATTTCCCTCCCCTTCATCCCTGGTTAGATGTTTAGCACCTCAGAGAAGACGCTTTGTGATTTAATTTGCCTGAGCTACATTCCTACAAGGCTTTGATGAGAAGCACACAAGTGACAGTGAAACTAGTGGGGAGCATAAAGGTCGGTAATCTCCTAAAATGACCTCTGTCCTTTCCTGGGAGAGAGCGAGCCTCTTCGGAGCGATGCACTGCTGGCTTGAAGGCCCTCAACGGGCTGCCTTGGCTCTCCTCCCTCCTGGCCAGAGGTCAGCACAAGCACCGCGCAGCCCATTCGGCCACCAGTCAACGGCACAGACGGACGGGGGGGCGCGTGGCAGACAAGCGAGCGAAGGGAAGTTGGGCTACCTGCAAACAGCGATCCGTGGCGGCCACGCGGGCGTCGAGCGTCTCCTGCAGAAGCGGGAACCTGGCACGGGCCTCCAACAGCCAGAGCGGCCCGCGGGCGCCCACGGAGCTCAGGGCCACCCGGGAGGGAGACGGGCGGACGGACAAGGGCTCCTTCGCGAGACGCCCCGGCTGGAGCCCCCCCGCCCCTCGCCCCTCCTCCGGCTGCTGCAGGGAGAGGCCCTCGGCGTGGGCGGCGTTGCGCAGCTGCGGGTCCCCCCACCTCCTCCGCTTCTCTGCGCCAGCAGGAAAGGCCGCCTCGCTTCCTGCCGCGCCTGCCGGACCCCAGGACGGACCCAGAGGCCTCCCCGTAGCCCCCCCCCCATCAGAGTCCGGGCAGGCGCTCAAAGGGAAGGAGCCCCCCCTTATCGCCCCCATTTCCGGGGTGGGGTGGGGGGGCTCTTGTAATGCCGGCTCCGAGCGCGCCCGAGACCCCGCGGCTGCCTCCCCAGAAGGCACGAAGCCCACCGGGAGCGAGCGAGCGAGCCTGCCTGCCTGCGGTGCACGAACCGGGCTACCCTCACCGGAAGGGGCTATAGAAAGCCCCACCCCCACCCCCACCCCCACTGGCCGGTGAGACCTGCCCCAGGTGGGCGTCCCAAGCCGTTCCCGCCCTCAGAAGCCCCGCCCATCCGGCATGCGCCGCCGCGGACCTCCGCCGCCTCGGTCCTCGAATGGTAGCCCCCGCGCCGCCATTGGTCCTCCGCCTGGAGGAGACGCGTCCGATTGGCTGCCGCCCCGACCTTTTTTTTTTTTTTGTCCGTCCGGCGTCGCCACGACCGCAGCCCTCGCGCAAGGTCCTCTGGGAGTTGCAGTTTTTCTGCGGGAGGAAGGGAGCGAAGCGGCCGCGGCTCACGAGTAGCAGCGGGATTCCCCGGCCGGGGAGGGCTGGCCCATATCCTCCCTCACTGTGTGTCCCGGTTGCGGCCTCAAAGAGCGGCCTCGCTCCTCAGAAAAGAAGGGCGCTGCGTTTGGAGCGCTTCCAGCAGCGGGCAAAACGAACTCCTGCGCGCTGGGCTGAGTCGAGGGCTCTTCGGAGTGCCGCCCCCGGGCAGAGGAGGGTCGTCCTCTGCGACCTTCCCCCCCCCGACCCGCTTCTCATGCAGGCGGCGCAATTTTCTGCAAAAACCTCACGGGAGTTATTCCCCCTCCCCACCCACCCCCCGCCACCCCATAGGCGTTAATAGCAGAATAACCCTGTATAATGCAAGGAAATCAATCTTGAGAAATAACACAAAAGTCGGATGGATTCAGCTAACTTTATTCATTGTAAAACTAAAAAAAAAACAAAACACCCAGATCCCCCAGAGAACAGGGATCTTCATAAAATCTATGAATTCATGGATATTTGCCTTAAGAAATGATATTTTAACTCCTGGTTTCATCCTGGTAGCGGCGTTTTTCCTTTTTAACAAAAACGCTCTGTGCAGATCAGTAGATGAACTTAACATAGGACTGAGGAACGAGGAACGAGAAACAAGACAGACAACATCCCTGCTCTTCCCCTTGTTCTCCTAGTACTTGTTTTATTCAGCCTGCATCTATCTACAGTGCAGCTAGTTGAAATCCAATATTTAGTGTTCAGTAGAGCTGTTCACAGCAGTAAACTTTTTATGTTAGCGATTCAAATGGCTAGACATAAGAAAATGGTACATACAATCAGACAGCAGTCTAAATGTTTTTAATATTGACATTCAAAGATATCTGCATTGTGCTGAAGGTTTAAGAACATAAAAATGTGATCCAAGAGGACGTCCCATTAGTCTGACATTACAGGATGGGAAGGCGAGGCTTCCAGGCGAGAGTGATGGGGCAGACGGTGGGGCAGGTAGCCCCGGCCATGCTCCTTTCGACAAACCTCGCCCAGGACGAGGCCTTGGTACCTCTCTCCCACACAAGTATACAGCAGCTTTTTTTTTCCTAATTAAGGAATGTCTTAAAAAAAATATCCTTTGATCTTTATACATTTAAAACTAAAAGACTTGATTAAATTAAGGACTCTGAGGTTAGTAATGAGTGAAATCATACTCTGGAAAGTTGACTTTCGGTACAAATAAAAAAGGGAGGGAGGACCACACAGCTCTACTTCCTAAAGCAGATAATCTTGCCTGCAAGTTTTGGGGGGGTCACTAAGCCCATAATATGTGCAAAGAAATGCAATATGGGGAGCGATCCATGCAAAAGGACAGGGAAAACCGGTTAGGAATCTGAAAGGGCTAAACAAACAAACAAACCAAAAATAAGCTTTATAAATACACTAACTGTAGGGTTAGCATCAGGTATACCACAGAGCAGACAAACGGCACTCTAGCAGGTTCAAATGCTTCCCACAACTGCACAGCGGAGTCAGGCCATCTTTGGTTGACTGCAGTACCCGGAAGGAGGAAAGCAAGAGGTTGGAGGCCAAAGCCTGTCAACTTTCGCTGGGCAGCTGAGCCTCAATGTCCACTCTGCAAATGGGGCACTTCTTGTTGGTAATTAGCCACTGGTCGACACACACTTGGTGGAAGAGATGCATACACGGAAGGCGCCTAAAAAGAAAGGAAGGAAAGGATCAGCAGTGCACAGGCTGGCCAATGGACTGGGTTTTTGATTTTCAAAAATAGGACCCTGGAGAAGGTTCTTCTCTAACCGATCAGGAAAGCCGTCTTTTGACAGGGCATCTTCTCCAGAACTATGGCCCTTGTAACAACAGATGGCTAAATTTGGCAAAAGGACCACGCGGGGCAAGAGCTGTGAGCTAATTTCTCTTTCAGGACAAGAGTTAAGACTGCAAAGTGGAAGTGCGCACAGGGCCAGAGAGATCAGTTCCAGTTGGGAAGCGTTAAGTTATTATCGTAGGGTGTAGACTGCAAAGACGCAAAATAAATTAAAAAATAAATTACTTGCAGTAGTTTGTGGCATCAAACAGCTGAGCCAGAGCTTCCCCGGCTAACCCTAACCCTCGGGTTTTACTTCCAGAGCCTTGCTACAAAACAGGTCACTTTAAACTGGTCCTGGAGCTGCAGCCTCAAAAAGAATGGAGTTTCTCCTCTGCCCAGGATAATTTTTTGACCCCCACCCATGCCAGTATTTGAGACAAACCGGTTGCAGCTGGCTGGAGCCTCCACCTCTCTAAATTTCCAACCTTCTGCAGTACACTTTTACAAAAATGATTCCTGGTCTACACCTGATCCACATTAGTTCAGTATCTCCAATAGATTTCCTGTTCAGTTACCTGACATCTTCCCCTTCCTCTAATATAGATAAACATATGGTACACTTTTCCTCGGTGTCTTCCTCAGTTCCTTCTTCCCCATCATGTTTGCAGTGTAGTTTCCTCTGTGAGAACCAATCAGTTGTTACCTTATTAGCAGAGATGACATTATTGGCAAACTGAATGAGATCTGTTTTATACACAATTATCATTTCTGTTACACCAATCCACTATGCATCCCCAACCCATACATGGTACGGTATTTTAAACAATATACAATTAAAGTTGGATAACAAATTTATCCAGCTGCTATTTCTGAATTCCTAACCTCCCGTACAATTATTTCAGTATCCCATAATTTTTTTGACAATTTCAATTGTTAAAACTAATTTGTCTCTGCTACTGTAAAAACGCCCAAGGCATATTTAGAGGGGAAAATGACCCTACACAAGGTGGGTCAATGAAGCTACGTTATGTTCTCACAGTGATACAAAAGAGCTGATTTTTAAAAGTTCAAGCTCTCACTCACACACAAGCTGTCTCAATCAACTCAGACTACGTTTCTTTGTAACACAACCTTGATAACTGAGCAATTATTCCCAACTTATTTTTCCAAAAGCTCCATGATCAGAGCCTTCAGTGTCTTCTCTGATTTCAGGAACAGGTCACCTATTTATAAGGCTATTATTTGTCAAGTGTGACATGCTTTTTTAATTGTTTTCCAAGTAACAGATGCAATGGAAGTTGTTAAATACCACATTCCCAGCACAACCTGTGCCCCAACCCATCAAGAAAGGATCCGCTGGAACCTCCCATTTGCATGCAGGAAACTCAGAGAAGCACCAGAAATGAACCAGAGACTCAACGCGGCAAGGTGGGCAAAGAAGAGTGGGCAGAGTCCCTTCTCACTCAATTATCAGCAATCTGAATGACAGGCCAATTTGGGGCTCCAGGGTGGTTCCTAGATGAACAAAAGCAGACACAAAACCGTGCCCGACTTGGCCCCTCCTGGTGGAAAAGCAGGTTCTGCAGCCAGATTCCACACCTGGAATCTAGAAAGATTTGGGATTATCTGTCTCCTCCTAGAAAAGCAGCAACTTGCGAGATTCTGAGACACAAGAATCGATAAGCGTCTCTTTTTTGGGAGGGGGGGGGCTTTACAGGAAAACAGGAGCTTTGGGACACTCAATGGGGAATTTCTTTAAACACCCCTGAGACCTTCTCACCTTTTTGTACTTGTGGGGATAAGTGCATCTTTCAATGGTTCCTTGGGAAGCTCCGCGATTCACATTTCCTAAACGTTCTTCCAGATGGATTAATTCCTGGAATCAAAATGGAACAAAAGATGTTGCCATCTCAGTGCTCTCTCCCCAATGTACTAATTAAGTAATTAAGATGCAACTTATCTGACAAGTCACACACAGGGCAGCCTTTACTGTTCAATGGCTCTACTGGGAGGATTTGTCCTGGCCCTGCCACCTGCCCTCGGCTTCCCTCTTCCCATGTCCTAAAGGCGAATGAAGTGGGGCAATGCAACACAGCACACAAGGAGGGCCTGGAGACCTGTGACGCCGAACGCCAAGGATTGCAGGCAGCCTCCATGAAGCGGGGGAGGCCAATCACTTCAGCGAGTGAGACCTCACCTCGTGGGTGGGATGGTTCACTCCAGGGCTGCTTAAGGCTCCTTAGTGAGGACTAGAGGGAAAGGGCTGCATTTCCCCATCCCGCCCTCCGTGGGAGAGGATGGCGGTTGCCTGAACCAGTTCATCTGAAGGCCCTTCCGAGCTCATGAACTAGACCGGGGAATTCATTAACTCTCTGCATCTGATACTTCAATTCCTCTCTGCCACCTTACTGACCAGCAGGCCCAAGGAGAAGGAACGGACCGTTTAGGACCAACTCTCCCCTTCCCTGAGCCAACTTAACACTCCCAGTCAGGGGAAGGGTGGCGGCTGCTGCAGAAGCCGGAAAAAAAGCCCCTTCAAGCTGGAATGCCTACCTGCCCCCAAACCACAACAAAGGCCCGAGGGCATTGTGGAAAACGAAACCAGCGTGTCCCCTCCCCACAAAAGTTCTGCCACAAAGCTGAGGGTGATTCTATTACAAACCTCAAAATTGCCCCTGAAAGGGCCTCTGAATGAAGTTCCATCCAATCCCGATGAAATGTAACGGATGTGAGGGTAGCCCGCCATGTCAGGAACCTATTCAAATAGCAGAAGGGAGTTAAGTCTAATTGCAGAGCAGCTGTGTCATGTATTTAACTGTTCCCGTTGCAAAGGGAAGGAATTCGGTCTGGCAGATGGCATCCCTTCCTTTT